TCTCGCTTGCGAGGCGAGTGTTCTGTGAACCACCGTGCTACAGGACTCCACAACAACAACTTGCATTTATACAGCGCCCAGTTACGCTGGCGGCGTGGGGGGAGGGGAAACGGGCGGAAACATGGCCTGAAAATTAAGACTGAATTTAAGAATTTTATTGTAGGTAAGAACGGAATCAGGCTTTTGATCTGTATTCAGTCAACACCCTTAAACCCCCTTTCCCCCCCTCGCCCCCAAATGTAGCTCAGTGATCCACATGGTCTCTTTAAAGAGCTTTGAGATGTTTTCCTACACAGAAGGCATGACATAGAGGCAAGCTATGCTAATTATTGTATTCATCACGTTAAATGGTACTGTTACTCATTGGGAAGTAATCTAATAACCTTTAACACACTCTGTTTAGAGTTGTAAAGGGCAATGCCAGGGCAGGAAACCAGGAAGTATTTCTTTAGCCAGAGGGTAGTTAACCAGACAGAATAGGTCACCAGTGAGGGTTGCTGAAACTGGGACAACGGGACTCGTTTAAAAAGTGCTGCAGAGGTGGGAAGACTGTAGGGAGGGCATTGGGCTGAAGGGGCCTTCTTCATCCAAAGCACTCTTGTGATCGGAGCCTGTGTGGACCTGCCTGTAACACAGGCTATAAAATTACCTGCTTGTGCAGGTCTAACACACACACATTCCTGAGGACATGTAGGCACCACCCCTGCACCGTGCTGGGTAAAATCACTGCAGTTTGGGGGCGGCTACGGACCAGAATCCTGTTAAATGTAATCAAGTTCTTGCATTCCATCCGACGCTGTGAATCGGCTTCATATTTGGGCTCTTGTATCAACACTTCTTAATGTAACCAACTTAAAGAAACCCCTCTGGAGGCTGCAATGATCAGTATGTACTGTATTTATTGAGACCAGTTTACTACAGACACATTAGGTGAAGTAAAAGGCACACGGATGGCCACAGTCTCTTCCCTTTTTATCACATTACAGATTAAATTGGTTAAGGCTTGGATACTTACCCTCAACAACTCCCCCCCACCCCCCACCAACTCACTCCTGCTCACTCACACTCACTGACTCGCTCCTCACTCACACTCACCCACTTTACTACCACCTGATGCAACATGTTTGTGATTAGCATTGTAGGCAATGTGAATTTTGTACCATAATAACCACAATAAATAATAACAACAACTTGCATTTATATAGCGCCCTTTACGCCGGACGTAATGATAATAATATTTAACATTGATATAGAGCAGAGAACGTCGAAAACTTGTCAAAGTGCTTCACAAAGTTTCTGTAATGTGTATTGACTGTGTATTTAATACTACCAATAATAATACATAGGATTTTTAATACTTATTGGTTTCTCAAAATAGAGGTAGAAGAAGGGAAATCATGCAGAAATCTCAATAACCACATTTAACCACAATAAATGTTATTTTCAATGATACATTAACTTCTCTGTATCATTACTTCCTCTAGTTACGTGCTATTCCAAATTCTGCACAGCTTACATTAAACTTACACTCACTGTAAATGTAATGTGAAAAATGTAATGTTTCCCAACAGATTGGGTGTAGATTAACAAAAACAACAACTTGGATTTATATAGCGCCCTCCACGCCGGACGGCGTCTCAGAGCGCTTTACAGTAACGGATCCCGGGACCGAGCCAGGGGGAGGGGGAGAGGGGGGGAAGGTGACCAAAAGCGCGATCGAAAAGAAAGGTCTTCAGCAGAGACCTGAAAATGGGATGGGAGCGAGCGAGACGAAGGGAGTGAGGAAGGGAGTTCAAGAGCCTCGGGGCATAGTGGCTGAAGGCACGGCCACCAAGGGTGGAGCGGAGGACAGACCTGGAGGAACGAAGGCAACGGGTACGGTTTTGAGGAGAGAGGAGGTCAGAGAGGTAGGAGGTGCAGAGGAGTGCGGGGACTTGAATACAAGGGTGATGATCTTGAAATCGATCCTCTCTGGGACAGGCAGCCAGTGCAGACGGGTAAGGACTGGTGTAATCGGGGAGCGGAGTTTCGCACGGGTGAGAATGTGAGCAGCAGAGTTCTGAATGAATTGGATTTTATGGATGGTAGTGGAGGGGAGACCGGCGAGGAGGGCGTTTGAATAGTCCAGCCAGGAGGTGACAAAGGCAGGGACCAGAGTTTCAGCGACTTTTGGGGAGAGGTATTGGCGGAGACGGGCGATGCGTCGGAGGTGAGGGACCGGATGCGGGGGAGGAAGGATAATTGGGGGTCGAACCTGATGCCTAGGTGCGTACAGGTCGGAGAGTTAGGGGAGTCGGGTAGGTGGAGGAGGTGAGAACCGTGAGATTTTAGACGATGATGAGAGCCGAAGAGTATGGCTTCCGTCTTGTCAACGTTCAGCTGAAGGAAGTTTGCGCTCATCCAGCCCCTGAGGTCTGACAGGCAGAACATCAGGGGACTGAGGGGTCGCAAAGAGAGATGGAAAAGTAGAGTTGGGTGTCATCTGCATACATGTGGAAATGTACCCCATGTCTGCGGATGACATCCCCAAGAGGGAGCATGTGGATCAGAAAGAGGAGGAGGCCAAGGATGGTTCCTTGGGGTACCCCACAGGTAACCGGATGAGAGCGGGAGGAGAAGCCGTTTATGCAGATGTACTCAAATACAGAAGGTTACAGCACAGAAACAGGCCATTCAGCCCAACAGGTCTGTGCTGGTGTTTAACCCTCCACAGGAGCCCTCAGCCCTCTGAATTCCCTTCACTGTACCCCTCTATTCAGTTCTCCCTCAGGGATGCATTTAATAGATTAATAAATTTAAATTGCATGGAATCGGTTATAAAACAACACAATTTTACGCTGTTCATAAAGTCAGGAAACCTGTGCTATATTAAAAAATACAAAAGTTGGTAATGTTTTATAATTATCACATCAAGGGGGTGCGAGCAGGGAGGGCGAGGGAGAAAAATCTAGATTGACTTTATTTAGTAGCACTAAAGTAGCACTTCAGAGCATCCCAAAAATGGCAAATGGTTGAATGTGGTCTTAAATTTGAAGTGAGCCTCTTGCAGTTTCTTGAAAGGACATTTAGGAGGAAAAACAGCTGGGACGTTAAAGCTGTTTACAAAAAATTTGCTTAAAGAGTTCTGTACACTGAAATGCTGCATAAATAGAGAAACTGAGTGAACCGAGACCTAGGGTAGAATTACGACCCCCAAATCCATTGAGAAACACCGTGGAATTTTCACCCCATTATCAGCTTTGTAACCTCTCTGGTTGCACCAATATTCGGGCTCAACTATAGATGTGGAACAGAGTCCAAGCCTGTCTTCCTGCTGCAATGTAAAACATGCGTGGGCTGTACCCTCAAAACGGAGGGGCTGATTGGAGTCATGCCTCTTGCACCCATGTAAATTACTATGAGCACACGTGATTGACTATACATATATGGCTGTAAGAACAAATATACACACATGCAGGACGTGCGTCTGAGACTTAACAAGAGGTGGGGGACACTGCATTATGGGGCCGGTTTGTGGCATTTCTAAACAGTGTTCTTCAATCAAGCAGAGTCCAAATGGGGAAAGCCTGATAACAGTCACATCCCTCCATCCATTCCTAAAGACTAGCCATGGGACTCAATGCCATTCTCTCTGTCTTTGGCAGAAATGGTTTGGTCCAAAAACTGATTTTTTTTCCCCCCCCCCATCAATCTCAAAGCCATTGATGCAGCAAGGTTAGTGAGCTATGTAAGAGACATTGGACTCTTAACCAAACAGCTCAATGCTGCGATGGGTAGACAGGAGGATGGGGAATCTGCAAGGATAAGATCAAATGGGCCAAAGAGCTTTCTTCATCTGAGCCCATCTTATGAGATCTCTTCTGATAGTGAACAGCGACTGAGCTGAGAATTCATCGCACCGAGCCATCACCCCACGGTCAGAGGGCAGCAATATTCCTTGCATTTGATATAGGACCTTATCACGTCTTCGGGACGTCTCAAAGTGCTTCACAGAATACACTGTATGGTGAATTGACTGTATATTTTGTGGGTGAAACTGCACACAGCAGTGTCCCACAAACAGTCGTGAATAATAATTATTATTATTTTTAGTTGAAGGGATTGTTATCCCCGGAAAGTGATCTGCCAATCGACTAACAGCCGGGTTCCTACTTACTGCTAGGTAAACAGAGAGGCATGTGGAGTAAGGAAATTTGCTTGACGTTTTGCCCGGCCGGGAATCAAACCCTAAGTGCTCTGACCACTTCGCTACAGGACTCCAGGTAAGGGCGAGGAGAGAGAACAGGTCAGGATGGAGGGGACGCAGCTCAGGAAAGAGTGAGGGAAACAAATCACAAAGTACAGCCCTGGTCAAAGAACAGTAAAGGCACCTTCTACCTAAGCACTTTCCCCACCCTGATCACAGAGGCACATCATAGCCATGCACAGCTAGCTGGGAGGGTACAACATGCCAGGTCCCCAGCGCACATCAAACCAATGCATCAACTTCCCCTCAGAGTCAATCGCAGCCTCCGGCAGCTCCATTGCCACTGCCATCCACGGCATCAACTCTCTGACCCACCGGGGAGTGGTTGGAGGGGATCCAGCCAATTGGGCATCCATCTCTATCCTGGCTCAGGCCGGCAGCTCCTGGCTCAGGGTGCTGCGTGATACACCACTTCCTGAGACACACACACACACACACACAGCAGTGAAGTCATGACAGGCCCAGACACAACAACAACACATTACATTTACACAGCGTCTGTCACGTCAGGAGGAAATCATTCCGTCACCCTCCTCCTCCATCCCTCCACTCTCCTCCATTTCTCTACCTCCTCCAACCCTCCATCCCATCACCCTCCTCCATCCCTTCAGTCTAAGGCTGATGGGACAGTTTAATGAAAGCTGCTGTCACCCTTGTGCAATCGTCCCCTGCACACTGGGTGAGAGGGACAGAGCCGGAGCTAGACCCAGACCCACCGCAAACACTGCCCTGGGTAAACCAAGCACTGACTCACCTGCAGGAGAGCATCCTGATTGTCCGCCAGTGCCTGTTTGGCCAGATATCGCTCCCGCTTCACCTTCACCTCCAGCGACTCGGGGACATCGGGCACCAGCCAGTCAATCACTCTCAGGATGAAGAACACCACGTGCTGCAACAAAAGGGCAACGGCTGTCAGTCAGCCTGGCTCAGGCCCTCGCACTCTCACCTCCGAGTCAGGAGGGTGTGGGTTCAACCCCCACATCAGGTCTTGGAGCTCGCAGTCGAGGCTGATGCTCCAGCACAGTGCTGGTGGGGGATGTCTCCTTGCCATCAATCGCCCAGATAAAATCGAGGTCAGAGACAACAACACATCATCTCAAAGCGCTTCACCCCAGGATATACTGTAAAGTGAATTGACTGTATGTTTTGTGGGCGAAACACAGCAGCCAATTGCGCACAGCAGTGTCCCCACAAACAGTCAGATTGAGTGGACCAAATTATTATTTTTTTTGAAGGAATTATTACTCCCAGAAAAGTGATCCGCCAATCGACTAACAACTGGGTTCCTACTTACTGCTGGTGAACAGGTGTGTGGAGTAAGGAAACTTGCCCAAAGTGTCCCCTGCCCGGGAATCGAACCCAGGTTCAACTTGCGAGGTGAGCGCTCCAATCACTGAGCTACAGGTTTGCACAGTAACCTCTGGTGTGTATCCGGCCCATCCCGGCAATACCTCAAAGGCAATAATGAATCCGAGTCGAACTGCCAGCAGCTTCCAGTAGAAGAGCGTGAGATTCCCATCTGGATCCCGGAAAGCTTTGTACCTGAAAACAGCATCACGGGATTAGCAAACCATCATCAGGAAGCGAGGAGCTGCGAACATCCGAGTGTGAGAACTACAGCATCAGGCTACCAATAAACACTGCGAGCCGGAAGGATTGAGAGAGAGTTGATGATGGAGCGGAGGAGACAAGGGACAAACAGGAGGCCGGAGCCAGCCAAGCGGATGCAGCTAGTGGTGGAGTACAATCCCGCTAACCAGCACTCACTCCTACAAGAGTTCCGCAAGACACAGGTTGAATGCATAACTTGGCTTCACTGATATCAATATCGGGGTCCGGGGATGGGGGCTGTGGAGGGAAGAGCCTGCTTCTTGCACGTCTGCTAATTCCTTTTCTAACTTGAGACTGTATGTTGCCACGAACACATTAAACTTGGTCAGAATCTCTGCAGCAAAGGGAACTATAGCCTCAGTCTCAGAAGAGGAGCCATGTGAGCAGGCAGTTTGGGATTGAATTAATTAATTTACGCAGAGGGCAGTGAATATGTGGAAGAGATTGCCCAGGAAGGCAGACCTTGATAAGACCCATGGAAAGGAAGGGGGAAGAGTTCCCTACAGTAACTGTAAGGCAACCCAGGTTCTCCCACCTGCACATGGTGTAGTTGCTGTTGCTTCGTGGGGAGTAGGCCAGTGTGAAGTTCACGTATCCATTCAGGTCACTGTCATACTCGTACTGGTAGAGCAGGCGGGGCAGAAAGTCAGACGTGAACGCAATCAGAAAAGCCTGGATCGGACAGGAATAAGCACAGGCTTAAGTGGTTTATAGAGTCAGAGGGATCAGACACATGTCATTCAGAACACTCACAGTAACATCTCAGTTTGGTTCAGTCTTGCCTCTATTTGAGACAATTGTGGCAGCGAGGGTTGAGTTGAGCCCACGGCCTAGGCTGAAGCGCTTAAAGACGTCTCAACGACGTGATGAAAAGCAAGGATTATCATTATTACTATTATTATTAGTCATATTCAGTATTATTATTATTACTCTCACTGACTCGTGTTGGAAGAAGCTTTTGGTTAGCACCGTATCAAAGCAGTATTTTGCAGGGTACCCAATTATCCACAAGTAATCTTTAGTAATAATAACAAACTTTTCATTTGATACAATGCCTTCGAGACGTCTCAAAGCTCTTCACAGGATATGCTGTAAAGTGAATTGACTGTACATTTTGTGGGTGAAACATGGCAGTCAATTACGTACAGCAGCGTCCCACAAATAGCCGTGGATTCAGTGACCAAACTAGCATGGGTGACGGTCTCTCGAGTGTCTTATCTGATCATCTCTGGTTCACAGTGACTCCATGTTTCAGTGACTCACGTTGATGATGACTGAGAGCTGAGCCAGGGCTTCCAGGATGTTGAACCAGACCCCGATGTCCTGAGCCCGCTCCGCCACCGGCCGCCGGTAATCACACACAAACTTTTGGGCGTCCAGGCGGATCTCCACCCAGTTATTAAGCAGAGCGAAGAGCGGAGCCAACGGGAACGCAGCCACGAAGATAGTGATGAAGCCAAACTGCAGCACTGGCCGTCAGGAGGGAGGGAAGGAGAGAGAGAGAGAGCATCAACACTGACTCACCACATCACACCACACTGACAAACACAAGGTAAGATACACGTGAAGAAGGATCTTCGGTCCATTCTATCTCATTCTTTTGGAATTCCCACCTGACTTTTCTCCCGTTACTGCACTAAACCGTTTCTAAACAGGAGTCCAGTGTCCTTCCTGGGAATCCAATGCAAGGGGCCAAAGTTTCACCCGAGTCTAGGCTTATGATATTTGTGAGCTCACTCACCCATTTCCAGATATTCCTCAAACAGTCCCTCGCAGTCGATGAGCTCATAATCCTCCTCCCAGCGTCTGGGTGCCTGGCAGATCTGAGAACCTCGCAGGAGAGACAGCTTCCGTTTCTGCCACCAGGTCTTCAGCTTGCTGACACCCCAGTGGCCGCAGAGGATTTAGGAAGAGAATTGGCCGTTAGCAAATAAAAAAAATCTTTACACAGCGGGTGGGAAGAACGTGGAACACTCTGCCAAAAGCCACGGTTGAGCTAAGAGTTCGTAGCCTGATTTGAAAGTGAATTAAATGGAGGCTTCGAGAGGAGGAAAGTAATGGTTTTAGCTGGTTAGACTCCAGCAGTTACCTTGCCAACCTTCACCAAATGCTTCCCGGAATTAGGTAAGCAGGATGCATCCCTCCAAGGAGAGAGACAGTGCACATTCCATTCCTACAACTATGTCGGGGATTTATGGAAATCTCAATTTGGTTTGAATACTCTTAAGCACGGGGATGGGTTTCCATATGTGTCAGACACCCAGACGACCAAAAAAAATACAAATGGTCATATATCAAATGCAGGATTATTATTATTATTATTATTACTCCCTGTCCTCTGAACATACTACCTAACTTCTCTCTACTTTTCTCTCCAACCGCTCCTCCCTTCACACGCCCAACCCTTCACCTCCTTGTCCTACCCTGACTGACTTGTTTGCTCTCCTTGGAGCCGGTGCTGATGTGGAGAGACCTTTCCTGGTGATTGTTGCTCATCTCTGTCTCTCCTGGCGGTCATTCTGCTGGCTCTCAGGGGAGTCTGCACCTGGGGCGCTGTGGGAAGGCCTTACTCACGGGATGATAAACTCCTGGATGTTGCTGATGATCTGCTTCCCCACCATGATGATGAAAAGCTGCTCGGCCAACTCGATCAGGCACCCTCCAGGCCCACACTGTCAGGGCAAACAACAGTGCCAGCTAGTTTCAGGCTGTCAGTATCAGGCTTTTGTGTGTCTTTGCATTTATGTGAGTGTTTTTGTGTGTGTGTGTGTGTATTTGTGTGAGTGTGAAAGTGTATTTCTGTATGTATTTGTGTGTATTTGTGTGAGTGAGTGTATGTGAATATGTGTGTGTGTGTGAGTGAGTGAGAGTGAATGAATAGTGATTTCTCCCGTGCAATGCTCCTATCCAGCCTGGACTTACATCCTCGTTCCTCATGCCGAACAGCTTGCCATAGTGCCCCGGGTAGCCCACAAACCTGAGCAAACAGACAGCAGGACAGACAGTCACACAGTGAGTGAGGGCTCAGTCACTGGCATATATAGCCTGGCAATTACACGGAATAAAACAAAATCCCCCTTGTAATCCATGGCTGTTTGTGGTACAATGGTAATCAGGTAGATAGCGTTGATACGTTCAGCTGCACCTTTACTGTGTCAGTGCTGTGTAGTGACTGTAGCTATTAACAAGCTCCAACCGCACACTGGTCACCCAGGCTATTTCCCTCTTGTTGCCGTCTGTGACCCACCTGCCTTTAACGAACGCCACGTAAAACGGGGAGGAGTAGAAGTTCACAAACTGGAACACGAACACTTTGAAGATGAAGGCGTCTTCGAACTGCGTCTGCGTGCGGTGCATCTCTGTGAAGGACAAGAGCACTCGTGTAGGAACCAATAATAATTTGGTGACTCAACCCACGGCTGTTTGTGGGGACACTGCTGTGCACAATTGGCTGGCGTGTTTCGCCCACAAAATATACAGTAAATTCACTTTACAGTGTATCCTGTGAAGCGCTTTGAGACGTCTCAAAGACGTGATAAGGCGCTGTGTCAAATGCAAATTATTATTATAGAACTGGTAGCAGCAACATTGGTGCGCGTACACACATGTATACACTCACACACACACACAACGCTGCAAAGTTAGACGCACACACGATCGGCACCCCACAATCCATAGACCTCTAGCTCGGAGGGTTCCTTACCCCATCGGGTGAGCTGCTCAGCCAGTGAGGTGTAGACCTGGCTCATCAGGAGGATGAGCATGAGATTCACCATGGAGCTGCTGATGTTGGCAATGTTCCCAGCCTGTGGGGAGTCACAGCAGCGTCAATCTGGCCTCCCTCCAACGCACTGTACGTAGAAGTCAGATGTTCGCTGTGTGATGTGAGGATTATCACAACACAGGGCACTCTGCTCCTGTTGTTATCCCAGCTGACTCAGCGACAGGCCAGGAGTGCTTACCCCACCCATTGGAACTCCATCCCACTTCGCCTCGCTCCCTCCCTTGCCTGCTTCAAGTCAATTCAAAGACCCTCATCTTTGACCGTGCCTTTGGCCACCCTTCTACCTCCACCCACCCGCCCTCCACCTCCCTGATCTCGGCCCCCAGTTTGGGTTCAAATCCCTGACTGTCCAGTGCCTTGGGACGTCCTCCCGACATGAAAGATGCTGTGTAAATGTAATTTGTCCGTCTGTCTGTCTGTCTGACCTGGGTGATGAGGATGGAGTTGCCGGTCTGGTACATCATCAGGCTGATGATCCCACGGTACATGATCACCGTCACCAAGAAGATCATCACCACAAAGAGCTGGAGGCCACACAGCCGATGGGAGTACAGCGGGTGGGGGGGGGGGGGGGGGGCGAGCAGGGAAACAAATCAAGACGAACAGTGGCAGGGGAGGAGGGGTGAGGGTTGTGGAGAGACAAGGGGGGGGGCAGATTGAACGAGAAAGAGAGGGTCGGAAATGGTGATGGTGCCAGGAGGAGGGTAACGGTGAGAAAAGGAATGGAAGAGAAAAACAAATTAATCCATGAGAATTACCATTAAAATGAACACATTTAGCTAGCCCTGTCCAGACTGTGTGTCCTCACCATGACGATGATGACCATGGAACCTGTGATGACGCGGGAAAGCCGGTCCCTCTCCGGAAAGTGCGGCTCCTTGACCCCAGTGATGGGATTCTGTTCCATTTTCGGTGCCATGGCAGCAAACTCAGGTCTCGGCCGCTCCTGTGTGCGGGAGGGGGCGTGGTGGGGAAGAGAGAGAAGGGGAGTGGGGAGAGAGGGGGGGAGAGAGGCTGGGGTTACAGAGCCTCGGGCAAAGCGCTGAGCTTAAACTTCATCTAAAGCCACACTGACACCTCACATCAGATCCCGTTACCTTTAAGTGCAAAGAATCCAATGCTTACAAATATTAAGTGCTCTGGGCCGCTACCTTGTGTGAGGGGTGCAATATAACTGCAAGCTGTTGTTTGTTGTTAAATATACAGTATATAAAAAGGGGTTTTGGGTGGGGGGAAGGTAATAGGACTTTGTGGCCACCCTGGACAGTTGCTAATGGGAAGCTCAGACACTTGCCTCCTCCTCCTGGAAGTCTGCACAATCCCAGTGATGGGCCAACATGGCGTTGGTCCGTTTCCAGTACTCCAGGAAGGCCACGGCCCACAGAGACATGAAGATGCTGAAGAAGACGGTGCCTGGGTGGTCAAAGAGGTAACCCATCTGCAGGGCAAAGACAGGAGGGTCACTCGCAAGATTCATAATAATAAATAAATAATAATAATCCTTGCATTTGATATCGTGCCTGATCACGTCTTCCAGATGTATCAAAGCGCTTCACGGGATATACGGTTTACTCTGGCCCTGTGAGCCACGCTACCTTTCGAGCATTCACACTGGCAGCTTAATATATTGTCGTCCACAAAATATACAGTCACTACACTTTACAGTATATTCTACGAAGTGCGTTGAGATGTCTTGAAGATGTGAAAAGGTCCTGCATCAAATATAAGGATTATTATTGTTATTATTATTATTTGCCAATCAATAGAGAATCACATCAGCCATTAACATACAACTGTAGACAGGTCAATAGTAAACATGCGTGACGTAACCTACGTAAGCCATGGAACAGGTCTCTGAGAGGTTCCACGTGCCACAGTTGTCACACAAAGGACACAGGAGGTACTGGCTGCTGCTGTTACAGACCTCTTCTCTGTGAGAGGAAACGCACATGGTCACTGTGTGCTCAGCCATGCCAGTGTGAGCAGTGGCACAGCGAGTGTGAGCAGAAAGAGGCGCAGCAAGTGTGAGCAGAGATGCTACGAGCTTGAGCAGAGGCACAGCCATTGTGAGTGTGGGCTCAATCTTTTGGTCACGGAACGATTCTGCGAAGCACTTTGAGAGGCTGATCGAGCGTGTAAACGGTGCTCTCTGTATATAAGTGCGAGTTGTTACGCTTATAATTCTACAGGAAACCCGGCGAGGGTTTTAGTGGGTTATGTGTGAGAGGCGCTGATAGTCTCTCCCCCCCTGACTGTGACTTACATTTGCTTGTTGGTCTTCATCGAGATCAGCCCAGATATAAAGACAAACGTCCCGACGAGAGCAGCTGGCAACAGCCAGGCCGTGTAAAACCCTACACAGGGGAGAGGGTTATATGACATACATCAAACCCCAGCTGCTGCTCACATCAGGGGCGAGATTCCACCCAGGTCAACATTTACTTTGCTTGAACAACAACAACTAGCATTTATATGAGTGGGACAATCAGTCCCACTCCCCCACGCGCTCTCTCCCCGCTGAACACTCAACAACAACAACAACAAGATTTCATTTATAGAGCGCCTTTCGCGTCGGGAGGACGTCCCAAGGCGCTGGACAGTTGGGTCGGGACAACCTGCCTGAGGGGAAGCTGCAGTGACTCACCCAGCCAGGCAAAGTAAATGGCGATCTTTTCCCCAAAGTACTCGCGGATGTGATCCAGCGGCTGGTACCTGCACCACTTGGCCCAGCGAGCCCAGTAGTTGTACAGAACTTGCCTCGGGTTCAGTTCTTCCGCGGGGACGACGTAGTCTGGCAGCTCAAACGGGCCCTGAGCGGGCACAGCAGCACAGAACACAGCGAGAGGCCGTCAGTCACACACCACAGACAGCAGCCGACGCAGCACCTCATCACAACGGCAACAACAAATTACATGTACACCGCGGCTTTCATGTCAGGAGGACGTCCCAAAGGCACTGTACGTAGCTTAAGATAGGGCCTGAAGCAAGCAAGGAAGGGGGGCGAGGCGAAGGGACTGTGGGATGGAGGGACGCAGCAGCAGAAATGGTTATAACAAAGCCGATTACACTCTCACAGGGCGATTTCCCCCCCCACCAGGTGGTCCCCCACAGCTCTACGCCTCTCACCTCATGCAGCGGGAATGCAGAAGCAAAAACTCCTTCATTTAACAAGCGGTCAATTCCGATCTCAGCCCGCTTCCTCTTCCCATACACTGTTCTAGCCAGAATTTCATACACCTGGTAAAAAAGGGACAATCAAGAGGGGCCTCAGAATCGCACCCCCTCACACCCCATCCCACCCTCCCTCCCCACACATACCCTCAGCCCCAAAACATCAGTCTTAATCCCACAGCATCCAACGGCAAAGAAAATCTCACTGCGCAATCCACGCTAGAGTGACATATGGAACATGTGATGTGATAATAAACACAGGTGATAATTGCTCCTCACACCTAGTACTTACAATGCGGTGCCGTTGAGTGTTTGTAAAATAGGTCTCATGATCATCGCTTCCCAAAAACCTGGTGAAGCAAAACAGGATGTAAGGAAGAAAATTCTGAGTTGCCTCAGAGAGAGAGAAGTGCTAAATATCACCCAGGCCTCACTCCCCTGCAAGGTTTGGGATCCATGACAACAGAGAGTGAAGCTTGACAACATCATTATCTCCCGCTCCGTCGCTCTCTGCACGGCCTCTTATCTCCTTTTCTGGCTTTCACACTCACTGGTTTGGGAAGAGAGGAGGAACAGGAGGTTTGAGGCCGGGCGGATAGCCACAGGTGGGCCTGGGTGCTGATTGGGTCACAGTCGTGTTCCTGCTCTGTGACTAGACCATGTCGAGGCTATTTGGGCAGTGGCTAGCCTCACTTGCTCTGGCTGGGACACAGCTGTGGCTGACTGGCCACAGGCAACTGCCAGCCCCACAGTCGTGGAATGGATTCCAACTTACTGCTAGGTAAACGGAAGCATGTGTGTGGAGTAAGGAAACTTTCCTAAGGTTTCAAGCCACCCGGCAATCGAACCTGGGTACTCTCGCTTGTGAGGCGAGTGGGCTAACCACTACACTAAAGCATCAGCCTTCAACTAACTCACCACCTGCAAGCAGCGGAGCAAGGCTCAGCTCGGGCGAGGGTTTATGGGAGTACGGGGTTGAACCTGGTGTGGTCTTGAGTCTCTGAGGAGAAAGGATCGCACACTCACTCACCTCTGCAGTTTGGATCTGCGGAATGGGCACGTGTAGTAATCCAGAGGCTTGTTGGGCACCGGCTCCGACAGGTAGTTTGGGATTCGCAGCTTTCTCAGGATCTCCTCTGATGAGTTCATGCTGGGATTGGGCTGTGCCTGTACATAACACAGAGGATCAGTGAGCACGGCGATAGTAATAATAAATTCATCACTCAATCCACGATTGTTTGTGGGGACGCTGCTGTGTGCCATTGGCTGCCGCGTTTCGCCCACAAATATACAGTCAATTCACTTTGCAGTATATTCTGTGAAGCGCTTTGAGATGTCTCAAAGACGTGACAAGGCGCTGTGTTAAATGCAAGGATTATTATTATGTGAGTGTGCAATGTTCTCTCACTAACCTGCAAGGGTGCTCTCATACACAGCTCCTCCGCATAATAGACTAACACATCCCAAGGTGCGCTCAGCTTCAGATAGCAAATGCTCTTCCTCTCAGTGACGGTCTCCTCCTATAGGCGAGTGACATGAGAGAGCAGCAGATTACACACTGTGTACAAGGATCCCAGCTAAGCTCAGTGCTGCTGCACACACTCCACACTCACACTGCTGTGGCCCAGCTCACACACTGCAGAGCGAGATGGGGGGGGGGGTGAAGGATGTAGAGAAGTTTCTCCCTGGGGAAAGAGGGAGTTTGTTGTGAGGAAACTGCACGCACGGCACTCGTGTCTGCCCCAATCCCCCACCCTCCGCACCCGGGAAGCATTCGGCCATGTGACTTATAGACATAGACAATTGCTGTGGATGCTGCCCACCTGCTCCATGTGGAGTCCAGCATTCTGTAGATTCCTCACAAACTTGTCTTTCCATTTCTGGTGCTTTTGGGACGCGCTGCCTTTCGCGGCGGCGCGCTCATCCTTCTGCGTCTTCTGGTGCGCGGACCGAATTTCCTCTTCTTGTGTCCCACCGCTTTCACCTCCCAAACCAGCACGAAATCTGAGGGTTGAATCGAATCGCCACCGGTCAGACACCCAACAAACACATCCTCATCGCTGTCCAAACACGGGACCTATTTTAAGCTATTTGCTTAACTGATTTCAAACTAATAAATACAAAAAATATTTTGGTCACTCATTCCACAATTGTTTGTGGGACATTTCTGTGCACAATTGGCTGCCGCATTTATCCTACAGTATATTCTTTACAGTATTTTGGAACTTCAGTTTAACGTCTTACCTGAAGGATTGGTATATTGTTATTACAAGAGAGTAGAAAACTGAGACAAGCGGGAGGACAAATAGGAGCTGAGGACACACAGGCCCCATGATTGACAATGGAAGAGTAACACGGTTCTCATTAGCTCTCTCCCTCCTCAGGCAGGTCGAGCTCTTACCCACTTTGGTTGTCCCATCCCGGAAGTAATTTCCTTTGTGGTCGGGGCTGTAATTCCCATGAGAACCGATGTAGAAGTCCTCATCACCTTCCTCATCCTGTAATACATGAGCAAGATTGAGCTACATGTCAGTGGTCAGTATATAGGTGAGCAGGTAGCACTGGTCAGAGTGTTTGTGTCAGTGACACTGGTCAGTGTGTGTGTCAGAAGGCGCTGGGAAGTGAAGTGGGGCTGTCGATGAAACAGCCAGATAACGTGCAAATAATTGAGTGCAGCGAAACCTGGTTGATTTTTCCCCGAAAATATCTCGGTCCAGATCCTTTTGCAAAATATCTTTGCGATTATAACTGGTGTGAAAAAAATAAAGAGCCAATGCATTTTTCATTAACACTTGTGTCTACAACAAAATCCCAGGAGCTTAATAGTTCAGCAAGGCAAGGAAGAGAGACTATGGAGATTCATCACATCAAAGTGCTCGACAGTGTGCATTTCACCCACAAAATATAGTCAATCCACTTTACAGTGTATCCTGTGAAGCGCTTTGAGACAACATTATAAGACGCTATATCAAATGCAAGGATTATTATTATTATATCCTATGTGTTCATCCACAAAACACAGTCACTGTTCTGTACAGTGAATCCCACAAAGCGCTTTGGGACACTTTCCTGACATGAAAGACACTGTATCAAACGTAGGTATTATTATTAATAACGTAATTATCGTCGAGTGTAGGGACTTCTCTAGGCAAATTCTGCACAATTGACCGACTTATGTGGAGGATTGTTAGCCCTGACCCCACAGGGAGAAAGGTCTTTTTTCAGATAACATCACGGGATCTTTAACGTCCACCTGAGAGCAGGCTGATTACTTGAACCGTCTTCTGATTGAAGCCCAGGGTCCTAACAAGGGAGCTGAGCTCGTAGCTCGAATGCGCTCCGAGATGATGCCCCATATGAAGGGAGCTATATAATTGCAAGTTGTCGCTATTGTTGAACGTGGAGGAATGTTGTGGATTCAACCAACCCTCTCTCCTCTCACTTTTCTTTAATAAAATCCTGAGACAAGATTTTTTTAAAAAAAGGAAGCCAGATTTGTTGTGGTGGCTGAGGTTGAAATTGCTGCAGAGGAGGGGCGTGTGTGTGTGTGTGTGTGGAGGGGAGGTATGTGTGTGTGCAGTTAGCAGCCAGCAACAAGCGAGGAGGTAACTCACACAGCAGGTGGGGTAGTAGTTTCCATTCCGCTGCGTGCTGCCATACGTGTCCATTAAAAGCTGCGATCCGTCCTTCTCCAGGGCTATCAGCGCATTCCTGTCCTCCTCTGACTCAGAGCTTTTGTGTCTGAGCATCTTCTCACCCACCTTCCAGCCAGGACTTAGCACATTACACAGAGTGTGAACCCAGTCGCTTGCCAATGCACCCAGTGCATCCACCCGGCTCAGGGCAAGAAGCCAGCTTGCTGGGGATGGAAATCACAGCTCAGCCTCTCTCCCTCAAGACAAGCCCCAGCGTCTGGGAACAAATGATGTGCAGCTCTTTCTGAGCTAAGTCGCAGAGCACTGCATCACACCTCCAGCTTCCCCATTTTTATATCTCGCCAATGAGAATGTCTCCAGGGTCCACAGCAGCCACTGACTAAATGATGTAATCCTTGCAAACCGGCTTGCTCTCTCTCCTCTCTCACAGACTACACAGAGAGCAGGAAACAATCCCAGGACAGTGGTTTCCTGGCCAGTCGTTAAATATTGATAACAGAAATACGCAACACACAGAGTGAAGGAGATATAATGGAGATCAAAATCCTGCAAAAATGAAGCACCAGCCTTGCATTTATATAGCTCCCTTCAGGTGGGGTAGTGTCCCCTTGACAGTGGCGAAGTCTGACTCCGAGCCAGCAGGAGAGGGAGGGGTGAGGTGACTGTAAGCACCATCAAAAAGAATGGTCTTTCAGCAGGATTTGAAAGTGCGGAAGGAGGGGGCAAGGCGGAGGGATTGAGGGAGAGTGTTCCAGTTTTGGGGAGTAGTGACTGAAGACACGGCCACTGATAGTGGAACGGAGGAGACGAGGGACAAGCGGGAGGTGGATTGGGGGGTAAGCAAATTGGATAGGTAGGAAGGGGCGAGAGCATGAAAGGATTTGAAAATGAGTGAGAAGATCTTGAAATCGATCCGTTCAGTAATTGGGAGCCAGTGGAGCTTGGTAAGGACTGGTGTGATGGGGGTAGAGTTTTGGCAGCTTGGGGGGGTGGGGAAGAGGTGATGGATGGCTGAGAACAGTGTCTTTGGGTGTTTTTCGGGGGGGGGGGGGGGGCAAGGAACACTGGCTCGTTTAAGAAAGGGCTTGATATAATGGGAAGATACTAGGGTTAGTATTATGAAACGATGAGAGGTCACCCTAACCCTTCTTCATTCTAACCTCTAAGTCTTGAAATCTCCAGCTATCACACTCGACAACATCAACATTCCCAGAAATCAAGACAACTGATCACGTTTGGTTACTTGGCCAGATTACAGCACTGCTCTGTGGTTGCACTGAGAACTACATACTGAGGCATGTTATGGAGGCTGTATGGACAAGTCAGGAATGTTTAATGCTACAGGATTCAGTAACAAGGCGGTTCAGCTGACAATTTAGGCAGGTTCTGAGATTCTCGGCTGCCCGTGACCTGCACCAGATCAGGATCAAAACAGAAAGAGACAAAAACTTGTTCACAAAGCTTGCGATCTCTGAGTCACCTATAAAACTTTATATAGCGGCTTCCATGTGGGGCAGTGTCCTTAAATAATAATAAAATAGAAAGGGGAAGTATAATAGATAATTCAGTATATGGGGGAGGATATATTAGCATGTAATATTATCACATTATTTATTATTACTACAGGTGATAATAATCACATTGACCAAAAATGGAGATCAATGAGAATTGGTGGGAAGACAATGAGGAAAAGATTTCGCATCCGAGATCAATGCTTTTGGCCGTAGTTATGGTTGGTGTGACAACATGGTGTGACAACTAACATTGATGAACACGCAATAACTGTCAAACAAGATAACGCGAGAGTTCTGTTGTGATTCAGTCATTACCTTGTTGGTGTGAGATTGCCCTTTAATCCTGCAGCCGCTGGTATAGGCTCGGGTTGGGAATTGTAAAATAAAGGTGAACATCTATTCGGATGAAGAAAAGCGACTCCTGCACTGCAGCGAGTCAGTCTCTATTGCTCTGTCTGCACATGTTACGTTGGTTCAGATTTCAAATAGATTCCTTCACTGAGAAACCTGCTTACCCATCCTCTTCTGAAGGCAACAAGTCTCGCCACGAAAAGGTTCCTCCAGCATAATCCTAACGAAGATTGCCAGGCTCCATTATACAACTGTGCGACAGTCCCAATGTCCACTCTCACTGGTATTTAGTGCCCAATCTTTTTTGGTAATTAGTAACGTTTAAACATAGCCACAAGTCTTCAGGTCACAATGTAAAGATCCCTGCCAGGGAAAAACGGTGACCCTGTTTGCTTGGTTTTAAATTTAAAATTGCCCTTAAATGTTTTATGGGAATTTGCAGATCGATCACAAGTTCTGTGTACAGTCCCAGGCCACTCGCAGAGCCGGGAATCAGGTCCAAAACACAGTGCGGAGTGAGTGCACAGACCACAGATTACATGTTTTACTTCAAGGCATCGACTTCCATGTGAACGGCCTGAGAGATGATCTCTCCCAGTGCCTGGTTCTGGATTCCTTTCCATACACATTAACATTGCATTAGGTTTACGCCTCTGGCCGTGAATCAATACCTATACCAAACCACGTGTGAAAGCAACCAGTGTAACCTGTAACCAGGTGGGATATGCTGGAAATCCAATAGAATTAGAACCCCCACCCCACGGACCCTCCCCAATAATGGCAACTCCCTGTCCCACCTGCCTCTGGTTAGGAAATGGCTGAAATGCTGGATCATTGTTCAAATTGTTGTTGTCAACTGACGTTGAGCAAATGCACATTTTTAAAGTCATATTTTGACCTGAGACAAACATTTTTCTTTGCTAGATTTCCCGTGGCATGTTGCTGGCTGAGAAAGCAGCAGAAACTCGCACACGTTTAAATTCAGGCGACACCGAACACAGCACAAACACAGTGAAAGGGAACACGGTGACTTGCACCGCCTAGCTACCATTCAGCCTGACATTTACAGCAACATGGAATGACACACAGCGAGAGAGATAGTGTGCTCCGGGGAAGAGACTGTGTTGGTCTGTGAAGGATTTCAGCAGGGGGAAACTCTTTGCTCGTGACTGTGGTGGGGAGGAGGGACAAGTCCAGCTGTCACCTGGTCCTGGTACCAGAGGTGCTCCGCAAGTCCATTCAAAATGTGAGCTACCTCCAGCAGCCCTGCCTTGCCATCCACGGTCTTTCCATCTGACAACCAGGGTCCGTTAACGTTCTTCATCCTGAAGATGGGGAGATGCCAGGTCTGCTGGAACTCCCTCAGGTCCCTCTCAGTGACGTCAGTGTGCATGTACTGATCAAATCTGTTAGCATTTAGTCAAAGAAGTTAAACAGGGACTGTTCTGCTATTGCTATAACACACTGTTTACGCAGTCTTTCCCCCAGTCAACCTGGTTTATATTGCCCTCTTAATGCACATACACCCCCAAAATTTCAGGTTAATTGGCTGCTCATCTCATTGGTAGTGGAGATGAATTGCTGGGTTTGCCTGTGTATCAATCACTTAATTTTTAATCGATTATATTTTGTAAAGCATTTTTTTTTGTTTTTTTGGTCAGCCGGGTGTCGATACCCATCATCTTGCATAAGAGTATACAAACTCTGGACTAAGGTACCAGAGAGGTCCTGGCACCTGCTGAACGTACATGAGAATGAGACGACGGGTGGAAATTGGGAAAAATAAAACCAGCGGTTAGGCAAAGCGGTCAGAACCCAAACATGATTTGGTTATCTTTCCGACATGAAGGGCGCTATTCAAGTGTAATTTGTTGTTTGTTGTTGTTATCAAAGGATACTTTGTGCCGATAATAATTTTAGTAATTTTATCAGAATTGTCTACTATCCTTGACATTTGGTTGGGCAAATCATCGAATGATGACCGATCGGTGAAGGAGAAAAGGAACAAGATGGCATCAACCTTGTCCTTGCAGGCCTGAGGGAGATAAAGAAAGACATTGAAACAGTCATCACGTCTTATGGCTTGCAAATATAATCGAGAAGGGATAGCACTGAAACAGAAAACATGTATAACTAATAGGTAATCAATAAAGTATCAACTAGCAAAAGGTCAGCAGGGATTGGTCATTACTGAACATTCATTGGAAGCGTCTAATCATCAAAAAGGTTCAGAATTTCTTTGAAATGGAGGATGGAGATGGTTTGCTTACAGGAAGTATATGGTCAAACTTCTTCAGTGCTGCCTCCCCACAGTCCCAGAACTGAAAGCTAAACATAATCACTCGGCCAGTCTCCTTCAGCTTTCCTGGCCAGTACACGATCCTTGTTTGAATTCCTGCAGTTAAGACAACAATTGAAATATGGACTTAAACTTTGACTGAAATTCCAGCCTTTTTACTACTTTACCAAGCCAGCTTGTGTGAGGCTAGTGTGAGAAGAGACTGCCTGTGAACCTGCCCATCTCCCTGAGTTCTATTCTCTCTATTGCCCCTTTGATGCAGCAAGTGTGAATTCTGTTGCTTGTTCGGCTCTGGTCTGTTTTGTTTGTCTCCTGTGTGAAATTGCTCTGCCTTGAAAAGGCTATTCAGATATTTAAACACGTAAAACAAGACTTTGTAGTTGGGAGGATGTGATGATGGCACAGGTGTCAAGGCAGTCCATCAAAGGAATTCAGAATTGTGTCAGCCGAACATCAAAGGCTAAGAGTTTTGGAGTTAACGGAGTGTGAGGAAAGTCTGGATATTTTACATCCCATCAATACAGAGAAAGAGGGAGGCTGAAACTCCAGCTCAGGAACGAAAGAGTCGTTTAAATTTGCACAAGGGAACAAGAACAGTCAGACCTGGTAGTGGTTAGTAAGTACTCTATTGTTTTTGTGTTATGTTTTGTTTGTTATACCTACAGGTTTGGCTGCAAATAAAAGATTGGTTTTAAACCACCATTTGTCTTCAAACTTCTATATTGCTAAAAAGGAGATTCCGTCTTCTAAAAGAGGCAAGTCTCAATCAGACTATGGCCAAATTCAGAAGGGAAATTGACACAGGAATACAATGTTGTTAAACACCCACAAGGAGCAGGCTCAATCAGCCTAAACCCTTCTGGGAGGGGTAAGATTATAACAGCTAATAAGAGTTTCATAATTAATGTTTAATTGTATTACATTCTAACTCAATGAAAAATCTTAATAGAAATAATAACAATAATAATAATAATGGCTTGAGTAACTGAAGGCTTACGATGGGTTGGTGAAGGCTTACGATGGGTTGGAGGAAGTAATAGACCAGAACTGAGAAAGCAGATGGTAAGGGCACAAGAAAAGGGATGAGGAGAGTGTAAAGAGCAGAGGCAAAACTGTGAAAGAACTGAACGTCTGGACAAGGATCTTGAAGTTGATCCACAGGGAGCCAGTGGAGCCTGGTGAGGATGGGATAATGCACACATGCGGAGGCTTTGACTTTACCTGGGGTCTCGTAATGGGTGCTGGAGATTTCCGAACCTGCAAGCTTGGCAACCGTGGCAGTTTTCCCTACTCCGCTCTTCCCGGACAGGAAGATCTTGTAGCACGCGGTGTCAGTCAGAGCCTTCGGGGGGAGCACAGGCCTCTCGAGCAACCCTGGCCAAAAACAAAAGCATTAAAGAACGCCTGGAATGGAAATGTCGTTTAATTAAGGAAATAAAGGCGGCTTTAAATAATAATAATAATAATCCTTGCATTTGATATAGCACTTTTCACGTCTGGAGGACGTCCCAAAGCGCTTCACAGAAACACACTGTAAAGTGAATTAACTGTATATTTGTGGGCGAACGTGGCAGCCAATTGCGCACAGCAATGTCCCACAGACAGTCGTAGATTGAAAATGACCAATTTATTATTGTTTTGGTTTTGGAGGGATTATTATTAGGCTCTGTGTGGAGTAAGGAAACTTGCCCAAGGTTTCGCCCTCTGCCTGAAATTGAACTCAGGTCTCTCGCTTGCAAAGCGAGTGCTCTAACCACTGAGCTACAGGACTCCACTTTAAATTGAATGAAATTTAAAAGAAAGAACGAGGGTTGCACAATTTAGCAACGTGTTCTTGCCTGCTCCTACACGGCACGGGGACAATCAAGGGCAGCGACTCTGCTATAGGGTTAAACTTAAATGGTCCTAAAGGGTAACGTATCCGGCAAAAAAAAACGCACACATTGCAATTAAATGCTCCTTCCTCCAGCCAGGTGCCCGATCCCCGCAGCAACCCACCACCCAGCGGCAAGATGTCTGAATCTCTGAAGATGAACACCACCGCGCTGTTTGAACCGGATCAGAACCCCCTCCCCCCCCCACTCACCCCGCGACCACACCGCTTCCTTAGGTTCACGGCGCCCGCTTTAACAACAACAATAACTTGGATTTACACAGCGCCCTCCACGTCGGCCGCCGGACGGCGTCTCTTTACCGAACATCTTCCTCTTGTTTCTGCGCAGGATGCTAGTCAGGTGTTCCCGGCTGTCGGCAGACAGGTGCCAGTCCGCAGCGATGAGAGATCCCGGTTTCAGCAGCATTGCGATTGCTTGGAAGCGGAGTGGGGGGTGTGGGGGTGTGTGGGGGGAGAAGACGAAACCCGGCGTCACGTCTCGGCAATGAGTTTCCTGGGGAAGGGTTACGAGCTCTTCACAATATATACGATTCCAATACGATCGGACTGTTGTTGTACAGAAAACGGGACCATTTGTTTTTCTCCACGAGTCACCCTACATAATAATAATAATAATAATGATTAACAATAATAATGAATAATAATAATGATTAACAATAATAATGAATAACAATGGTCAACAATAATAATGATGACAACAATAATAATCCTGGCATTCGATGCAGCCCCTCATCCCCTCGTCGAGACGTCTCAAAGCGCTTCACGGGACACACACACACACACACACGTCAAGTGTAGTGACTGTGTGTTTTTTTTTTGGGGGGGGGGCGCCTCCACACGAACAGCCGTGGGTTTGAAAGCGGCCAATTTGTAGTGGTATTATTTTTTTGGAAGGAATTATTCAGGGGAGCGGTGGTGGGAGAGAGAGAGAGAGAGAGGCCTGAACCCCCCCCACCCCACACCCACCCCACCCCTCACCTCCACCCCCAGCAATGGCCGCCAACAGCCTTCACTCCAAAGCCTATTCTCACAGCAGCCACCGCTCCCCCCCCCCTCCTCACTCCCTCCCCTTCACTCCCTCCCTCTCCTCCCCGCAGCCCGGGACAAGCCCGCAAACACCACCGCCGCGCCAGGCCCGAGGCTCGAGGCCTACCCGGTTGCCATGGCAGCCAACGCTTCCCGGCCGCCGCTGCGTCCTGCGTCGGATCTGACGTCAGCGTCACGCCGCCGCTGTCGTCGCCGCGCCGCCCGTCGACGTCACGCGCAGCCGCTCGCCACGCCCCTTCCCCCACGTGGCGCTGCTCCAGCGGTGCTGCCTCTGGGCTTTGGGGGACATTCCGCCCCAATGGATGTTCACTCACTCCCGCGCCAAGTGCTCCATCGCCCCTCTCCCTCCCTCCCGCCTTCCCTCCACCCTCCCTCCCTCCTGCCCGCCATCCCTCCCTCCACCTTCCCTCCCTCCTGCCCACCATCCCTCCACCCTCCCTCCCCTCCCTCCCTCCTCCCGCCTTCCCTCCCAACTGCCCTCGTGCCTTCCCTCCCTCCCTCCTTCCCTCCCTCCCTCCTGCCCGCCTTCCCTCCTGCCCGCCTTCCCTCCCTCCCTCCTGCCCGCCTTCCCTCCCTCCCCTCCGCCCGCCTTCCCTCCCTCCCTCCTGCCCGCCTTCCCTCCTGCCCGCCTTCCCTCCCTCCCTCCTGCCCGCCTCCCTCCCTCCCTCCCTCCCTCCTCCCTCCTCCCGCCTTCCCTCCTGCCCGCCTTCCCCCCCCCCCCCCCTCCCTCCCTCCTGCCCGCCTTCCCTCCCTCCCTCCTGCCCGCCTTCCCTCCTCCCCTCCCCCTCCCTCCTGCCCGCCTTCCCTCCCTCCCCCCCCCCCCCCTCCCTCCTGCCCGCCTTCCCTCCCTCCCTCCTGCCCGCCTTCCCTCCCTTCCCTCCCTCCCCTGCCCGCCTTCCCTCCCCCCTCCCCGCCTTCCCTCCCTCCCTCCTGCCCGCCTTCCCTCCTCCCTCCTGCCCGCCTCCCTCCTCCTCTGCCCGCCTTCCCTCCCTCCCTCCTGCCCGCCTTCCCTCCCTCCCCCTCCCTCCCTCCCCCTCCCTCCACCCTCCCTCCTGCCCGCCTTCCCTCCCTCCTCCTGCCCGCCTTCCCTTCCCAACATCCCCCACACCCACCGCCCGCCCCAGTTCGTTCTGACGTAAAGCTCCTGGACCCGAAACGTTGACTCACTTTCCTCTCTCCACAGCCGCTGCCTGACCTGCCGAGGGTTCCCGGCCGCTTCTGCTTTTGCTCCAGATTGGAGTCCTGTGGCTCAGTGGTTAGAGCACTCACTTTGCAAGTGACAGACCTGGGTTCAGTTCCAGGCAGAGGGCGAAACCTCGGGCAAGTTTCCTTACTCCACACAGAGCCCAATAATAATCCCTTCAAAACCCAAAACAATAATAAATTGGTCATTTTCAATCCACAACTGTTTGTGGGACATTGCTGTGCGCAATTGGCTGCCGCGTTTGCCCACAAATATACAGTCAATTCACTTTACAGTGTGTTCTGTGAAGCGCTTTGGGACGTCCTCCCGACGTGAAAAGCGCTATATCAAATGCAAGGATTATTATTTCCAGCATCTGCGAGTATTTCGCTGTTGATTTTCTAAAGGGCAGTGTATCCTTTGAAACACTTTTGAGCTGCCCTTTGACGACGTGACGAGGCGCTTTATCACACGCGAGGATTATTTGTCACCAATTCTGTGAACAACGGTCGTCCTCGCGCTTAGTGCGGTGCCTTTCACGTTGGCAAGACATCTAAAAGCGCTTTGCAGGATACGCCGTGTAACAACAACAAGGTTTCATTCATAGAGCGCCTTTCACTCGGTGCAGTGCGGCCAGCGAGAGTTTTGTGGGCGAGCGTGGCAACAGATTTCCCCGCAGAGTTCCCCGCAGCAAGTTGCCCTCCTCGGTCCAAGATAAGCACGGGTGTTTCCACAGTCACGTCACAAAACGATCCCATTCTTTTAAGTAATATCTTTTAATTAAAGGTCACTTCAAACAGTTTTACAAAATACTTGCATTACACTCAAATCATGGATGCAGGCAAACACACCTGCTCTGCCCATAAGCTACCAGTGCGTCTGTGTGGGGCACAACGTGCAGATCCCACTATAGACGGACCACTGCATTGGAGATGAAAGCTTCTGATATAAACAGAAGTTGTTCTGAGGGGAGAGAAAGTTAGGTCTAAGCACAGTTCACCAAAATACATTTAAATCACTCGTCTTTCCTCACAACGGTAATTTCAACACAGAGCCAAGTTGTTAGAAAATTCTACTCAATCCGAAAACGTTGAGTGTTGGGTCAGGATTTGCCCTTTTAAAACGTATTATATCTTCTACTGAAAAATGTGTCTTTTTTTGTCCATTTTAAACCTTATTGTAATAGATTAAACCTCACTCGAGTCAGAATTCACTCGCCGTTTCTTTGTTTGTCGGTTTGGAACACGGTTTCCCCACACACGCCTGGATGAATGCTCAACTCCCAAAGCAAAAGGTTGCGAGTTCTGAGAGCAATCTTCAGACGTGTCTCTTGTTTAGTGGATGATTTGCCTGCCAATGTGGGCCAGCATTGTCAACGGCTGCACAGAGGAACTCAGCCCCTCCTGGTTGCAGGATGTCAGGGAATGAATTAACCGTCAGTAGAAGGGGGAGGAACACAGGGGGAAAAAAAAAGTTACGTTTCAAAATCAAAATTGTTGCGGAAGAAAACATTTAGTAGAAGTTTAAGCATATGGCGTTTACTCCCTAATGTGTGTGTGTGTGTGTGGGGGGGGGGGGGGGCGGGGGTGTTATCTGCAGCATTCCTTGTATCATTACCAGCAATAAACAACTAATGGCAAATTCTGGATACCCAGAACTAGATCACTGCAAACCAACTGAATCATTTATGAATGAAAAAAGCTATTAGAAACGATTCAAACTAATCAGGAGCATTGTGTGACGAATAGCAGAGAGATCCAGAAAGATTGGTGCAGAAATTCAGTCCCGACCTAATTATACCGAGGTGCAATGTTAGGCCCTCGATTGTCTGTTTGTCTCTCTCTTCTCCCAAAGTTAACACAGTAAGCTTGATGTCTATGTTGGCAGGAGATCTTGTGTGGATAACACATGATGACTTGATTGTGTGGCTATCCTACCTGCCTAGCCTGGCAGGACTGCAAGAATTTCCACCATTTGCCTTTCTAAACCTCACACCTGCAGAAAATGAATTGCATCTGAAACAAGAGTAGTGATTCAAACAGGTATTGTTCTTTGTTCAAAGTCCAGCACCCAATTAGCTCTGCCACTTGGGCCTTGTGAGAGGAAAACGAACAACATTTGAAGGATGGGGAGCAGTGACACATTCCATGACTCTGTATAGAGGCACCCAAGGGTGTTTACCTCAAATGCCTCTCAAACAAGCACCTTTTGCACAAGTAACACTTATTCTGGGTGGCAAACATTCTAGCCATGGACCAACACTGCACAAAAATATATTATTGACATAGATTTTCCAATAAAATGTTATTTTCCTTTAACACTGTTAATAGTAAAAACGTCTCTATACTGTGTCACATGAAAAGGTGAAACAAGCCCTCGGGAAATGACACCAAGTTCCAGTCACTAACAGTAAGACACCCATGAATGCAATCATCATGAGACCTAAACAGATTAACGACACTCTTTAAATCTCGGTCAGTAGCTGAACACAAATAGGCAATTTTGCATTGAAAAGAACATTTTGTTAAAAAAAAATCGATGGGAATGCACCATCAAACAGAGATGAAACTTAGTTAAATGGTTGTGTATCATTTCCCTGCTCCCTGCTGTTTTGCGCTTCTAATTTTTTGTACATACACATTTCCCCCCACATTTACAATGAGTGACTGCAGTCCTAAAGTCAGCAGGCCTGAAGACTTTGGATGCTTGCAACAGCATTGGGTGTCTCAAAATTCAGATAGCTCTCCCCTCACCCCTTACACACACACAGTTTTAACTTCTGTAGTGAAATAGGAGTTGCTCCAAAACATCAGGGCAGGAGATAGGCATGCAAATAGGAAAGACTACATATAAGTTCAAAAACAGTCTTGTAAATCAGGCCATACCACAGTCAAATAGCTACTGCACAACTGTTACAGTAAGAGTATAACACAGGTCAGGTACTCATAAGTTGGGTATTGGCAGGAGGGTAAACTGGAGGCAGATCTGAATGATCAAGTTTTGTGGATGAAAGATTTGCATAGGATTCAACTTCATTGCTATTTCTTGAATCTTAATAGGATTAGGAAAGAGGATGATACGAGTAGCACGACAGACATGGTTTGTTTAGGAAGGAGGAAAATCACTCAAATATAAAATATACCTGGACCATAAAGTTTCATAAACCATAATGGGGGTCAAACGTGCAATGTTTCTTATCAGGATTGCTTAATCGGGGAAATTTCAGGACTCCCAATGGAAACTAGACTGTACAAGACACAGAAGTCCACTCTGATCGGGTCCATTCCCAGACGTTCGCTGCGTCTTCTAAACGGGGATTAAGGAATCCATTCAGAAAAACAGTACGTTAGCTCCCCCGAGTGTGAATTCAAACCAAGGCATGGGAAGGTTAACCTGATATGCATCCATTTACAAAGAGCCTTGGTCGGAGCACTTCAAAAATGAGCTTTTCATTTGCTACATTTACTCAATTTTATTTAGAGTCTGATGAAACGATGCATGTTTTTATTTTATTTTTTTTTAAAAATGACACATGAAGGAAGCTCATCTTGTGTTAGTTAAAACACGTAGAGAATGGGAGCAAAGCAACATACACTTAAATGCAATGAGAAAGACCAACACTTGCCCGGCTCTACCATTTCATTATAAAGCGACTGAAACCTGCGCGCCCTCAATCACTGCTACCGCCTTCAGCACAAGTGTTAAGCTCGGTGCCAATATACAGGGTGTTCACAAATTTTTATTTTCTGTTGCAGGTGAGTGGAGTGGAACAATGTCTGATACCAGTAACTTCCTCCTCACTCCATCCAAGTTAAGGAAGACGTGGCAGTGAACATGGCGATGGATTATTTTCCATGAAAATGATTGCGCTCTCACACACAACCCCACCCCCTCCCCCCACACACCCCAATCCTCTGTTCGTCTAAATACAGTTACTTGCACTGAATACAATTAAGCACTTCTAAATAAAGTTACATCATTCTTCCATGTTTCAATTGTTGGTCATTGCACTGTAGAGAAAAAACGCATGGGGGCGCAGGGGTAACGGGACTTTGTGAACAACCTGTAGACACAAACTGCAGCTCAACCTTTCACCGGCAAATACATTCAACACTGTGCAGCCCTCCGGTTAATTGTCAGCACTTTAAAATGTCTGAACCCCATTCTGTACGGATCCTGGTAGCTTGACTAAAAACAAATTACATTAGCATGAAATCAGCTGCGGAGGATTATTGTAAGATGCAATGCAGTATAAAGGCATAATTAGCAGATTTCAAACCTCTCACACACACACACACAAGTGTGAACTTTTATCAGCCGCCAATGTGCGCTCAGCTCTATTCCACGTGCGCGCCCAGGGCTGGAAGTATTTAGGATTTTGGAATTTCCACCCAAACCTCACATGGCTGCTTTACGACAGATTTGGCAGCTCAGTTCTCAATAGGGTCCATTGTAGGCTCCAGTGAGTTTGGATTTGACTGCTCTACAAGTCTCATTGCACAGACTTATTCATGTCCCTTATCAGATAGTCTATTTATTGCATAAATTGCTCCATTTCCTAGGTTTTGCACTCAGGTGAAAATCCAGCACAGAGGAAATGGAAGAGAAACCGAAGATCAGTAGAAAAACATCACCTGTATATTGCTGAATTAGTGAGAACCTCCGCTAGGAAGCTTTGCTCATCAACGGCCACTTTCTGTCGCGCTCAGGATTCTTGGCGATGACCTTAAATTTATTGGCAGCAAAGTTTTCTTTTAAAAGACGGAACAAGTTCTCAAAACAAAAATAAAGTAAAGCAGTGTTAAAAATGTACTTGCTATTTTAAAAAAAAGTAACATTCTGTTCAACTGGACGCCCAGATAGAGTAAGCGAGCGAGAGAGGGCTTTGCTTGCCATCAGTGCGTACATATATAGCTGCTTGACAAGAGAAACTAGATCAAATAAAACTCCTCTGACTTGTCTGCGCTAAGGCAGCTGATCTCAATTAGAGTAGAAGTACAGATATTATACAATTGTTTTTCGTGACCCTAGGCTACAGACGGGGAGGGGGAAAGGGGGAAAAGAGAAACGAGCCAGGCTCTCCAGACATCACAGCTGGCAAATGTTTCTTTGTGTTTAATTTTCAATGAGAATAGGGTTGGCGATAGCCATGACACTCTCTAAATTTGAATATCAGGTCAACAAGCCCTGTCTAGGTTCACGCTTGAAGGAACATTGGCCGTTTGTGCAGCGGGAACTACAGGAATGCCAGGAACCTCCACCAGCTCCGCTCACTGACCTCAGGTGGTGGTGGTGGGGTGGGGGGAGAGAGAGAAATTTGGCACAAATAAAAAAAGAACGCTAAGTCTGAAAATTCCTTGCCACTAAAAATATCTGGGTTAATGGGATGTGCGAGGCACTCGATTATACCAAAGGCAGCTGCACCAACCACTGCCCAGTAATCATAAAATACTGTATATAAAGCATCAGCATCAGAATGAAAGTGGGACCAGCTTCAGACCAGAGACTATAGATATAATGTTTCTTGTAATGAGAGATAACCAAGAGTTTCTGTACTACAGCAACACTCCGCCTCACTATGCCGTTTTAGCCATAAGGGTGATTTGTGGTCAAGGCTGACATCTCAAGTGTCAGTCTTTGAGGTAACAGAACAAAGCTATCAGGAAACACCACATTCCTTCTGCTTATGGAAAAGATGATAGATATTGTCACCTCAGCCTAAACCCTACAGCTCCAGTGCAACAAGGGTTAGTGCTGACCCGCAGTGATCCCACAGTATAACAAAGTCATCACAGCTCCACCGATCATCACAAGCCTACACTTCTCTTATACACCAGCATTTGCGCAATTCACTCTTAAATCAATTAGTGTACGTTTAACTTCGAAACTCCTACACCATACCTTTCTGTCACTGACTGAACCACGTGTGAATGGAATTGCCTTGAGAGTCGTTAAGCAATCTTTTGTCCTTTTCTAGATATCAACTGGCTGACCTGGGAAGAATGTCGACTTGAACGCAAGCCAACGATCGAGGGGGCCATCTCACTGAAGCACGGACTGCTCTACAACCAATCCAAACAATGTAAACTCCTGCCCGCCAGCTGTGCCCTGCCTGGCCCGGCCTGTACCAGTTCCGTGCCAAGATCTCGCCCAAACTTGCTAACCAGCTGGATTGCCACCAAGAAGTACTGCAACTGGTGGAACCAGCCGCAGTCATTTCCTCAGCATTGAAGGCAGAAGCCAGAGTATCGATCACAGCGTGAATTAAATGAAGACACACAAATCCAAACGTGGAATGAAAAACACTGGAACTGGATCGAAATGATTTTTTTTTTGTGCGCGCATGTGCACGTACGTTTGCGTTTTAAAAGCAAACTTAATCCATTTGCGGAATAGTTTTTACAGATAATCGTATTTTTTTTTGTTTGAATTCACAGCTTATGGTGCGGTGCGCCTCAGGTAGAGTGAAACACCCCTCGAGGCAGTGCATTATCTCTTAGCGCGCACAAAATACAACGCGTTGGTTTTTGGATAGTACTTCACATTCTGTTTCTTGTCCATCAAGCCCCCGAATATGATCAGCTCACCCCGGCCTTGCACCACCGTGTGGAGGCTGGTTTCCGGTGGGCCGACGACAGAGCCACTGTTGAATATTTTCCAACTGACTCTTCCCTTTTCCTTTGCGTCCTTGATGTCCAGGACGTACATTTGCATCGGTTTGCAGTTCATGCTCTGGTACAGAGGCTTCCCTACGTTCAGGGACTGAGGTGGGTGGTGGCCTAAACGGCGTGCAATTGGCGGCAAAGAATGTCCGTCTCCCTGGGAAGGCGCAGAGCGTGACGGTGGGTCCGTGCTGTTGGAACTCTGACCTGGCAACACAGGCGAAGAAGCTGGGCTGGGGCTTCCTTGTTGTGGAGCTGGCGTTGAACCTTGTGGCAAAAAAGCCTTGACGGCTTCGAGACCTCTCCGCAGAGCTCCTGGAGAGACAGGGCCGGGAGCAGCACTGGCTATGTCAGGTGGAGTGTGGATCCCATTGGTCTGTTCGGGAGGGTTCCCAACATTGATACCAGTTCCTGGACTTGTTGCAATGCCCTCCTCTCCGTGGCTACTGCTGGAGGAGGGTTTGGAGTCCCAGGTTACACAGTCCTGAGCTCTGTATGGATCTAGTCCTGAATCGCCTTTCTGTTCCATTAGTTCTCTTTGCCTAGTGCCTGTCGGAAGTCCTCCAACTGAGCCTCTGAGATCATAAGGCTCCACCACAGCCGGTGTGATAGGGGATCCGGGCTGTACAGGACTGTCCAAGCTGCCAGCCAACGACCCTGGTGACAAGGTACCTCCATTCAGAACAGGTGAGCTGTCCCCTCTGGCTGGGGAGAGACTGCCTTCCCGAGACCCTGACATGGGTGGCCTGTGTGTCCTGGGCCGGAGGGTGCCCCAGCGCCCGTTCACACACGGAACCTCATCCGTGCTCCTCACCGGGGACTGAGAACGGTGTTCCCTCATTTCGGCGCCAAGGGTGGGAGGCGTGGCACTGATGGGAGATGGGCGGGAATGCAAGCTGGGACTGAGGGGAGCACGGCCACTGGGTGCCTGGCTGAACACCACCACACACTGGCCAACCTGCAGAGTGATGAGAGAGAGGGAGAAAAAAAATCAACTGGATTTTGCATATTTAAAAATAATCTCTGGAACAAAACAATATCAAGTTCAAAGTGTTTGGAGACGTTATCCTGCACATAATAGGGGTAAGAAATAAAGTTTTCAGGTTTGCTTTGCTTTCACATCAAATCTGTTATGAAATGACAAATGTTTCAACCCAATACGCCACATATGGCTCTCCTAGAACCTCCTTGGTCTGCACCTGAAAGGACCTTATTGCTACACCTAATGCCATGACTGCCGTGTTTCGCCCACAAAACACAACCAATGCTCCTTACAGTAGATTCTGTGAAGCGCTTTGAGATGTCTCAATGATGTGATAAGGAGCTGTATCAAATGCGAGGATTATTATACAATATTATTATTATTGAGCAAAGTCAAGTTTGGCACAAACCCCAGTTGTAAACACCTTTCATTTAAAAAAAATGTCTCGACCTCTAAATATATAGAAAAGGGGCAACTGTTAAGAGTCCGGATTGTGAAGCCTTACCCTGCAGGCTGGATGGCACCACAGCTCAGGGGCTCCATGTTCCTCATTCTCCACCTTTAGCTGTTGCCAAGTCCACGGAGACACTCTCATGTGCAGCAGCCAGGCATCCTTAAACAGCTGCACAGGGACAGCAATTAACTGGTTATTGCACAAGCACAGCACAAAGAGATCTCTCCACAGCTCAGGACTAGTCCGAAAGAATCAGCAGAAGGTTAGAAGGAATTTCTCCACATAGCCTTGCTCAGTTTAGCCTAGTCTGTAGTATTCTCACTGGTGGGTCAGAAACCTTGTGTCAGGACTTGAGCTCACAGTCAAGGCCAGTGCAGTATTGAGGGAGCACTGCATTGTCCAAGAAGGTAATCTTAAAGTGAGACATTAACAATCCTGTGACAATAATCAAAGAGAGGAGGGAGTTTATTGTCCTGACCAATAACCTCCAAATTGTTCATTCACTCCATAGCTATTTTTGCACCTTGCTGTGCGCAAAATGATTACAATATTTGCCTATAAAATGTACTCACTTCACCTTAGAAACCTAGCAAGTTAAAGCACTGAAGAAGGCCATTTGGCCCAGTGCGTCTGTGCTGGTTCTTTTGATATGGCAAGGAAACCATTATAAAAATGTACAACTTTTTCTTACAGAAAGGAACTGCAGATACTCACTGCATTCGGTCCTCCACAGCCACCGAGGATTAGAATTGTTTCATGATCAATAATAATCTGAAATTAAAAGAAAATAAATTGGACATGAATTCCCCAATATCCTCCGGGCATACCCTCAGCTCCTGACACTGGTCTGATTGCTTTCACTCTTCACTTGTTCTTCTCAACCAATGGTTGCCGAGTTTTCTGCCACTAAGTCTTCTCTGACCTTTGATAAACATCAAACTCCCCTTCTTCTCACCCTACTCAGTGATGCTCATTGTCTTTGTAAAGCGCTTTCCCCGACTTTCATTTCAAGCGAAAGCTGCAATAGAAGCAGTGCAGTGGCTGATGGAGAGAATACTTGGCAGCACTATGTTTCAATACTCCAGCAGACCCACTTGTTTTCACTGTGAGTAGTTTCCCACGAATATCAATGTTAACCTGCATTTCAAGTCTGTATTCCGAAAGCCAGTCAAGGAAAGCAGCATCAACTGAACAGCTCAACAGGAGCGCAAATGTTATGGGTGATTTAGCTAAGGGGTTAATTGTCTCACCTGGAACTGGGGTTTAGTTAGCAAGAGGTTAACTGTCTCACCTGGGATTGGCCTCCCCTGGGGTGGGGCACGATACCCGACGTGGTTGGTTTGGACCAGGCCCACTGCTCCAGGTCCAGGGTCCACACCTCATTGCTCCTGGATGGAAGACCAACAGCGCACATCAGGGAGGAACAAGCAACATGTCCATGATAATTGGTAATGTAAGATGGTACTCAGACGTCAGACCTCATAAAACGCAAGCATTGAATGCACCAGAATAGATACTCGAAGGGCCTAATTGGCTAAGGTAAATCAGGAAGGATCAGAGCAACACAGGAATAGAGCAATAATAAACCAAACAAAAGGAAATGGCCAAGGAACGAAACTGGATCAGTGATAATGGAAAAGGATTTGACAAATGACTGAACAAAACAGAGTCTCCCCTGGAGGGATGGCATGCCGTGGATTTTAAAACTCACTTTGTCATTTCTGGTGATGCAGATATTCCAGAGGATGGAATACTCAATTGGAGCATAAACGGCAACTAAATCCTTGTCAGGGAATCTGATCAAAAGGAAGGGATCTGAGGCTCAAATACCTTCCCCACATTATGAATTGAGATGCTAGACCCTATATAATTGCAGCTGAGACACCACCTTGGTTCAGTTCAACGTTGGGGATTGGGAAAAAGGCTCCAATGCAGGAAAGGGCACCTATTTAGGATTTAAAACTATCCTTCCAAACCAAACATTCTCCTGCAGTGAGGCCCATTGTACATCAGAGCAACCTACTGTACCTGGGCTCAACAGTAATCTTCATTCCAGTTACCCTCAATACCATTTATGCTGCCAGTTTAGTTTCCCTTCCCAACATCACAGCTAAACACAATTTTCATTCTCACCTCTCCCACGTTTGGGAGAAGTGTGCTTGTTTTTAAAATGACAATCTAGTGCAATCAGTCTGGAGACTGCCAGAGGCCTCGTTTTTCTAAGACAAAAAAGAAGGCGGGGACACTTTAGCACAAATCAAAAGGTTCAATTGCTGCTGTGTAGTGTAGTTAGCAAGGGCAAATTGCTTCCTTCCATTGTCTGGATCAGATAACACTTCATTTTAACAACCACTGATGTGTTCATCTTCAAAGAGGATTTAGATCAGATCAAAAGAGAGTTCCACTTCAATGTTGCGGTTCTGGAGAACAAAAGCCCTTTGCAAAAAAAAGCCTCTAATGTTTTTAGGCAAACTCTGGGCACTGATCACTGCAGCAAATACACAGAAATTGCGTAGGCATCATGATGCTGTCAAGATGTTTGGACATACAGAAAGCTACCATTGGAACATTTTTGGATAAAATAATAATAATAATCCTTGCATTTGATACAGACATTTCACATCAGGAAGAAAGACTTGGTGATACAAAGGATATATTTGCACCACTATTAAAACACAGGCTCAGTGTTAAACTGTGTTACGACCCACTTCTGGAGCGAGAGAGCAGACCCAGATTAAGATCTGCAGTCTGCTAGTAGGAGCAGCTGGGAGACTGAGAAACAGCACTCCTTCAAAAAAAATACAGAAAATGCAGCATTGTCAAAGAACAAACACAAAAGTAGATGTTTAACTGAAAATCTAACAAACTTGAAAAGCAGCACACCTAACAAATCACAAACTGTTTGCCCTGGCTAGAAACATACAGGTTTGCCTTTGTAATTCCCCACATGGCAACTTTCGATGGTCCCATATGCCTTAGGTAAAGCTCCCAGCAGAGCCTGAGAACCTTTCCAGGTAGGGGTGGTGGTGCGGATGGTGGAAGAAAAGGTAGTTGCTCAGTAGCTCTTTGTACTGGCATAAGAGCAGAACCATAGCAGAAACCTTGGAGCTGATCATTAGTTGAACCTATTCAGTCAGAGTTGTACACACACCACAAAATCCAAACGATTTGGGATGAGGAGCCGTAAAGTAAACTAAAAACGAGGAAACAACATGATCCTGAATGGTGGATTGGGCAGGTGGGGGAGAGCGGTGGTGGCTTTAATTCAGTGGCACATTAAAAATCAGCACTTAAAAAGCACTCAAGATATAATACATACTTTTTTTAAAAAACAACATTTAAGATCTGAATACATACATCTGCCGAGAACCTAAAGACCCTCCAAATACAATCATTTGATCTCCTATGACAGATGACGAATGGCCAGCCATTGGAGGGGGGCCATGAGTTGTCACGATACAGTTCCACCTTTAAAGAGAAAAAACATAGTTTTGTTGAGGTTAATTACCATATAGAGCAATAGAAAAGCTAATTAAAAACTGATTTAGCCACTAGTACAATGTTTATCTGACCTTGTAAATTTCCCAATTTCATTCTCATTTCAAACCCAGTTGAAACTCCATTTACAAGAGCATTCCCCAAACCAACACTGCTGCTTCTCAGTGGATGTGCCGGTTGCTGCTGAATGTACTCACCCGGGCCTTCTTTGTCTCAAGCGACTCCATTCAGCCCCGAGGGATTCCGGAATGGAGATGATAGGAGTCTAAGATTGATTGACAGCGGACTCCAGCCATCCACAAGCCGCTGGAGTTGGGCTGTCAATCAGTGAGGGGGCGGAGGAACGGGGAAGAACAAGGGAGGGAATATCGCGATTGATTGACAGCTGAGCCGCTTGTGAACGGGTGGAGTGCCACAAATGGCTGCAGGCCGTGAATCACCTGAGCGCCATATGTAAGGCGGAGAAGCACTTTTACCAGTTTTTAGATGGTGAGTAGGTGTGGATCTCATCAAAGAACCGCTCGGGCTGATGCAGTGGGTAGGGACTTGGTCTGGTCCAGCCTCCAAACAACACCAGAAGGTCCTTGTAAACAACTAATGTAGCCCCAGCTTTTGGAGAAGGGTATGAACCTACAAGAAAAAATAGAAATCACTAAGATTAGTTACTGCGCTTACACCCACCCCCCCCCCACCCACAAGGCAGGGATGGGAGGAGAAATCGGCAAGGCCTGCAGCACAAACCCTCAATATCACTATGGAGCAATAGTACTGCTACTGACTGATGTTGACTGGGTCAGTGACACAGTCTTGCAGCTTGTTAAGCAAGTCATGAATTTCTAATTTTCACAATAATCTCGATAATCGTGAGTCTGTGAGTGAGTGAGTGACGGTCACTTTTGTGTTTTGTTTTTGTTACAGCACCCACCTGATGCCAGGGGTCTGATCCATTCTTTGCTGTTGAGATCAAGCCGCCAGAGGTCATTGAACGCTGCATTACAGCTACTTTGAGTGCAACCCCCAAAGACATACATTGACTGGTTGGCATCGTAGTAACATGCACCTGGAAATAAAAACAGCACCGTGAGCAACGGAGAAAAGAACATCTTTGGTTCAGGTTCGGGGGGGTGGGGGCCGAGTCAAAATCCAAATCGTATAAACGCCCACAAAATACAGTCAATCACTTTACAATATATTCTGAGAAGCGATTTGATTTGAGACGCTTCAATGACATGATGAGGCGCTAAATCAATTGCACGGATTATTATTGCCTGTACTTTAGGTGGGCGTTAAGGAATCCCATGGTCAAGAGGCAGATTGAATCTCAGTTTAACGCCTCCTTTGAGGGAATGCAAAGCAACGTTCCTCCCACAACTACACTGGAATGTCAGTCTAGTCTATAAGGTCAGAGGCATCAAAATTAGTAGAGTAAAGCAGAATGCTTAGCTTTATTCTCCAATAAACAAATAGTACTGATCCTGACAATAAAAGTTTTGTGTAGAATTACAAACTGGGGTTTTCTGCTGCGCTACAGTATACTGGTTATAATTAATACAATATTGTTGTGAATAGAGAAATACAGTAGTTGCTTTAATAAAAACAGTCTTACGTAATTTATCATGAGACAATGACATCAGAAAAGATTACTCACTATGAGAGAAGCGCTGTGTTATTGGAGTTCCTGGATAAGGATATGTCCGACTCTCCCACTGAATATTTCCTTCCTGAACAGCTTTTATAAACCCATGGTAACACTGGTGAGCCACTCCTGGGGAAAGAACATAAGACTCTGGTTTAAAAATCCTTCTGCTTCCTTTTCCTTCTAACCTGTGGGTTAACACAGTCAAACCACTTTCAATCCTAGGACTGAAATGCATGCTACCATGAGCCCAATGAGCTTCTTACAGTGACTTAGCACAAATCAGGAGCCCAGTGAGGTAGGGAGAAAAAAAATCCTACATCCCTCTGCTCCCTGGTGCTGGGTGGAGAGTCATTTCAGCAGGGTTCAACGTGAACTGAACGGCCATTTAATTACTGAGGGCAAACACACTCAATGAATTAAATAACAACTGACAAAGACTCTCAGTAGCAAATGAATATGAGGGAAGTCCAGACTCTCAGAACCAATTTAACCCAAAGAGCACAAATTGCTCAGCACAATTAAACCAACATCTTGTAACTCTAGAGTTCCAGTCTCTCACCTTTAATGAGCCTGTACCACTGTTTACAAACGAGAGCAGCTGTTTTGTGCTCCTGGTAAGGGGACAGGAACGACAAGATGTATTCCAACACCTCCTCAGGCAACTCGGACATCGAACGGTTATGCCTCAACTCCTCGACCTCCACTTCAATGTGAGGCTCTTCGTCCTGCTCCATGGGACCGTCCAGCACTTCTTCAGTGTCCATGGCAATGAAACTGTCATCCTCACTGTCTGATGAGCTGGCCATCTCATGCCACTGCACATTACAAACGTGGGAAACATTTTAAAAAAATTCAACATTCATGTCAATATTGAATGCACACAGAGAGAACTTTCATCTTATAGTGCATCACATCCAAAATGTCTCAAAGTACTCTTCCGCTAGTTATTGTGAAGTGGTTGTTTTTTTGCAGACAAATAGGGCAGCACCAAACAATGTCTGACTAGCAGCCATGAGGTGAATAATCAATTTAATCTAGAAGATTGTTGGCTAGGACACTGAAGTGCAGATTCCTGACCTCCAAAGTAACCACGCGAGAGCCAACAAAAGAACATCCGAGTCGGTGAACACATCAAGTTACCATATATAGGCGTGGACACGCTTAAATGTTTAAAGAGTCAACGGCCATCACAGAGAACAAGAACAGTTTGTGAATCTAGAAACAATAGAGAACTTTGCAGATTTCAAGGACCCTTTGGGGTGGAAGTATCCCGGGATGCTTTGCAGGTGCGTCCAGCAATATAAAATGGGATTGAGTTTTGCACCGCGGTGGATGATACCAGGTTACATAGACTGAAACATTACTGTTCAACCTTCACCCCGGGAAGGTGATCACTCAGCCAGAGTCAATATCACTGCTAATAATAATAATAATCCTTCCATTTGATATAGCGCTTGTCACGTCTTCGAGACGTCTCAAAGGGCTTCACAGAAGAGACCGTACAGTGAATTGACTGAATATTAGCGGGAAAAGGTGCGTGATTCCGCTTTGTGTGGCTGGCAACTGGGGGGGGGGGGCAAAAATAAAGCAGGTACAAGGAACAGGGTTATTGTAAGAGTCCCAGGTTTTCCCCCAGTTACGGCATTACGGTCTACATTCAATTTACCACCTCCGCCACCCTCCCCACCCCACGGCAGGCAGCCCCCCTCCGCCACCCTCCCCACCCCACGGCAGGCAGCCCCCCTCCGCCACCCTCCCCGCCCCACGGCAGGCAGCCCCCCTCCGCCACCCTCCCCACCCCACGGCAGGCAGCCCCCCTCCGCCACCCTCCCCACCCCACGGCAGGCAGCCCCCCTCCGCCACCCTCCCCGCCCCACGGCAGGCAGCCCCCCTCCGCCACCCTCCCCACCCCACGGCAGGCAGCCCCCCTCCGCCACCCTCCCCACCCCACGGCTGGCAGCCCCCCTCCGCCACCCTCCCCACCCCACGGCAGACAGCCCCCCTCCGCCACCCTCCCCACCCCACGGCAGGCAGCCCCCCTCCGCCACCCTCCCCACCCCACGGCAGGCAGCCCCCCTCCCCACCCCACCCCAGGCAGCCCCCCCCACCCCTCCCTCCCACCAGCAGCTGGTGCCCTCCAGGGGCCGTTTCAGCCTCTCGCTTGCACAGGGCTCGGCCTTTCGACCGCTCCGCAGCCTCCGCCTCCCTCAGCGGACGTTCCAGTACCCACCTCAAGAGCTTCCTCTTTGACCATTGCCTTCGAACATCCTCCCCATTGCCCATTGCGCCCCCCACCCCCCAACCCCCCACTCCCCTCCAACTCACCACCTCCACCACCACCACCACACCCCGCAACACCCACCCCCTCTCGGTTGCTCTCTACCCCCTCCCTTGACCCCAAACCCGGGCTGGGGTGCAAACTGCCGACTGTCCAGCGGGGTCGGGAAGGTCCTCCTGACCTGAAAAGGCGCGGAGTCCCATGCAATCTGCTGCCGGACAATGACATTGCGGGGAGACCGGGGCCCCCCCTGAAGCCGACAAACCCCTCACATTGCCGGGGAGGGAGGAGCCCAGGGAGCTCAGGCCGCTCGGGGTCTCCCGACTCCGGGAGAGGAAGGGGCGCAGCACAAAGGGGGGGGAGACACCCCCACCGTGAGACCCGGGGCCTCGCACAGTCACCGCCCGCCACCTCCTCCTCCTCCTCAGAGAGCCGCCCTCCCTCTCCCGGCCTCCCTCCCCTCCCCCCCCGGGGCCGGCGAGGCTTCTACCCGAGGCGCCGGGGAGGGGTGGTGGGGGGGTTGGGGGGTCGCGGCCTAAGCTGCGGCTCTCACTCACCGGCCTGGCGTCGCCTCCAGCTCCCGCCCCGCCCCCGCCGGCTCAACCGCGCGCCGAAAGGCCGCTCCTCGTGGCGGTTCTCGGTGTCTCCGTGTGGGCCGCCGCGCTGTCCCCTCTCTCCCGTTCCCTCTCTCGCTCTCTCTCTCTCTCACCCACTGGGCGCCGCCGCCGCCGCCATCTTCCTCCAGAGCCCACAGCGCAGCCGCGACGGCACGCGCTCGCTCACTCACGCACGCACGCACGCCTCACGCCGCGTCGGAGCGTCACGCGCCCAACGTAATAGCGTCACACACACACACAGGCGGGTTGGGCGGGTTCACGCCCGATTGGGCGGGTTTACTGCTGCTTTGGTTAATGAGGGGCGGGTGGGGGTGGGGGGGAAGGCTTTCATTTTGTTTTAATAATTTTTAAATTTAAACCTTCCAGACGTCCTCCCACACACTTTAAAGGCCTTTTTCAAAATGCACTGTAAGCCGAAATCGGCCCCTGTGCTGCTATCCCTGGCGAGGCAAAGCCCCATAACATTGGGCTACTTTTGGTGCCACTTTGGGCTGCAGAGCCCCTGCTTCACTTTACTTAATATAACTTACTTTGTGATTCATATCATGTTTTAGTGTTGTGTTTTAAATTCCTGGCACACCCTGCCCGCACCCGGGCGCCTGGCGACCCCCGAGAGCCGCGCACCCGGTCAAACAGATGTAGCGTTTAAAATCCCTTGCGTTTGTGATCCGAATCGGATTAGGATTGCTCTCTTGTAACCGCCGCAATGCCCCCCCCCCCCGCCGCGCGCCCCCCCCCCCCGCGCGCCTCGCTCGCAGGCTGAGGGTCAATGCTCCGCCGCTGTTCAGCACTCCGAGACCTGTAAGAGGTGCCCTATAAACGCAAGACGTTGAGTCTCGTCTCAGAGTAAGTGTGTTTGAGCCCCCACCCCGAGCTCAGTCTAAACTGACAGATCAACCAATGCAAGTTTACGTTTAATGTATATATTGGCACCCGGAGGAGGTCACGTTGGTGGGACGCCATGCAGTGCTGAGGGGGGGGGGGGCCCAGTGCTGCACTGCATTCTCACAGGCGCCGTCCTTCAGATGTTGACAATGACACCAGGAGAAACTCTCCTTTTTTCCCTTCCTAGCATTGAAGTACACGGGAAAGCTGTCGAAACGGTGCGGCAAGTACCAGCCCCGGTCGTGCGGTATCACAACAATAATAATAATAATAATAATAATCCTTTCCATTTGATGTAGCACCTTATCATACTGTCCAGACGTCTGGCAGAAGTGCGACGCACGGACCGAGGAAGCTTGCCGATTTGAATCCCAGCGTGTTTAAATTTGCTGACCTCAGCTAAGGCTGCAATGGGATGGATCAATTAGCCCTGGAATTCTCTGGGTAAGTAACAATAATAATAATTATTATTATTATTATTCTGTGGGTAAGCCAAGGGAGGCTCAAATCAGCATTCACTCGTGATTCTGGTCTCTCTTTAGCGCCCCCTAGTGCTATACATGTATGTTGCAGCTGGCTGAGGAGAGCTCTGCTTTGCCTCATCTCAAAGGCACAGATGGGACAATGGTCACTTGGATGAAAAACACTAAAAAGCAACTATTATTCGTGCAACTACCTCCGATCATGAGGCTGAGGACTGGGGCACAGGCATGCGTCAATGGGGAGTGTGTGTGGGGGGGGGGGTTAAAAAATAATTGAAAAATAACTTTTCAGTAGGTTTCAGTAACAAAGAGACTTGAGAAGTTAGGGCTGTTTTCACTACTTGCTTAGCGTCCCAGAGCACTTGACAGTGGCAGAGCATGACCCTGAGCCGGGAAGAGGAAGTCTTCCAGTTTTGGGACCCAGTGGCTGAAAGCTCGACCATCGATAGTAGAACAGAGGGCACAAGGGACGCAGAAAAGGTCGGAGCCACTCGAGCAGAGGTAGCTGGTAGTGGGTTGCGGGGTAAAGCAAGTCGGAGAGGTCGGGAGGTGCAAGGGCATGAAGGGATTTGAAAACAAGTGTGAGAATCTTGAAACTGATCCGTTCAGCAAGAGGGAGCCGATAGAGACTGGCTAGAACTGATGCAATGGGGGTAAGTTTAGTGCCGTTAGATCTGAGGTTAGAGGCCTTTAATATTATAACATTTCTTGCTAATAATCAGAGAGGAAGTAGAAGAAACATATTATTTAGAAAAAAGGCAGAATGAGGGAAAGGTATTCAAAGAGAGAAAGTTAAGAGAGAAACTCTGCAGAGAGAGACTCAGAGAGTGAGAAAAAGAGTGAAGGTGCTAATACACTGTTTTAGGCGAAGTTTTGGGTTTGCACAGTAGCAGGTTTGTATTTTCCTGATTACCCATTATTCAGTCTCCATATCCATAAAGGGCCAGTCCCAAATAGTTCAGATATTGGGCTCTTTTCTGTACTCTTAAGCATGGTGATGGGTTTCCGTATGTGACAGATGAGTTAACTTGTCTTAAACCGTCCACCAGACAAAACCAAAACCATGCTTGGCGATTTTTCTTTTTTTTATTTGGTTTAAAAAAAGAGAAAAACAAAGACCAGATATCCCATCAAGCGGCTGTTCATAATCACGCACCAGAAAGGACAAACGCCTTCAAAACAATCCTCGCCAACTCTGAATACCGAATGTGTCTCGATAGGTTTGCTGAGAGATTTACGAGAAGAAGATCCAACATTTTGGTGATAAACTCCCGATGAAGGATATTAAGGATGGACCTTCCCACATCTTCTCAAGCTTATGCCAAACGCACGAACAAACCCAAAATCTAAAGGATAAAACCTGACTCAGCACAAATAATAATAGTGTAGCTCATTTTCCAAGTGTTCAAACGGGCTATGTATTTTTGCTATCCTTTTAAAAACAAGTGGTTTTAATTACTGTTACAGATTGTATGTAGTTGGTGGTGGGACAAATGGAGACAAACGGTTGTCGGATAAGTTTAAAATTTTCTGAGTGGAATAATTACTGTAGAGTGGCACCTCCAGCACAATGGTACTTCATCACAAGCAGTTTGTTGGTGACTAATGACAACAGTACAGACAGTAAGTTCCAAACAGATGCAAAGGTGATGGGTTCTGACTTGAGCGTGGAACATGATCAGATGTAGAATTGAAGACCTGAAATCAGTCTTAAGGAGGTGGTCTTAAAATTTAGTGTTGTGCAGAATTTTGGAAATTTCTTAAACTGAAGTTAAAAATCAGGCTTTCCACACAGCATGTTTCAACTGGCTTCCAAATTATTAACAACAGTAATAATCCTTGCATTTGATATAGCACCTTATCACGTCGTTGAGAGGTCTCGCAGCACTTCACAGCGATATACTGTAAAAGTGAATTGACTAAGATTGAATTTGAGGGTTTGCCAAAATTCCACACAATCTTAAACTTTGAGACCAGGCTACATAAGACCACATCTTTAAAAATAACAGTTTCACTTGTGTCCACCGATTCCTATTAACCAGCTTCAGACAGGAACCACAATCTGTCTGGCTAGAAGCAGCAGAAGAGCTAACTCTGTGTCGCCATCAGACCGCTCAAGGGCCTCGATGGCTTCTTGCTCAGTAAATCCTGATCTTCTTATTTGTTCAATATTAGCAGCTGGGAAAATCGGCAGTGAAGGAATTGTGGGCCCTCGGTCAAGAGGGCTGCTCTCCCTGCAATATGTATTGGGCTCATCCACGTTTGCTTCCATGGTCCTTTCCCAAGGCATCCTAGCTGCTGAAATCTCCGAGGAGCACAGTGCAATATCAGGCACCTGCAGCTCTGCAGCAGTGTGCTGAGAAATCTGGCCGTCATTATTATCTGTTGCAGACGCAGGCGTACGCACCACATCTCCCGAACCAATCTTTGGAGATGTTGGTTGGTTTTCTGGAATCCCCTTGGCTGGGGGGACGTCCGCTTGCTTGGTCATGTTCTCGGACACAAGCACAGAAGGTGGCACAGCCTCGTGCTCAGCTTCTCGTGTCAAAATCTCCTGGGCCACATCTTGGGCATCTTGCCTGACCTCCGAGACGACTTGTGGAGCTGGGCGATCGGAACACTCCATATCTTCATCCCTTTTTTCAGAAGGATCTTGCTCTGCCACTTCCATCACTTCAATGTGCTGCTCTGCACTGTGACACATCTCGCTTGCTGTGCCACCATCAGTCAGCGATTCTTCACATGCTTCCATCGGCTGAACACGCTCTCCCTGACTGACAGCTTCTGGCCGGCAGATGATCCCCTCAGCGGCTGATACATTGAAGTCAGCTTCATGACATTTGGAGACTAATTGCTGATGCAACTCGATCAAAGCAGCTACAGGTGAGAGAGAGGAATCATTTGGATCACAGTCTGGTGCCAATGGGGTACCTTGTTGAGAGGGAGGTTTCATATCTGTGGACAAATGGGCATCAACATGCATTTCATCACTACTCTGAGCAGCTTCTCCTTTGTGACTTCTGCTGCTAACCTCACCAGAATTATTTGCTGCCGAACTGGAGCTGTTCTTCAAGAATGTTTCCTCAAATTCCATCCGTAGAGTATTGTCCTGATCTGAATCCATGACTCTTCCTTCTTTTGGGTCACTGCTGTCCATCTCTGTAGCTGTGTCGCTCTCCTCCGCTTGTTGGTCAGTGGCACTCACCTCCATTACAGCGTCAAAGCACTCAGCCGTTCTACTTGAATTTCCAGTAGACGTTCGTTCACAAACTGCAGTTTTCTCACAGCAGCTATTCAGATCTCTCTCGTGTATTTCAAGGTCCATTACCAATGGCTCAGTCGCCTCTTCAAGAAGGTCGCCATCAGCACCCTTGTCAGAGTCAACATGCTCTTGCAAATGGTGATCATTGGAGGAGCAGTCACCCAGAGTCAATTGAGGCGAGGCGGTTTGGCTTGATTTAGTGGGATCAGGATATGGCTGAGCGTCTGAAGAAATATCCTCAATTTGTCTCATTGGTGCTGCCTCCAAATCACAACCTTCTTCACCTGGAGATTCCAGCTGAGGCTTTGCTCTGACACTCGGAACAGAACAATCTCTCGTTTCCTTGCCAAACTCACGCGGATGTGTTATATCAGGCAAGAAAGATTTTGGCACAGACGTTTCATCAGTATCTGTATTCAGCTGTCTTGAGGGGTTTTGTGAGCTGCTGCGTAGGGTTTCTGGGTGTGGTGTATGCTTTCCTCTTAACGTTGCCTGAGAAGGAACAGACAGATGATCAGGAGACGGCAGAGCCAACAGATGGTCAGAAAGACACTGTGAAGGTCCCGGCAGGAGCTGATTTTCTGCCTGTGTTTCTGCACACTCAGGCATCTGAAGGTCTTCTCTTCTTCTAAAATCAGATTCATTCTGTTTTGGTAAAGGAAGGCTAGCAGGGACGGAAACGGAATGGTCCAACTGACTTTGACTATAAGGGGCTTGAAATTCACCAGTTCCCGTCGTGGGAAGAGGGAGATTAGGATGAGGTGTCAGTAATGAAGGGGTTTCCAATGAGGTAGTTTTGCCATTTTCGTTTCCTACAAATAAAACGGATAGAAAAGAAATAATTTGCCAAATGCCACGTACACACAAATGTTCCAATTTATGGGCAAAACAAACTACAAGTCTCAAACATCAATCGCTCTATTCCTTGGTTTCTATTTATTTTACACTTGTTGCTGGTTTGGCAGAATTAATTACATTCGCATTTTAATACTAATTCAATCTCAACAGTCTCGATTGCAAACCTTCAGGTGAATCTCACTACAGTTACAAGGCAGCTCAGATCTCAAAGAACTTATGTTTTTCAGTGCCTTGAAACAACCCTCATCATGCAGCCAGCTCAGCTCACCCTCTCTTTCATTCCAGCCATTAATTGACTGCTGTATAAAGAAATACATTCTGGGGTCTGCCCAGAAATTATCTTCCCAACCTTGAACCTCAGCCCAGATTAACGGCTAATATTATTTCCAGTTATCACCCGCCATTTGATTGAGTCGTTAATTTACGTCCCGTCTACCATGAGATTCAGGTACTGTTAAGGGACTCCCAACTCCATTGAGAAAAAATGTTGAGTTTTGCTCTGGGGTTAGCTTGGTTTATATTTACACTCCTCATTCAAATTCACATCCTAAATTCAAAACAATTATCTTATCTCAATTGCTGTCCCTGGGCACAGATTAGCTGCAAATCACTCATTTCTAAGTAAACTCATGCCGTAAAACACATCCAAGACATTTCTTGTAGGTGCCCTATAAATGTAAGTGGTTAATGTTGCAAATAATTCACTAGGCAAGTCATACAACAAGAAGTTCCATTTATATAGCCCCCTTCCCACAGTGTAACCTCCCGGAGGCCTTAACAGTGATGGAGCCAGACACTGAGCCAGGGGGGAGGTGACCGTGAAACATGATCAAAAAGGTCTTTAGGCAGGATTTGAAGGTGGGGAGGGAGGGGACAAGGTGGAGGGATTGAATGAGAGAGTTCCAGAGTTTCGGGGCGTACTGGCTGAAGGCATGGCCACCGATGGTGGAAATGTTGAGTCATATTACTTGAGTAAAAAAGCCTTTAATACCTGGACTGTGATCATCTTCAGCGTAGTACAAACACAACATGCATCAGTGATGCGGGGGTCCTGTTAGGATGAGAAAACAAACCACAACGCCAGACGTGATTAACAAACTCAAGCATGCAGCATGCATGTTAATACATCGTCATGAGGTAATGCAGTCACAATGCAGCCACACAGCTGGAGTCCAGATTCCATTAGCAATCCCAGGGTCTGCCAATGTCACAAGGTCGAACTTCCCTTTACAAAAGAGCAAGGCCAACAACTCTGGGTTTACTTCTGCTCTCACAATCTATCTCGATATCTCTCTTACATTTAGAAAATTAACACCCCTCAACAGCGTAAAGCTCTGGATTTTCCCTTTCAGTTTGGCTTGAAGTTCAGCTGTGCAAGTCTTTCCGCATATGTTAGAGCCATAGGTTTCTCCTGCTCTCCTCTGAGCCTCTCCAACCCTTCCGATATCCTCCTGAAGGTTAGTTGTTTGGGAGGAAAAAGGAGAACTAAGGGTTTATCCAGTAGATATATCTGCCCACATGGGTACCACGGGTTTGTAATGTCACTCTGGGAACCCATGCTACATTTTTGTAAAGAGAGATTTTGTGAATTACCCGATTCCTCTGAAGATCGCTGTAACGCTTCAGCGAGCTCCTGGTCTGCCATCTCCTCAGGACGGAGATCATCGCGTGGGATGCCATATGCCAGTCGCGCACACTCGGGGAGCTCCGCCTCAGGCAGAAACCGGGTCTCTGTTCCTGTTGTGCCAATCACCACCACATCCCGCTTCAGGTCAATGGAACACTGGCAACGCAGCAATCAAATAGAAGGCAACAGAAATTAACACACAGAAACAAATTCAAACCAAAAGATCCCGAGGGCTGAGATGATTCACCATCTTAGGCTTATTATCACTGCATTGAAATTGAAGACTGTGCAGAATTTCAAAAAATAATCTTAAATGTCCGCTTAATTGTAATGTACATAATTTAATAATGGGACAGATTCTCTTTGTAGGAGTGTGGCTGCTCCACTAACTAGAACTGGACACTCAGCCTCTTACCTGGTGTCTTTTTAGCATGTCTAGTCCAAGTAACATGTCCATTGGCTGGTCCTCCAGGATAGAGAAGGAGCATGGCAGGAAGTCACCTTCAATTTGCACCTGGGCTGTACAACACAAACACACCAACTGACCAAAATATCCATATATATATATATATATATACACACACACACACATCAACAATAAACAATAAAAAGATATTCCCATAACCTTTTCTTTCCATTAAGTCAAAAGCTGAAACTATGACTCCATGTTGGTCAGAATATACGGAAAACACATTCTCCCAGCCTGAGGACATTCCCTGTACCACCACTCTCTGGATTCTATCGGTCAGATAATTACATATGCAGTGCAAGATACTTCCTCTGATTCCCACTTTCTTCATTTTCAGTATCAGCCGTCCATGAGGAACTGTATCAAAGTCCTTACTGAAATCCCGATATATAATATCCACAGCCTTACCCTTATCAAGCTCTTTTATCGCACAGTCAAAGAAAACCAGTAAATTATTTTGGCAGGATCTCCCCTTCATGAACCCACATTGGCTATCTTTTATCTTTGTATTACTGTCTAGATGCTCCACGACAGTAATGATAAGTCATTCCTACTCACCCAGATGAACTCTGCCAATGATTTTTTGTGTGCCAACGCCTTTAGCGATGCCTGCCCACCGCCTGTCCACCAGTCGCATGATGTTGCACCTCTCAGCGCAGGCCTGGCTCATGATTGTCATCTGTGCTCCTGTGTCAGAGACAGTTCAAAGTTGTCAGACACATTTTGGCACATACTTCAACCAGTCGATTGTTGAACTGAATTAAAGTACCGACCTGAATCCACAAAGGCCTTGACTGGGTGGCCGTTGACTTTGCAGTTGATGTACAGCATCACTACTTGGCCAAAGCTCTCCGGCGATTCCTCCATTGCGATTGTCATGTTTTCCTCAATGTTCTGCTGCCTATTGTAAGACAGCAAATGTTACTACAACATCACAGACTGGCAAATCAGATTGCTAAATATATCATAATAATACTTGCATAAAGTATTACATGCAAGGACGATTATTATTATACATTATTATAGATCGATGTGCACTAACAAAGTGCATCAGAAAATGTATCAGTGGATTGAGCTTGGTCAGTGTAATGTATCAGCTGCGCATTTAGCACTAACCCAGCAAACCCTATGTTGAGAAAGTGCTCAACACGGAACACAGTACTGGGCTATTACTGTCACTGAAGGAAATTTGAAAACAAGCAGTGCATCTCGCGTACCTGATGTCTTCCTCAATCTTAGCCTGAGCCTCGAGGTCAAAGGGGTCAGCGTTTAGAAGTCTTATCCGCTCCTGCTCACGGCGGGCTCGCTCTGACTGTTGCTCGCGCAGCACTTTGGTGAACTTCTCTGTGGGTTCAAAGAACAGTCAGGACAAAATGACCCTGAACCGGCTGAACTAATAGAATCGTTGTACACTTACACAGACAGTAACAACCCTCACCGACCACCCTGTTGAATAAGAACGCCATACAATTGTGCAACCAATCTTGCAAACAATCATATAGTAATAAGGGAACTGTAAACCACATAGAGAGCAATTAAAACAACTGACAATATTTACCTAGGTCTCCACTCAGCAATGCTTCAGCAAGAGGAGGGTTACGCTCCTTGAGCAGGGACAGCTCATGTGGGTTTGCTAAAAGCATGTCCCTTAGTAATGTTGGGTTATTTTCCAATCCATGTTGGGTTGGAACAGGGGGCGGAGAGCTGGTAGCACTGGTGGAGGCTGGATTTGGCAGCTGCTGGACAGACGTTCCAGTGGGTGGTCTGCTTGGCACCGAAGCTCCAGGCACTGATATACTACTGAAGTCAATCCTGGGAAGTCCTGAAGAGGAAAATGAAACACAGAGGTCAAGAGGAGAACTGAACTAGCTGCACCAAGCATCAGATGATGTAGTGATGCCATAAATGGAGACAGGCCATTCATCCTGTTAAACTACTTTAGTAATGATGGCAGGATTTCATCCTCTTTTCCCCTTAGACAAAAATAACTTGCATTTTTATATTGCCTTCTGTGACAAAACAAATCCAAGCGCATTACAATAATTATTACCCCCCCCTTGCCCCCTCACACACACTCTCCCTACCCTCACCCCTTCTACCCACCCCAAAACATTATAGACAAACAAAACAACCATTTTATACACAGCAAGGTGTCGCAAACCGTCTTAAGATCAATGGGCAATTAATCTAGAAGATTGTTGGCTTCTCCAATTTTTGATACTGTATTTCGACAGCAATACTGTTTTTAAAAAAAACACAGCAGAGCCTGTTCGGGAGGAGAGAAGATCTCACCGTTGTGCCATTTTAGAGAGTTGATGGACCATAAAAGCCATGCGGAGGGGAAATGGTGGACCACAATGATGAAAGGTATTTCTTAAATGATCATTGTGTGTGTGGCAGGCATGGAGTTGATGCACAAGAAATATTTGATCCAAATCAAAAGTACCAGCTGCCCTTTTCTGGCATTTCTTACCCGATGCCCCGGGGAGCTGCAGGCCAGTCTGCACCTGTGGTCTATCCAATTGACGCAAGACAACCACATCACCATCCTTCAGTCCATACGCTTCCAGTGTCCGGCGATTGTCTGTCAGCGCATGCTCTGCAAATAATATCTAACACAGAAACAAAACGGAATGCCTTACTGACAGATTTTGATGGGGAATTCTTTCCCAACGATCCATGTATTAATTGGGCACAAACACAAATATACAACATTCACTGTCTTACCCTTATCAAGCTCCTTTGACACACAAAACCAAAGAAAGAAAACCAGTGAATTGGTTTGGCTGGATCTCCACTTCATAAACCCATACTGACTATCTTTTATCATTTGCTTACTGTCCAGATGCTCCACGATCTTATTTTTAATAAAAGTCTCCACAACTTTACCCACAATGGATGTCATACACACTTGTCTGTAGTTTCCTGCGTCACGTTTCTTGCCTTTTCAAAAAAAATAGGAGTAACATCTGCCTTTCCCCAGTATCTCTCCAGTATCCAGTGATGTCTGAAAGATTTGTGCCAGAGTTCCTGCAATTCCCTTCCTTAGTTCCTTAAGGATTCTCGGATGTAATTTATCCGGCCCTTGGGATTTGTTTACCGTAGGTTTGCACAGTTGTTCGGCATCTATGCTGGTAATGATATGTAGAGTGTGACAACTTGCCTGAGCAATACCACTGACAAATTAATCAGGAAGTGGCCTATTCATAGATTTATATTGCTGTGTAATTCTCTTTCACTTTCTACAACAATGCCTTCTTTCTCTTTACGCCCAACTCTAACTGCCCCATCCCGCTCTCAAAATTTATAATATATATATATATTACATAAACACTGTATATATATATACACACACGCGCACACGGATGGGCTCCATTACATATTACAGGGCTGCCCTTCCTTCTCTCTCTGGACTAGATGGGAGTGAGTGAGCGTATTTTTCCGCAGCCTGGCTCTGGGTGTGTCCCCAGGGCCCTGTTGTGGGGACTGGTGTGTGTGTGTGTGGGTGGGGGGGAAAACCTGTGTGTGTGGGGGAGGGGGAGGGGGAGGGAGGAGTGGGAGGGGGAGGGGGAGAGTGTGAGAGGGGGAGGGGGAGTGTGAGGGAGAGGGGGGTATGGGGGAGGGTGAGGAGGAGTGAGGGGGGAGTGTGAGGGGGGCTGAGGGGGGAGTGTGAGGGGGGGTGAGGGAGGAGTGTGAGGGGGGTGAGGGAGGAGTGTGAGGGGGAGGGGGAGTGTGAGGGGGTGAGGGGAGGGGGGAGTGTGAGGGGGAGTGTGAGGGGCAGTGTGAGGGGGAGTGTGAGGGGGAGTGTGAGGGGGGGGCAGTGTGAGGGGGGGGAGGGTGAGGGGCAGTGTGAGGGGGTGAGGGGAGTGTGAGGGGGGGGGCAGTGTGAGGGGAGTGTGAGGGGGGGGAGTGTGAGGGGGAGTGTGAGGGGCAGTGTGAGGGGGGAGTGAGGGGGGTGAGGGGAGGGGGAGTGTGAGGGGGAGTGTGAGGGGGGAGTGTGAGGGGGGGGAGTGTGAGGGGCAGTGTGAGGGGGGTGAGGGGGCAGTGTGAGGGGGGAGTGTGAGGGGGTGTGTGAGGGAGGGAGGGTGAGGGCAGTGTGAGGGGGGGGGGCAGTGTGAGGGGGGAGTGTGAGGGGGCAGTGTGAGGGGTGAGGGGGCAGTGTGAGGGAGGGAGGGTGAGGGGCAGTGTGAGGGGGGGGGCAGTGTGAGGGGGGGAGTGTGAGGGGGGAGGGGGAGTGTGAGGGGAGGGTGAGTGTGAGGGGGGAGGGTGAGGGGGAGTGAGGGGGGGAGTGTGAGGGGGAGTGTGAGGGGCAGTGTGAGGGGCAGTGTGAGGGGGGGAGTGTGAGGGGGGGTGTACCTGGCTCTCGGCCGCGGGGACGCCGCTCTCCAGCTCACACAGGGCCCGCAGCGTCTCGAGCTCCAGGCCGCCGTCCACCTGCAGAGTGAAGGTCAGCTCGCTCAGGTCCCGCCGCACACAGTACACGGTCAGGAACATGGCGGCGATGCTCTCCCTCCCTCCCTCCCTCCCGGTCTGTCTGTCTGTCTGTCTCCGGGGCCCGAGCTCCGCCTCACCGCGCGCCGCCAAGTCCGCGGCCGACAACGAGCCGCGCGCCGCACTGTCGCAAACACCCGCCACCGCTGTCGCAAAGAGAGCCCAACCCACGGGGGGGCTGCCGTAAAGCTGACCGGCCGTGCTCGGGCCACGTGACCCCCCCCCACGTGTCCCGCTCGTTGCCTTCACTCGGATCGATGGCCTTAAAACTTTGGCGCTGTTTTGTTTGTTCGTTCGTTCGTTTTCCGCTCGAGGGTCGACCCCCCCCTTCTCCCCCCACCCACCCCCCCCACCCACCGGTGACACCCCTCGCCTCTCGCACCGCGCTGCCCCGCACGGACGGGCGGACGGACGCACCGCCGTAAAAATGTCTGGCGGCGTCCCGCGGGCGGCCCCCGGGCCGAGGGATCCAGGGCAGGGCTCCGCGCCCCTCCCAGCCAGCACATCGCTCCGCCTCGTCGCCTCCCCTCGACCCACCCCCCCCCCCCCCCCGCACCCCCCACCCACCCCGTTCCCAACGCACCACCCGCCCTATCTCAGTCTTGAAACAGATAAGACCGTACGTGCACCACGGCCTTAGCGTGTATCCCCCCCCCACCCCCCCCGTCCTGGTCTAGCGTTGCACCGGTTAATAAGTCCTTGGAGAGGGCTTGTCCCGTCACCCAATGTTTTAGCCAGTAATCCTCAAGAGTAATTGATCATTGACCTCATGGTGAATTTTTTTTTGGGGGGGGCGGGGGGGACCTTGTGGTGAACAAAATAGCGCATCTACCTTGGCATCTACCAAACTCCCTTTGATCCAGGAGTTAGGATTAATATTGTAGAAGGCAGGACACCAAAATGCCACCAAAGGCAATACAGGTACAAAGAGACCCAACGACTGTAGCGTACGCAACCAAAAAAAAAAGTCAGTTACACGGCTAAAGAAGCCCCAAAAAATCAACAGGCGGAATGTTAAATTTTATTTTTCACGGTCTGGACGATGAATCTCAAAGCAGACATACGTTAATGTGGAAACGCAGCTAGGAGCAATTGGAGGAGGCATTCCAAATTAAAATGTTTTATCAGATCAATCCGAATATAAAAATTTCCTCTGGCTCATTTTAATCTCTTCTTCAGACTGGTAACAGGCCTCAACCAGGAGGCAGAGTGGTTTAATAACTTGAAACAGGATGTTCTGATCAGCACTAGTGATACAAAAAAGCTTCAACAGTCGAACTCTTGCAAGCCAACCCCAAAAGGTTTAGAACTTTAAGGCAGCTTTTCTAGATCTTTTCTTCTTAACTGCACACACACACACACAAAAAAAATCAGTAAATTAATCCTCCAAATGGAAAGATCAGGCTCACAACTGTACAGCTACATCACCCAGTACACGAGAAGTCACACATTCAGCTCGTCCACAACCATTGAATCAGCAGCAGTATTGGGGATGTGTGTCCTGCCAACTTGGTGGCTCTCAAGATGGTGCAGGTCTGGTCCCAGTGCATGTAAATTCCAGCCCGGAGCGTGTCTGTGTCTGTACAAGCCCATCACCAATTTAAACCTAAACTAAAATTTCCAGCTTTAGAAATTCTCCGCGACGCGCTAGTTCGTCCTAGCTCATTCTGCCTTCTCCTTTTCCTTCATGTGCAAGAACACCACGGAGAAGAGGAAATGTCCGATCATCATGGAGAAGGCACTGGCGTAGTATGGGTATGCCGAGGGAATGAAACGCTCGTATTGTGTGTGCTGAAGGGGACGGACGGACACCTAAAACAGATAGTATCAGCATTGATTAGTCAAGCTCAGTGCTCACACTCCTCACCAAGGCACTAACATTTCTGTCTTTGCTTAAGATCAATTCAAAGTGCAACAAGGTTTATTCAGCTTCAAGTGAACTGTGCTTCTACTGCAAGTCTAACCCTGTTTAAACATCACAAGGCCACGTACTAGTGGTACATTGATTACATAACGAACCTTATTTTATAGCATAAGTATTGCAGGGAACAGCTTGGGATGTCTAGCAGTGAAAACAAGGTCTTGCCAGTTTGGCAATGCTACAACACATTAACATAGCAAACCAATTTCAAAGTACAGCAGTTTGCAGTTCGATCTTAAACTAATGGTCAATCAAGTCTAAGACATGAGAAATTTTCAATCCATCAATCCACCACTGAAGAGCTCTCAGCTGGATGCTTACCTGAGTGGCGGAGTAGAAGTGAGTGTACCCAAGTCGATTGTAATCCACTTTAAATTGGAAAACTCCATAGACATCAGGTAGTTTGAACTGCACACTGTATTTATCTCCTAAAATGCAAAGCAAGCCATAAAAATGATTAAATAAGACATTCTGCAACATACATGCAGAAATCGTCATAACCTTGCATGATCTACAACTTACATTTCTATAGCACCCTTCACATAGGACCATATCTAGCAGTGCTTCACAAAGTGATGGGGGAGAGGTTGGGGAAGGTGATCACAGGTAGCTTTAAAAGTGGAATTTAAAGACAGATGGAGAACAGAGAAGGTGGTTGTTATTATTGTGGAATGCAATACTACAAGGGGTTATTGAGGCTGGATCAACAGATTGAATTAAAAGGTAACTGGATAAGAACCTGAGCAGTAAAAATATAAAGGGCTATGGGGAACGGCCTGGAAACTGAGATTTACAAAAAAAGGAGTGACTTGAAACAGCAGTAACAGAAGATATGATAAGCCAAACTGGCTTCCGGTGCTGAAAATGTGAACTCACCGTTCTTTTTCAGGTAAGTCCTCACAAAGGGATCGATACGAACAAACTCCAGCTGCACGTCATCTCCATCAAACGGGATCCATTTCCCATTGGACAGTTTCTCAATGACAATACTGTACTCCTGCATTGAGACACACCACACAATTACAAACGTCACAATCCACAGTTACAATGTCATTAGGAGACTAGGAATCTGGATTTGTTTAGCTATATAAATACTCACAATGACTACTTTGTGCTTGGTACCCATTCACCAAGCACAATATTAGAGGCCACTGAGGTCTGATGCCTCCTCACCATATTAAAGCTACATAATAAATACATAAAGTTACAAACTCAGTGATTGGCACCAATGTCAGTGGGACTCACCACCAGGTCGGTTATGGTGTAAGCGTGGGGTGGCTTGGTCTCTCCCACAGGGTGATGAGAAACCTTCCCGACACGGAGAACACCTTCCTCTTTGAACACCCAGCGAGACAGGGCGATTGCCAGCTCGTAGTTCCCAGTTTGGGAATATCTGATCCAAGGAAAACAAGTCAATACCACATCCTGCTGCTCACCACTTTCACACTGCCACCCCATAACGTTGATATAGAAGACCCCAAAACAAGAGACATTTCAAAAATAAATCACTGCTACTATTATAAGAAAGAATTAGCATTTTTTATAGCACTCAAAGGGCTTCACAATAATTACCGTGTGTCAAGTTAAGTCATAAAACAACTAAAGAAAATGTTAGAATAATTACAAAAGTAACTGCTAGGCAGATTTACCTCTCTGATCCTGGTGTAGCTTTTTGCACAGGAGAGTTAAAGAAGGCGTCACTGAAGAAATCTAGGGAGCCACTGAAGACCACACGAGCGTTGTTCCGGGCCTGGAGGCCAGCGATTAGTAGTGTATTCTTCCCCACAGCGTGAGGATACTGGTGACAAAACATACATTATATCAGACTCTCAATCCGAAATTTGTGATACTGCATATTGAAGTGTGGTCAAAAGCAATCTGACCTGAGAGAGTGATCTCATGTGAATATACTAGCATAGAATGTGAACCTCCAAAATTCTCAGAGAAAGAGCTGTGTGCCTGACCCAGCCATGAACACTGGCGTTAATCTAATTTCAGATATGGACCCATTGCCCGTGTGGAATCAAAGCTGTAGGAATTGGACAGAAAATGAAAAATACAAAGTATCGGCCTCTAACTCAAGGCTGAAAGCTTACCTGTGTGACGGGTTTGTCTGGGAAGAACGAATAGGAAGTGGAGGATCCTGTCAGAATATCCAACACCAGAGGGTTGTCAGGATCCGCGACCATGCTAAAGAATGGGAAAGAAAACACATCAACAACTTGTACAGCACTATTCACATAAGATGAACATGTCAAAGCATTAATGACTGCCTCAGAATCCTATAGGTGCAGAATTCAGTATTTTTTTAAAAAAGTAGTACATTCAGCAATATGGAGAAACGATAGGGAAGCAAGAAAAAAGATCTGCCACAAGTTATAAACCCGTGGCTAGATGCCTCGCGGGTCAGTACGACATTTACCAGAGGCAGACACCACTTTGTATCAGCAAACAATCCCAGATTAATTGGTTAATTTCCCTGGATTGTTGACTAACATTAGCACTTACCCAACTCCCTGGAATAGGATGGGATTCTTTGCTGGTTTTCCCACAATGGTGGGAGCCTTCAGCAGTTGTTCTGTATCAGCCACGATCAGGGTATGCTAACAAAAAGAAAGTCATTGCATTCAATATAGTTTCTTTCTCACAAATACCTTAGCTTCACAGAAAGGTTAATTGTTTTGCATTAAGCTATTATGTTCAAGCTTTCCTGGTTCCTTGTCGATATAGTTGAAATGTACTGAAATAGATCCGTGTGGATTATTATGCTGTTCATGCTCCTGTTAAGAGAATGGCTTTAAAAAAGATGCCGTAGTGCAAAGAGCAGAACCTCTGGTTAGGTTTGTGGTTCAAACCTTACATTGGGATTTGATCTCCAAACAAGGCTAAGACTCCAGTGAGGATGGGGGGAAACATTGCCCTATCGGAGGTGCCGTCTTTGGAATAAGACGTTAGAAGCAAGGTCCAATTATCATTCTGCACTGGAGTCGTGTGGAGAAATTACACTGAAGTACAGTCATGGAGTAGCAATCAGAAGCAGGAACCCATTTTTTCCCCTCAAAAGCCCAGGGGCACTAAGGCCAATTGTAGTGACCCTACTACAACTTTGCATATCAGCTAATTCAGAACACACCGAGAACTAAACCCAGCCATACTAAGTAAACTTTCAGCAAGTTCCAGGAAGTTGCCTCTGTAATGAATATAGGATAAGTGGAGCAAGTCTACTGTTTTATTCGCTTGTTCTTACATGGCCAGGGTCGGAGATATCGTAGTTATGGTGGTCAATGACAGCGGTTTTCTCTTCATCAAACTCAATGCCACATTCACTCCCCAGTTCTCGTAAAGGATCACCTTAAAATAAAGGTATAACATTAAAATGGAAGTCACATAACTACAGAGACTAGTTAGAGGGTCTACAGGCAATCATTATACAGGTGTGGCAATATCTGAATTTCCAGCTAGACCCACAATTAACATTGATGAAGATCAACCCCAGTGAATCATCACAACCTTCAAATCTCTGTGTGCTCTTTCTCCCAACCTTAGCGATCTCCTCAAGCCCAATCTCTCCTTCTATTGACATCATCCCTGACTTGAAAGGCAATATATAAACGTACATTGCATTGCTTTCTCTGTGACCCCTCTGCCCAAGCAGCTCATTTTACAAACACTATGCCACCGATCTCTGGAATTTTCCTAAAATATCTTTGCCTTGCGCTTTTCCGCACTTCCTTATCTTTTAATAAATGTGGCTTTGGTAACCCCCATTGTTTTTGTAAAGTGCTTTGAAGCCTTATCCGATGTGAAAGGAAACGAGACCAAATGCTAACAATAGCCCAACATGGTCTGCAAGACAACTAGAAAAGTAGTTAGTGGATGGTTTCTCTCTGGTAAGGGATCCAAATCAAAGAGCTAAAATCTTAAAAGTAGAACTAAGTCAGTCAGAAGTGAGACCAGAAAACATTTCTTCACATTAAAGGCTGTGAAAATGTGGAATTCACAGTGCTAAAAAGAAGTAGAGGCAGAATCAACAGGGATGTTTAAAAAGAAAAACTTGAGGGTTTGGAGAAAAGGCAGGGAAATCGAATCAAAATGCCACATCTAGTCAAACATTCTTGATGTGAATGGCCTTGACTGAATGGCCTTCTACTGTTCATCACAGTCCCTGGTTACGACAATGCTTATTTACCAATATCAGAGTTTGCAGCAATCAGGACATTTCCTCCTCCATCAATGAATGCGGCAATGGTTTCCACGTTGATGTTGCCACCAAAATCTGAAACCCAACAAACAGTGTTTATTAATCAGTTTGTCTCAGTCGCAGTTCGGTGTCAAACGGATTTGGGGAGTTGAGCTCAACTACACTATGGGGGTGGTGCTGCATGGTCAAATGTGTCAAAGGAGATGACAAACAAGTCCCATCTGACTGTTCAGGAATAACATTGAAGCCCCATCAGATACAATAGAGGATTTCCTGGCCGATAATTCCCCAAATAAGTTGCTCATTCATTTTATGACTGTTTGGGGTACCTTGCTGTGCTTAAAACGTCTGTCGTTCACAGAATAGTCTGTGCACATGACAGCAATGTGAAACAGTTAAGTTATCTTTACTTTATAAGACACTACATTAAATACAACAGTTTGAGTTGCTCTTACTGGGTTTATTCAGTATATTTACCAGTGTCACCTACACACAAGGCACTGTAACCAGCAGCTATTCCAATCAGGAATCCACCACAAACAATTTCCAACGTAATAATTAAATACTCCTAATGTCTGATGTAGTGCCTTTCACACCAGGAGGACACCTCAAAGTGCTTCACAGGGAATACTGTGAAGTGTCGCCAGCAACTGTGCAGTCTTTCGAGGCAAACACATAAGAACGTTAGTCAAGTAAATCAAAGTGCCGTACCCTCCACAGATGGTGAGAAAAGGATGAGATGATCATAAAGAAATTCTCCATGTTTAATCAAAGACAAACTGGGGTCATCCGCAGTCTTAAACGAGAGCTCGAATCCACGATCTACACAGGAGTGCAAACACAGGCAAATGGAGCTCATAATACAGTAACACTCCCCCCCCCACTCCCTCCGCCTCATAGATTTCCCAGCTCCTGCCCCCACCTCTTCCTCCTCCCTTAACAAGCTCCTGCACCCCTCCTTCCTCCCACTCCCCCACCCCTTCGCTTCCCCCCCATTCTCTCCCCCCCACCCTTTTCTCTTTCTCCCCCTTAACGAGCTCCTCCTCCCCTCCCCCACACACACCGGCGGGTTCTTACCCAACAAACTCCCGAAGAACCTGGAGTGCGTCTCCTTCATGTTGACATTGTCCAGGAGCACCAGGGTCCGCCCGGTGCAGCTCCCCGCGGCCAGGGAGAGGAGGAGCACGAGAGCCGCGGGCAGGGAGGCCAGGAGCCGGCACGAAGCGCGATCGCCGCCACCACCACCACCCGCCGCCATCTTGACCCCTGTGCAGGAACCGGAAACCGTGAGCGTCACTTCCGGTCTCTCTTTCCCCCCCTCGGCTTTCCCGCTCGTTTTGGAGCTGATTTAAAGCCGCGTTTCTCTTGCCTTCCGCCCGGTGTTGTTTGTTTTATTATTAACGCCCCCGGAGCCGAAAACACGACAGAAACCCGTCCGCCTCCCCCCCGAAGAGAGGCGGTAAAACAACTGTCAGCAACGGCGGCTCGAGCCGACCAATCAGACGCGGCCAACTGGTCACTGCGGTGTAACAGGGAAAGGTTCCCCCCCCCCGAGGCCGCGGGTCCGGGCAGCCGGTCCCCCCCTCAGTGATGTTCCGCACTCTCCCGGAAGTGCGTGGCCGCGGCCGGGCGGAAGTGACGGCGTCGGTTACCTGCCTGAGTGAGGAGAATGGAGGAGGGACACAGGCAGCTCCTGCGGCGGCGCCGGGTGGAGCTGGTCACCGAGCTGCAGCCAGAGCTCCTGCTCGATCCGCTGTTGGCGAAAGGGATCTTCTCTCAGGACATGTTGGAGGAGATCCAGGTAGGAGGGGCGGGGGGGGGGTCAGGACAGGGGTGGGGGAGTCATGACGGGTGGGGGGTCAGGACAGAGGTGAAGGGGTCAGGACAGAGGTGGAGAGGTGGGGTCAAGACAGGGGTGGAGGGGTCAGGACAGGGGTGGAGGGGTCAGGACGGGTCAAGACAGGACGGGGGGGGGGTCAGGACAGGACGGGGGGGGGGTCAGGACAGGACGGGGGGGGGGGTCAGGACAGGGTGGGGGGTCAGGACAGGACGGGGAGGAGAGAATTGGGCTCAAAGCTCAGTGGGGCTGAGTGTGGTTCTCGTTGCTGATAAGCTATTATAACTCAGTGGCAAGGAGAGCAGCAGGTTTACCTATGGCCGGGCTGACCCGGAATCACACAGGGCACAACCGGCTGGCGAGATTCGCCCACTAAATACACGGTCAGTTCGCTTTACAGTATAGTCTGTGAAGGGCTTCGAGTCTCCGTAGACGTTCTCCTGCACGAGAGTCGCAATGTAAGTGCAATGTACGAGTGCACGTTATGTTACGGGGCAGTTACTGCGTCCGGCCGGCCCAAAGTAACGAAGTCATGAGCATTCAAAGTTCACGGCGAATTGGTTTGACTGCAGAAATCGGGCACACGCAGGGATCAAGCCCGACAGCTGGTGATCGATTTGCAGACTCGTGGAAGAAGAGCCTTTCCTGCTTTTTTGGAGAGTCTGGAGGAAACTGGTCAACATGAGCTTGTGAAGCTATTACAGGAGGGACTCACCAAACACCCTGGTAGACCAAAGACGTCCTGGCCTGAATACACCCCGGTTCGCCCTCCAGCTCCAGTACAGTGTATGTAAGGTGTTTAAGCACTCTGGGCGCGATATAAATGCAAGTTGTTGCTTTGAAAAAAAACCTAATTTCTCACTGGGTTATGAATTCTTTAACCTCATGGTTAAAGCTTGCACCGTAACCACAATCCAGTGAAATTAAGTAATAGTTATACAGTTTTAGAACACGTGTGATTCTTACGGATTATGTTCTGGAAACACAAAAATGTTGCTTATGTGGCCCTTGGGCGTTTCTCAAATCAGGCACCTGGCCCTCAGCAGCCAGAAGGTTGGCTCTCCACCCCCCCACCCAGTCTAGAATATCACTCACTCACTTCTGATCTTGTGTTGCAGGTTCAGATACTGATCTCAACATTTGTAGAAAGCCAAAGCTAGGCAGGAACTGGAATGATGAGATGGTGAGTTCCCCCCACCCCAATATTGTCGTGGAGTCTTTGGTAGTTCTTTGGTAGAAGCCATTGGATGGTTATTATGGGAATTGAAAACAATTGATGCTCTGATGTGAGAGGAGGAGCTTTTGGAGGAAACTTGATCCCATACGTAGCTCCTAGTGTATTTGCCCAGGAGATTTCTTTTTCCTCTTTGCCAGTTTTCTCCCTCCCACTTACTCTTTATACCACAGGGTAAGGGTGTCCTAGAACCTCACCTAACTTCATTATTCATTAGCCACTATAAACTATTTGATCAAACGTGAGTTGGTCCCCGAATGGTCATAAATCTTTGATACTCGTTTATTTAGATTTACAAAATGGATGTGGTTCCTCGTGGCTACTGTTTGATCATCAACAATGTGGACTTCTCTAAAAGCAGTCGTCTGGGCAGGCGTGAGGGCTCGGACATTGACCGTGACAACGTCAAGAGGCTCTTCAAGAAGCTGCAGTTTGAAGTCATTGCGAAACAAAATTTGACCAAACAAGTGAGTTTTTTTTTAACCCAACAATAGTATAACAAGGAAGATAGGAACAGCAGTAGTTGATTGAATTTGTCCTATTAGATCGTGGGCAAATGTTTTAATCCTATTTACCCACCTTTCCTCTCCATGATCTTTACTTCCCCATTATGTAGCCTGACATTTTCTTTCATTATTTTAATACCTGAATCACATCATCCCATAACTTTATTCTCAGTCCTCTTATTTTCCTCATTTCATTCACCTCCAAACACAAATACGGTAATTACACTTTACAGTAAATCCTGTGAAGCCCTTTGAGCCATCCTGGCGTGAGGGATGCTACATCAAATACAAGGATCATTATTGTGGCTATTATTTATTATAACAAGACCAGTTTTGAGCCTTTTTATGTGAATGTGCAGGTTATTTTACTGGCTAGCAGTAAATTATAAATTGGCATGTCTTAACACTGCTCCTGTGTTCTTTCTGACAGGAACTGGAGAAGGAGCTGAGAGAATTGGCTCACAAGGATCATACCCGTTTTGATTGTTGTGTTGTTGTCCTTCTTTCACATGGCAATGAGGTGAGATATATCCTGGCTTTGCTGTGCTTAGAGTGGCTGCCACATCACTATACTTGTCTGCAATTATCTGTGAAGAGCTTATGTTATAAGGGGTTAAAACAAATCTTTTAATCTCATTCTCCTGCCTCCTCCCCACATTCTTTATTATTACTTTCTTCAAGTATTTAATTCCCTTTTAACAATATCTTTGAGCTTTGTGGCAGAGAATTGCACATTCCAGCCACCTGTGTAGAGAATACTAATCTCCTCTTATACTAATTTTAATTGTGATTCTTAGCTTCTGCTTCTTGTTACTGTGCCTTCCTTGGTAGGGAAGAAAGGGGGTGGAAAAGACACAAAAACATAATGTATACATTTTGCTTTTTCTTACTTAGGCTCAGCACAGTCAGTTTCCAGGCGCTATTTATGGAGTAGATGGAAATCCAATATCTGTCCAGCAAATTGTTAGGCACTTTGATGGGTCAAACTGCCCAACACTACGTAAAAAACCCAAATTGTTCTTTATTCAAGCCTGTGGTGGAGGTATGTACCGTGGTTATTTCTGACTTGTATGGATAGTGTGTAGGCAAGTGGTCGGATGTTTGGTTCATTTGATCACATCCTTCCAGAATACCCACTTTCTCACTTCAGCACTTAGTTGTTTCTTGAATATTCGAGTCCCAGTGACCTGGCCTCTACCCTTTGGAACTCCATCCCACAGTTCTTTCACCTCGCTCCCTTTCTTGTCTCAAGACCTCCTCTTTGACTGTGCTTTTGGACACCCTTTTATCCCTGCCCTCCATCCTTCCTGATCCCAACCCCCAGCTCGGGTCCAATGAACAGTGAACCTTTACTATTCTAACAGGGATGAAGGATCTTGGATTCAAGACAGCTGATGAAATTGATGGTGCTCCTGGTTTACTTTCGAGTGGTGAGAGCTTGCAAATGGACGCAGTTCCCTGTCAGACGTTGGATGAAATTGATGCAACATCGAGCTTACCAACACCCAGTGACATCTTGGTTTCCTACTCCACATTCCCAGGTATCCTAACCTCCTCAAGCAGAGCATCTTGTTTACAGGGAATAGCACCCATGCTGATGTCAGTATATAATAATAATAGTAATGTCTATCCTTTAACTTTCAAATTTACCCTTTTAACAATATTAATATTTACCCTTCATGATCTTCAAGACAACTAAGAGAGTCACTCCTTAAACTTCTGCTCTCTATTAAAGGAAACATCTTAATTGTTCAAGTGTCTCCACATGATTGAAACTCATAACCTTGGTAATATCCTAGCGAATCTATGTTGAACTTTTTCAATTGGTTTTATTTCTTTCCTATAATGGGGTGCCCAAAACTGTATCCAATACTCCAACTGTAGCCAAGGTCTTGTCAAGTTTGATATCAACTCCTTGCTTTTGTATTCTGTGCCTCTGAATATAAAACCCGAGTCCTATTTTGTTTTCCGATCGTTAAGAAGCAACAGATTGTTTTACCTGCTGTTTTGGTTCTTTCTCTCAGGTTATGTATCCTGGAGAGACAAGAATGAGGTTCATGGTACATGAAAACGTTAGTGGAAGTTTTCAGTGAATATGCTCATTTGGAAGATCTGCAAAGACTTCTAACAATGGTTAGTACTCTCCTGATTTCAGCCTCACCCCCTTCCTTATCTCCTTCAAGGCCCATCTCAAGACCTTCCTTTTAACCGCGCCTTTGGTCATTTTCGCTCCTCCACCCCTCTCTGGAGCTCAAATGCAAACCCCCTCCCTCTTTGTCCAATGCCTTGGGACGTCCTCCTGACATAAAAAAGGCCCTCTATAAGTGCAAATTGTTGTTGTTGGGGATATAATTGACCTCTGTATCCTGTGTGTTGGCCATCACTTCTATAAGGATATCAGGTGTGGACAGAATCTGTCTTGGCTTTCATAGCTTCTTTTACAAATTTGTTATAAACTGAGAAACAGCAGTGCTCAGGCCTCTGGTTCTTTGAATGGTTCAATCCCATCTCTTTTTCTGTTCAGGTGACAAAGAGAATTTCGGAAGACGAGGAAGCCAAAGGAATATACAAACAGATCCCTGGATCGTTCAACTTCCTGCGGAAACAACTGTACTTCATAAAGCCGTTAGACCAATGAGGGTCTGTGCTGTCCTTTCTGCTGCCACCTCACAATGAAAAAATAATCAATTCTCACCTTTCTGTAAAAATAATTAGGAAATGTACATTATGTGTCCACAGACAGATTTGTCCAGGACGTTAATGTTATATTTGGGGCTGAACATGCAGTCGCTGATCAGAATATGATTGAATTAGGGCAGGGGAACTACGTACATATTACCTCTTTCCCCTCTTTGTGATTATCACTACAGATAATACATTGCAAATTCCCTCCCTTTCCCCCACAATCAATCAATAAGAATGAATGCCTTACTGTGTGTTGCCCTCTATGCTTTCCAAGCCATAAATTTCTATCACAACTGAGTTATGTAGAATATTTGTAACCATGTACATTTTTGGGGAATATAATGTATAAACAGTGTATAAAATGCAAATAAACTGTATAAAAATATAAATGTATAAAATGTATGCTGAATAGGGCTGGTAATAGTTAAGTGCACGAGAGGTTGTAAAATTTGATGAGTTTTTTTTAATATGCACACGCACAAATGTGAATCTAAATGAACTTTTTATTTCCAGCGCTGGGGGGGAGAGGGAAACTAAGACTTTCAATTCTTCTTTTAGGGAACCGTAGCTGTTTTTCTAACGGTGGTGGAGATTATGTGAACACTTAAAATCAACCCCCACCCACCAAACCCCGACCACCCACCCACCCACCCCTCCAAAATCCAACTGATTAAAATTCACATTTCAAATAACCGACCGACTACTTTTGTCTATTTGGATTTATTGCTTAAACCGAGTCGTTGAAGTTTCCGACTCAGTGAACTTGTGTGATTGGGTGTTGGTGTGGTGTGGTGTGAAAGCTTCGGGCTTTTTGGGGTGGGGGACATCACCCGGGTGGGCTCCGGGCGGCTCGTCACCCGGGTGGGCTCCGGGCGGCTCGTCACCCGGGTGGGCTCCGGGCGGCTCGTCACCCGGGTGGGCTCCGGGCGGCTCGTCACCCGGGTGTGACCAGAGTGTGGCTCTGGCTTCTGATGGATGGTGGTGCGGGGGCGGGAGGGGGTACCCCGAGGCCTCGTCACTGAGCCCCTATTCCTTAGCCACACGCTGAGCCGGGACACACGTCGCGTGTGCGGTAGTATGTCGACGTGGCTCAAAATATTGACCGGGAGCAAAGTTGAGGTGGAAGAAAGACCCGGAGTCTCGCAGCTGCTGCCGATCTGTATCTGAACGCGGGTGGCAGTGGGGCGGGTGGGCCGGGGGGGCCGGGGGGGGGGGTGATCGGTGAAGTGGGCCACACGCGCGCGCACTACAGGAGCCGCATTTGCGGCGTCCGCGCCCTCGTAAAACAAGGTCATTCGGGCCGCTGCGGACCCGCGGCAGTTTGGAGGGCAAATCGACCGCCGCCTTTCGCCCCGGCTTCCCCCAAACCACCCCCTTCCCCCCCCCCCCCCCGCCACGCCCAACCCTCCCCACCCCAAAAAAAAAACAGTCACTACACATGGCGGTGCGGAGCGCTTTGAGATGTCCCGGAGACGTGATAAGAAGGCGCTGAAGCTAATAACTCACAACAATAGTCATTGTAGAGATGATTATTATTATCATCATTACTTAGTTAATAGGTAAGTAACTGCCCCCCAACCCCCCCCCCCCCCCCGTGTTGGTTAATAATAATAATGATAACAGTAGCTAATCGAGGCTCAGGCTGTGTTGGGGCCAGGGACGGACTAGGCCTCGGTGCCATGGCAACCCCGCGCGGGGGGGGGGCGGGGGAACCGGAAGTGATTGTCCACACCTGTTTGTCTGTCTGTCTGTGGCCGTCCCCACGTCATGGTTCCCGCGTCCCTCACAGCCAAGGCCGCGGCGGAGTGAGTCCGGGGGCCCGGGGAGGGGGAGGGGGACATGTCTGCCCCCCCACAGCCGCTCATCAACATCACCGTGTGAGAGGGAGAGGGGGGTCAGTGATAGTGTGGGATTGGGGTCAGTGATAGTGTGTGATTGGGGTCAGTGATAGTGTGGGATTGGGGTCAGTGATAGTGTGTGATTGGGGTCAGTAATAGTGTGTGATTGGGGTCAGTGATGGTGTGTGATTGGGGTCAGTGATGGTGTGTGATTGGGGTCAGTGATAGTGTGTGATTGGGGTCAGTGATAGTGTGTGATTGGGGTCAGTAATAGTGTGTGATTTGGGTCAGTAATGGTGTGTGATTGGGGTCAGTAATAGTGTGTGATTGGGGTCAGTAATAGTGTGTGATTGGGGTCAGTAATAGTGTGTGATTGGGGTCAGTAATGGTGTGTGATTGGGGTAAGTAATAGTGTGTGATTGGGGTCAGTAATAGTGTGTGATTGGGGTCAGTAATAGTGTGTGATTGGGGTCAGTAATAGTGTGTGATTGGGGTCAGTAATAGTGTGTGATTGGGGTCAGTAATAGTGTGTGATTGGGGTCAGTAATAGTGTGTGATTGGGGTCAGTAATGGTGTGTGATTGGGGTCAGTAATAGTGTGTGATTGGGGTCAGTAATAGTGTGTGATTGGGGTCAGTAATAGTGTGTGATTGGGGCACAATCCCTGTCCCCCTGTCTATGACAGATCAGCAACAGAGAGTTTCAGCCGATATTTATAGGAACAGGAGGAGGCCATTCAGCCCTTCGAGCCTGTTCTGCCATTTAATTAGATCACAGCTGATCTGCACCTCAACTAATCCTTTCAATTCCAATTCCCCGCTTTCTCCCCATGTCCCTTAAATAACTCCCTTGATCCGAGGTTGAGTTGATTGGATCGGGTAACGCTCGTTCCAGTTTTACTTCTGAAGGATAAATTAAATCCAAACCCGGATGTGATTTTCAGGTTAGATAGAAATAAAATCAGGTTCACACCCGAGGCAAGTCTCGCACAATATGTTTACGCAATTCGAGTCAGAGAGAGAGAGAGAGAGAGTGAGAGTGGGGGGTTTTAGAGGTGAAGAGCTGTCGTATTGTGGAACTGCAGCGACCACATAAACTCCTGATGACAATTAGTTATTAGTTAGCACCGAAGCTAATTAGCATTGCGTGTGATTTACCCGTAACCCTCGTTATTTGCTTATCCGCATAGTTGGTCGGTTACGATTGGTCGGGATAATCGTCTCTCTGCTACTTGGTTATTTTTTGTGCTGGAATCTTTTATTTGCTTTGCAAATCGCCGTAACCCATCCTTTGTATCTGGCAGAGCGTTTTGAGATTGTTTTCGCGATGGCCGGCTTGTGGCAGTTGTACTTTGGAAGGTTTCCAGTGGCTCTGGCCATCGTGTTGCTGTTGAACAGCCCTCTGCACCAAGCCATCGAATTTGACCCCTACAAAGTCCTCGGAGTGAACAGAGCGACGACCCAGGGAGACATAAAGAAGGCTTACAAACGCCTGGCCCGCGAGTGGTATGCATGCGCGATCCTAACTACAGGTTGACCCTGTTGTAATGTGCCTCCGTGTAGCGCGGGTCATCTTCTAACGCTGCGTACCGTGGCACTCTTCTGTTGCTCGCTGGGTGATGTATGCAGCCACAGATGGCCTTCCCCCTCTCCAGTGGTGTCCTAGCATCTACTGTAAAAGCTTGCGAGAGCGGTTGCTAGTTTCCTGTCTACTTGCGCGGTCATGATGTCAGTGATGATCTTGTGACCTGGACGGTGCTGTCGTTTGACGGACCCAAACTGCTGCTTTATAAGGGGTTTGGCCTGGAGAGCATTTGAATAGCATTGTTCTGTATGGGAGGGTCTACTTAAAAGCGTTAGCCAGTACAAATAGTTATTACACGTTAATGCCACTCAACATATCCCTTTTAGGCACCCCGACAAGAACAGGGACCCCAAGGCAGAAGACCGGTTTATTCAGATTGGTAAAGCATATCAGGTACTAACTAACTCTTCCTTTTTAATTGTTAATTAATTCAAAGTTCACTGGCTTGTAGTTTCCAAATAGTCAGTTCATTTCTCTGGTTTCTGTTCATTTTGTGCATGGAATCTGTCCCCAAATACTTGTGAAGCATTGTAGGTGCTGTATCCAGTGAAATTTTTATTATATTTATATTCATTCATTTTTTAAAATGTATTTGAGGAAACGGGTTGTTATTTTATTGTCTCAAGACCCTCCTTTTCGACCACTCCTGCGGTCAGCCTCCTACCCCCTACCTTCCCTGTCCTGTCTCCCTCTCCTGATCCCAACCCCCAGCTTGTGTCCAAATCTCTGACTGTCCAGCACCTTGGGATGTCCTCCCGACGTGAAAGGCACCGTGTAAATGTAACGTGTGGTTGTTGTTGTTGATTCTTGCTTCAGATTCTTTCAAATGAGGAGAAGAGACAGAACTTTGACAGATATGGAGAGGCAGAAAGCCAGCACACCTTCGCCCCTCACCATTTCCGGGGTTTCCACAACTACGAGAGCTTCTTCTTCGATGACCCCTTTCACTTTCAGTTCAACTCCGGCCATGACTCGTTCGACGACAAGTACCTGCTGCACTTCTCCCAGTACATGAATGAGATCCTGCCGGACAGCTACCGCAAGCCATACCTCATTAAAGTGACCTCGGATTGGTGTTTCAGCTGCATTCACATTGAGCCGGTGTGGAGGGAGGTGGTGCTGGAGCTGGAACCACTTGGTAGGTTCACTTGCTCGCACGTTTTGTTGTCCTCGTGCTCCTCCCTAGCTCTGCCACTTCTTCGCCTTGTTTGAACGATCCTACATACGCACAAGCTGTTGTCAGTCTAACTTAAAATGAACTCGCTCAACAACAACAACTTGCATTTGCACCGCGCCCCCTCACGCAGAGCAGAGTCCCAGAGCGCTCGACAGTCGCAGAGCACGACACCCAGCCGGGGTGGGAGGAAGGTCACAGTCGGCATGGCCGAAGGAGGAAGATCTTCAGGCACGACCTGAAGATGGGGAAGGAAGGGGCAAAGTGGAGGGTTAGAGGGAAAGTGTTCCAGAGTTTCAGGACCTGGTGTGGGGCTCGAGCCCCTCAGTGTTTGACTGGACGCTAACGAACACAGCCAAGCTCGGCTTTAAACCGGAGCCGCTCTCTGTATACCGATCAAAGAAGGAGAAGGTGATGTGTCGTTGGATTTTTTTTCAGGGGTAGGAATTGGCGTCATCGATTCAGGGTACGAACGTCGCCTGTTGCAGCACTTGGGGGTGTACCAGCACCCCACTATTCTGGGAATCATCAGCGGGCGAGTGCGTTTTTTCAAAAATGCTGTGGTTTGGGAAAACCTACGCCAATTCCTGGAAAACCTGCTGCCGACTAACCTCATAGAGCAGGTACGTGCCGAAGGACCTTTCACTTGTGTTTTTAACAACTAGTATTCTTTGGGTCAGAAGGTGGTGGATTAAGGCTCTGTGTTAAGACTTTAAGTTCACTTGTCTGTGTTGACAATCCTAAAAGAGAACATTATCAGAGGTCCTGTCCTTCAGATAGGATGTTAAACTGAGGCTGTTCAGTCGGATGTTAAAAGACCTGTGGATCAGGTCTGTCCAGATGTTGCGAACAGATCAACTGGCCATTTACATCCGAGCTGTTTGTAGGGCCTTGTGTGGAAGTTGCTGTTGCTTTTTACTACGCACACTCACAACACTTCACCGCAATCTGCCTCGGAGGAGCTCAGGATTGCTGTCAGCGGCAGAGATCATTGGAGCCAGCTACCATCTCACTGGGTGGTATGAGGTCAGAGGCGAGCAAGTACAGTGCCTAGAATAGAGAGAGATCAAGGTGTTAGAGAGATGGAAGGTCAGAGCAGTGACGATTTGGTTACCTGACTAGAAGCTTTCGCACAGAATTTGGTTCTTATTCACTGTGATGTGTTGTGTTGCAATTGTTAAGAGTTGATCAGCTGGAAAGTGGAGTGTTGGAGTACAAGGTGCTTACAGACCGGCTTCTTTTTCAGTTGGTTAGAAATAGAGTTTGATATTTGTGTTTCTCTTTCCAGGTAACTGTCACGAATTCCGCAAACTTTCTGTCAGCTTGGCAGCAGGACAACAAGCCTCGAGTGCTGACCTTTCATCAGCGGACCGCAGAGCTGCTGATGTACAAGGTAATGCGATTTATAGTCCTTCTGATTGAGATGAGTTCCTTGGGAGCTGCAGTGTGCAGGTGTGAAGCTTTGCAGTTAAAACAATAGAGTTCTCCCATACTTTTTACATTGCAAAAAGAATTAGATCCTGTTATTAATAAAGCTGAAGACTATGTTGATCAGGGACAACAAGCTCGGATTCACAAAGGGCAGTTCACGATTGACTAATCAAATCAAAAACCAAACTTGCTTGAGTTGGCAATCTCCGGATTGTTAGCAATCACACTGAGGCGAGGAGATGGCTTCCTTCACTTGGACGACAACAACAAGATTGCATTTATAGAGCGCCTTTCACGTCGCGAGGATGTCCCAAGGCGCTGGACAGTGGGTCGGGATCCGAGCAGGGGGGGAAATGGTCAGGATGAAGGGAGGGAAGGGAGGGAGCGAGGAGGGGGTAGAGAGTCGAGAATTGGAATTTATTATCAGAAGTGGACATTGAAAACAGCTCAGTGCAATTGTTCAGAAGGGAACTTGGACAAGCACCTGATCAGGGACACGGTGGGTCGAAAAGCCATGTTCCGTGCAGAAAATTTCGGTTTTTAATGGTTGACCTGTTGTTGAGCTTGACATTCTTTCTAAAGCTGGCTGCCTTCACGTACAAAGATTATGTGGCTTTTGGCTCCGTGGACACGAAGGTGCAGAAATCGGAAGAGTTGCTGAATCAGTATTCCATAAATATGGACATTCCAACCTGGCTGATCTTTAAGGAGAAGGTTACAAAGCCGATCTATTTAATTCAGGTGTGTATTGTATTGAATTGACAATGCATTCGGTCGCCGCTGTTAAATTGGAAAAGCAGAAATCCAGAGCACACAGTGTCCTGGCCAACAGTCCCTAAAAAAAAATGCGATCACTCAATCCACAACAGTTTGTGGGACGCTGCTGTGCGTAATTGGCTGCTGCATTTCACCCACAAAATATACAGTCACTCCACTTTACAGTGTGTCCTGTGAAACGCTTTGAGACGTCTCGACGACGTGATAAGGCGCTGTGTCAAACGCGAGTGGCATTGTTATTATTTAGTAATAATGTTAAATTCTTGCTCAGCTGCCCTCAAACCAGAGCAATTCAATCGGCACTCAATAATTTCTTGCAGAACAAAAACATGAAGAGGCACATCATTGATGAAATCCTCTCCAAGAACAAGTTCCTGTTGGTGCCGCGGCTCACAAGCCAGAAGCTTTTAGAGGAGCTGTGCCTCGTGAGGGAGAACCGACGGCAGAGGAGGTAACCAAACGGTTTGGGAATTGCATGCTGCCGTGAGCTTGGGGCTCGATGGTAACACGGTCCCGGAAACGTGACGAGATTTTTTTTGTTGAGTGAGTAAATTGGTGTTATTTATTTCTAAATCAAAAAATATTCAATCAAGAAAAAAATGAAAACACTACCGATCGAACACGGACTTACCGTGACTAGTGCGAATATTCGGGTGGGGGAGGGCTGGGGGCTCTTTTTGACGGCCCCTGGGGGCCACAGGTTGGCTACCGCTGGTCCAGGCTAGTGCCGGAGTACAGAACTTGAAGCACTGCATTGTCAGAGCTGCCATCCTCAGGATGAACCATTCACCTTTTGTATTTCTGTAGGTACTGTGTCCTGCTCATCACAGGTGAAGGCGAGGGGTTCCGTGCCTCGTACAACTCCTTCGTCTCTTTTGCCTCTGTGAATGCTGAAGAGTCTTTGCGATTTGTGTACGTGTATCGAGAATGGCAGCAAGCATTTAGCGATGCCCTACTCCAGATGGCACCCAAGCTTACTGCAGCCTCTCAGGTAAGGAGCAGGGTGTAAGTGGGCAGTCAGGTAACCACTCCAGGTGGGGGAATCAAAGACCGAATGAAAATTAAACATTTGTTTCTCTAATCAATGAAAATGAAAGCCCTCTTTCTCACCTCCACACCCACACACTGCCCACACACCACACACCACAGATACACACACACCACACCCACCACACATACACACACACCACACCCACCACACATACACACACACCACACCCACCACACATACACACACACCACACCCACCACACATACACACACACCACACACACCACACACACACCACACGTACACACACACAAAAAAAAGAATTTGTAACATGATTACTGTCTTCCTTAAAAACAAAACTAGGTTGTGATTTTTGAGCAAAGAAACACTCCTGGGAAAGTGTTTTACACGGTGCTGGAGGACGGCTGGACTGGCAGTGAGGAGGATGAAGAGCGACTGTTTGACCGCCTGAATCACTTGCTGGCGGAGGGGGACTACAAGCTGCTGCCACACCAGGCCGTGCTGGCGGAGCTCAATGAAGAATTTGCCTCTGTGAGTGCATTGGCTTGTTTACCTATGTATTTTCACCCACACAATACACAGGGAATTCACTTTACAGTGTATCCTGTGAAGCGCTTTTGAGACGTCTCGAAGACGTGATAAGGCGCTGTATCAAATCCAAGGATTATTATTATTATCGACAGTTGCTGCAGTAACAGTAAACAATAAACCTCACGTAAAAGCTGTGACCAGATGTTTAATGCGACTTATGCAAAGTATGAGTTGTGTCAAACTTGCACAGAGTATAAACTCTTTAATAGGACTCGGGCAGATGTACAACTTAATAATAATAATAATCTTCCTTGCATTTGATACGTGAGTGAGTGAGGCCATTCTTCATGCATTTTTTACCTTTTCTCTCTATTGCTCACGTCTATTAGTAGCTCTGTTCTCAACACTGTACAGATCCTTTCCCACAGGAACAACCTTTTGAAGCTGTTGTTTACATGAGCTGAAGCTTGGTTCCGTGGTGTCTCCTGGGCCTCGCTCACGTGGCCAATCTTGCTGCAGAGTCCCAGCTCGGGGTTCCTGCTTATGTAACTGGGGTGGGGGTGGGTGGGGTCACAGCTAAATAATTGTTAGGAGCAACAAGACCTGATTGATCTATTCGCGCTTTGGGACGTCCTCCCGACGTGAACGGTGCTATACAAATGTAGTTTGTTGTTGTTGTATTCCCCCTGTTTCACTTAACGAGAGCCTGAGGCAGTGTAAGGAAAGCAGAAGATGCCTAGATCTCTCTCTTTCTGTCTCTCTTTTGCATTCTATCTCTCTCTCTCTCTCTCTGTCTTTTTCTTTAATCCCTTAGACTTATCAAGTACCAGATATAAGGTGCTATTTTCAGGATTAGATCTGTGCTGGAGATATCTTTTGGGATGAAACTGACTTGGATTATAACCAGATCTTGTTTTTCTGCAGATATTTCTCGTGCGTTGGCTCCACGTCTTGATAGATTATGCTTCTCATTTCTGGGAATCTGGGTTCAATCAAAACTGGTACGTTACTGACATTGGCTTTAACGTGCACCTCTTGTCCTGCGGCTTATTCCCACAGTCCCTGCTTGGTGCTGACGGTTTGTTTTTTGTCTCCCCCTCTCTCTCTATCTCTCAGGCGCGAGATGATGCCTCTAATTTCGCTGCTTTTCTCCGTGATTTTCATTCTCTTCGGAGCCTTCATCATCCAGACCTTCAGGTAAGACTCGGCAACATGAGACTAAGACTGACGTCTGTCAGTGGGGGAAGTTGGTGGCGGGGAGGTGGTGGTGTTTGGGGTAGGAGGTGGTGGTTGGGGTGAGAAGGGCAAATGGGAAACGGAGTGAGAGCTATTACACATTATGTATAACACGTGCAGATGGAGTTACAGGTGCCTGTGATTATGTAATTAACAGACAATTAAAGTCATTTTTAATTGCGTCGTGAGCAATCAGTCCTTTTCATCGTTTAATTACAAAATTTAGTGCATCACAAAACTACCCATTTCTTTTTGTGGAAACAAAATCGCTCCGCCTGCAGTGTCACCTCCCGATTGTTGTTGCAGTGAACCGAGCGAGCAGGAGAGGAGCCCCGGGGCTGAGAAGCAGGAACCCGCAGCGGCTAAAGCTCAGGAGGAGCCCAAAAAGCAGCGGAGCAACAGCGCGGGGACTCCCAGGTCTGGCAGAACACGCTGTGTGTGTCACTCACACTTGCAGCTCACGTCCTTTCCCTGTTCGCACCATCCTGGATCGATCGGCTGCACTTTCGAAGCCGGGGCAGGAGGGGCCTACCCGAGACCCCCACATGGGAACTTGAGCTCAGCTCAGTGTGTGTGGGGGTGGGAGGGAGGTTGGGAGACGTGGTGGGGAGGGTAGGTGGGGGTGGGCTGCATTGTCAGTGGTGCCGGCTTTTTAGATGAGATGTGACACTCCGGTCCTGTTTGACAGCTCTTTAAGTGGTGGTGGAAGATTCCCCGGCAATAATCAAAAAGGGAAGAGAGTTTCTCTTGGGCTGCCAGCCTCACAATCCTCCGTATTGATTGGTTACTCCCCTCGTTGCTTTGTGTGTGGGAGCTTACCGTGCGCACACTGGCTGCTAGGCTTCCCTGCAGCTACTACAGTCACCAATCTCGTCAGAAGTTATCTGTGAGTCGCTTTAAGTCCTCTCGTTGATATACAGGCTGTAATCAAACACGTGGATTTACAATTATCATTATAACGTTTCCGAGACAGATCCCTTGAGAAAAACTACGTTGAAGTGACAGAACTAACCTACGTGAACTACACCAGCAACCTGGTGCGCCTGATGCCTGGACACATTAATGTGTTGGTCGTGGTGACGGACACGACAAAGGACGCTCTGCTACAAAAGTTTGCTCACGAAGTCTATGCCGTTACCTGGTGAGTGGAGGCGGTTCAGTGTCAGCCAGTGTCTTCCGAAGACGTGCATATCTGTCAGTACACTCTGAAGCGCTTTGAGACGTTCTACAAGGCATGAAAAGCGCTATATCAAATGCGGGGATGATTATTATTATTACTACTTAATAATACTTTAAAGGGCTTCTGCAACAGAGGGAGCAAATTGATATAGATATATGTTTTATATATATATATATATATATATATACATAATAGTGGAATTAAATCACCGTATTTGTTTCTATGCTCATTCTGTTTCTTGAGTACAGTAAAACTCACGTAAGACGTATCAGTCGGGGCCACAACATTTAGTATGACTTGCGCGATGCCCCGAGTCGAACCGGTGCCCTCCTGGTCCATGAGCGTCAGCTCGATCCACTTTTCCCAGTATCCCAAACTGAGCTGAGCTCGTTTGTAAAATTGATTCTCTTTTCGGGATTAAGTGTATGTAGGACATGGACACAGCGCTTTTTTTATTCTGCCCTTCACCCGGGTTAGCGTCTCGGAGCTCTGAACACGGCCTTTTTCTGGGTGAAAACTGTCAATTAAAGTTTTGCTTGTGACGCTGAACCTGTTTTCTCCCTCCCTCCACTCCATTTCCCCCCCCCCCCACTCCCTACAGGAATAAAGCACTACACTTCTCCTTTCTAAACCTGACAAAACATGGCCGTTGGTTAGAGAATGTGCTGGAGTTCGCCCAGGATCCTTCGCCAATATCAAACGTACCAGACGAGAGTTCCCCAAACCAGGATTACGCTGGCTACGTGCTGGCTTTAAACGGACACCGCAAGTACTTCTGCCTCTTCAAGCCTCAGGACAGTAGCAGGAAGGAGGGTTGCCCTGCAGCCAACAGCCCGGGGTCAGACCCCCAGGGATCAGCAGCTGCTCCGGCTGCAGGTGACGAGTCGGGGGGTCAGCAGTCACCGACCCACCCCACTCTGTCTGTCAAACAGACGCATCAGCTGCTCAACAGACTGAACCTGTGGATGGACAGGTTTCTGGAAGGAATATTGCAACGATATTATGTCCCCCTTTGGCCTGACCTGGATTAATGTCCTGTCGTTTGGGCAGATGGTATTTTATGGCTGTAACGTATCTGAGCCACGCGCTAACGGAATGGAATTGTACAGGTTTCCAGTGTTGGAAGGCCCCTCCACACCCCCCCACCCCTAATCTGACTGTAGCCCGGGACACTCCAGGACTTTGGAAATTCCTATTCTCGGTCACCAGTTGCGACAACAGGGTTTATTGAAACAGAAGAGTAACTAGCATTGTACCACTGTGCTCTAGCCTGCAGGAGACATGGGGTGAGAGGAGGGAGTGTGTCCAGGTGAAGCAGAGTTCTGTCGTGGGGTCCGTGTGGAGGCAGCATGGTCCGTTGCCTGAAATTCCTCGCGGTCTCAGCCCCATGGCGGTCGTCTAAGAATTTGAGGTCCCTCAGGATTTGGGAAAAATTGTTAAATTTAGTTTTCTCCATTTGTAAATAATAATAAATTGATCACTCAACCCACCACCATTTATGGGACGCTGCTGTGCGCCATTGGCTGCCGTGTTTCGCCCATAAAATATCCGGTCACTACACTTTGCAATATATTCCGTGAAGCGCTTTGAGACGTCTCGAAGACGTGATAGGGCGCTATATCAAATGCAAGGATTATTATTATTGTTATTTGTGAAAATAATTGGAAGTTTTAAAAAAATATAACATTAAAAGTTTGAAATTTTTAGAACGATCGAATTGAACGATTTTCCCCCCAAAAAATAATTCAGCGGTATCTTCAATTTAGGACTATGTTCATAAGGCTAAGACCAGGTGGAGTTCCTAGTCTTGGATGCGACATGTGGGGCCCTCCTATTCCTGAACTTATTTTGCACACTCACTGAAGGCAGAGCAGAATAAAACGCCAACACTTTAACCCTTTATTTAGGAGAGAACGCACAGTTTGTGTTTGGTTGCCGTGTAACAGTATCGAGTGCAACTGACGTATCCGTGTATTTAACCTATTTATTAAATGTTAAACTTTTAGAATTACTTACCCGGCAATAGCTTGCTGTCGATCTGCACATCAGGAGATTAATCCCCCCCCACCCCCACCCTCCGTAAATCGCCCCCAGCTTTTCCTTGCATTCTACACGAGGTGGAAAATTGCGACCACTCATGACTGATTCAACGGGAAATCACATTGAAACGGTTCAGAATCACTATCGGGAGATTTCGGGGGGGGCGGCACGTTGATTTGCTGCTGGAGAGCTCGTGAAACTCTTTGGCTCTATCCTTGGGGCTGAGTGAGCAGAGGGGCTTGGAGTGAGCGAGCACTGCTGTAGTGGATACCGTTAACATGTGAGACTCCAGCCTCTGCTATCAGGAGCACAGAGGGCTTCAGGCCACATTGTGCTGTTGAGACAAAATGTGCTGTTCCTACCTGACCCCCAGACCCTAGTTACCAACCGATTTAATGTGATAATTATTGAACTCCGTCGTGTTAGGCATTAGACCTTTGTGAAAAGTTGCAAACCCCGTCCCTACCTTGTGACCACGAGCAAGAGATTTAATGTCACTGAAATGGACAGAGATGTCATTTCACTCCAGTGGTCGAGTTTCACTTGAAAAGCTGAATGAAGCAGTAAAGCAGTGCTGGCCCATACTTTTTTTTTAAAATCAATTCATCTCTTAAAAGTTGTTGTAAAAAAACGAATTCAAGTTTACCAGAATAGAATTAGTTTACAACACAGCTGTAGTTATTTATTAATGTTGTATAATTTATTGTTAACTTGGCTTTACAGCGCTGTGTCTGCAATAATTGTACGTATCGTTACTAGGAATGTCTCCCCAGATAGATGCCCGTCATATAAATATGCAACGTAAGTTTTTTTTTACAAAGAAGTGAATAAAGGTTCTGTTCCTACAGACGTGTAACCCGAGAATCCAATTGAATTTCTCAAGCCTGTTTTTTAACCAGAATATTAAATCGGTGATTCCCGAGATCAGAGATTCTGAGACATTTTTTCGCTACGTTTTGTGCTTCAGAAATTAAGATGGCAACTCGCACTCCAATGGCACCTCTCGTGTAGGATGAACGTCTCCCAAGTGCTGATGAGCAGGGAACTTAAGGATGTTTTACCAAAGGATCAAAGAGCGTGTTTATTAAAAAGACGGATTAGCTAATAAACCAGGTAAGCCATGGTTTAGGGCCCGAGGTTTGAGGGGCCCCAGTTATTGTTGACAACTACTTCCCGGCTGTGCCCCGCTTCCCTCCCCGCGCAGTCTCATTTGAGGCGCGGAGAGAGAGAGAGGTGCAGCAGGAGAGCAGGAGCCATGTCTGGCAGCAAAACATCTTAGTGCCATTCGTACGTTCTTAACACAACCGGTAATAAATAGTTCTGTGAAGGTTACCCTTGTTCTGAAAAGTGAGTCGTCAAAAACTCACTCAAATAATAATCCTTCATTTGATATAGCGCCTTATCATGTCTTTATTGATGGCTGTGACCTGGGAGCTGTAATATCTAACCTACGCAACTGAACAAAGTATCCGAGGCTGATTGAAGCTGAACAGTCGGTTGGAATAAAATGAGTGAAGAGCGGTGAGCAAAGCTATTTCCACTCTACCCATAGTCCAAGAAGCCAGATTAATATTTGATGGATCAAGATTTGGTTTGGCTCCAGTCCAAATGTTCATCACAAGAAGAATTAAAGGGGATGTTAAAAAAAATGGATGTGCTTTTATTTGGGGTCAGCCACGTGTCTGACACGTGTGGAAACCCATCACCGTTGCTTAGGAGTCTCCAAACCCAACTGAGAATTCCAAGCATCTCACCTACACATGGAAATCCCAGAGCTATTTATTGAACAAAGTCAGAGCAGGTTGAGAAGGGAAATGAGAAGATTGTTGTCCTCGAGGTTCTTTGGTTACAAGGTGAATAAGCAGACAAGACAAAGACCATGGTTTGCTTTGTAGAAAATTATTTTTATTCAGCACAGACTTATGGAGGGCAGGACAGAAAAATGCTGTACATGACCAGTTTCTTGAGAGGTGTCCGGGCAGAACTGTCGGGGCTTTGGGACATCCTCCCGATGTGGAAGGCGCTGTATAAGTGTAAGTAGTACTACAAATCCTGTACTTTGTGTGTTGTTCCCTTTTGCCCTCTCTTGGCTCTCCAGTCAACAGCTCGAAGCCACACCGCCTCTTGAGAAGTTTGACGATTTGATGGAGGGCTGAATGGAACGCGAGGATTATTATATCACAGCTTCCAATCATCACCCTTGAATTTCCGCTGAATCCAGAATCCTCGATTCTAAAGACATTTTTTCATTATTTTTTTCCGTTTTTTTTTTTTATTCGTGGTCGAGGCCAGAGCTGACGGGATTTGGTTCAGAGCGATCAGGTTGCTCTACCTTTCAGTAAACGTGGGATTCACGCTCTGACAGTGTGGGCCCCTGGAGTGTTCACGCGTACTTAACGTTGGGCAACACGCACAGCATCTCGAACAGGAGGTTGGCGGCTGTCAGAGCAGTGTTACCTGAGAGAGAAACAGAAAGGACTTAAAACAGAAAGGACTCACAGACTCCAGCTGCTGCGCAGTATCTACCCAAGTGGCCTTTGGTGCGAGCTGTTTAACAGTACCTTTCGGGACCCTTTGGCCTCAAAGCGACAGCGACACTTTAAATGGTGGCAGAGAGTGGGAGCCGAGCCCGAAAAAAACAGCACACCGTTACTCCCACCCTGGCCCCCCACCCCCGCCCAGTGATTACCAACACCAATCGCCCCCAGGTTCAGGATGGTCCCGGGGCAAAACCCCATCTCTCTTCACGACGCCCGCCCTGTCCTCCACGGCGGCCAAACCCCAAATAAACCAGCGACGTTCACCCACCTGTGGTGTCGTACTGTGGCGCCACCTCCACCAGGTCACAGCCGACAACCTTCATCCCCCGACAGCCACGGATGATTTCCAAAGCCTGTGATGAGCAAACAGTTTGGTGGGGGGGTGTCATGATCATTTTGGAGTTCCATTCTGAGTCCCTCCCTCCCTCCCTGCCACACTCCCTTCCTGACTACCCCTCTCTATCCCTCGCCCAGCCCGAGGCCCACCTCTTTCACCGTGCTTTCAGTTCATCCCCACGGCCTGATGAGTCGCTGTGATGAAGCCAGTTCCTTGCTATCAGCTGCCGCCTTTCGCCCAGAAAATACTCAGTCACTACACTTTGCAATGTATCCTGTGAAGCGCTTTGAGATGTCTCGATGAGGCGCTGTATCAATGCTAGGATTATTATTATTACTAACATTATTACTGCCCGTCAGTGAGGGTTACCTGGCTGGGATACAGGCCGGCGATCTCTGGGGTTCCTGTCCCGGGAGCGAAGGCCGGGTCAATGCCGTCGATATCGAAGCTGATGTACATGGGACCGTCTCCCATCTGCTGCTTCACCTCCTCCATGAGAGGAACCAGGGAGCGGAGCCAACACTCCTGAGCAGTCACAACTCGAAAACCCTGTGAGGTGGACAACAACAACAACTTGTGTTTGTTTGTATCGCGGCTCCTGGTGGGGCAGCGTCTCCGAGCGCTTAACAGGACTTGTCGGACAAGCCTATTTTAAGAGCTGGCGCAGGCACGACGGGCTGAATTGCCTCCTCCCGTGCTGTAGGATCCTCTACTACGATCGTAATAAAAAGAGGACAAACCTGCTCTCTGCTCCAGGCGTAACCCTCGGGATCGTACGTGGAGCCGCGGAGTCCGATCTGCGCCACCCGCTTGCAGTCCAGCAGCCCTTCCTCCACAGCGCGCCTGAACGGGGTCCCGTGGCCGATCTTCGATCCCAGCATCGTGTCTGCCGTGTCAGCGTGAGCGTCCACGTGTACCAGCCCCATCGGCCCGTACCTGTCACAGGAAAGCCACGCCGTTAGGTCAGCTTTGGCCGCCTCCGACTGTTTGGTTTGAAGACTCAGTAAACACAGTAATAATAATCATCCTCGCATTTGACACAGCGCCTTATCACGTCTCAAACCGCTTCAGAGAATGGTCTGTAAAGGGAATTGACTGCATATTTTGTGGACAAAACGTGGCAGCCAATCGCGCACAGAAAGCATCCCCACAAACAGTCGTGGGTTGAGGAACCAAATTTTGTCTTATATTGAAGTGATGGGTTTCCGTATGTGTCTCAGACACCTGGCTGCGGACTGGAAAAGAAGCCTCCCATCATCTTTAGTGAGTCTTCAGCCTTTCTGCCCCCACACCCACAGTCCCTTGGCCTCCCCCCTCCCTTGCCTCCTTCAAGATCCTCTTTCGAATGGGCCTTTGGTAAGCTTCCTATCCTATCTAAAATAACAAAGGTATCTGTCTTACACACATACTCACTTCTCTGCCATTGCCTGCAGGATGGGGTAGGTTATGGTGTGATCACCACCTGGAGACCAGAGGCACGAGAGAGAAAACCGTGGTGATTAGAGTGCACCGGGACAGTAATAATAATAGTAATAATCCTTACATTTGATACAGTGTTTTTGTGGTGGGGGGAAGTGTTGTGGTGGTGGGGGGGGGAGCGGGGGTTAGAGCGGGTGTTGTGTGAGGATGAGATCAGAGAGGCTAAAGGGCCTTCATCCAAATCAATTGTGTAATCATGTGAACAACATGTAAGATTACCTCCACGTTGGAGGGGGGGGGGGGTCAGGGCCTGAAATGTAATGAGACCACATAAAGCCCAGGTACCGCAGGGGTGGGGGGGAGTGGAGGTGCATATCTGCCCTGTTCTCAGATGGCTTGTGTACGTACCCATGGTGAGTGGGACGCAGCCTGTTGAGACGACCTTCTTGAAATACGCTCGGATCCGGTCACAGCTGTCCTTTAGGTCAAAGACGTTCACGTTAACATCACCGATGTCGGCCACCATCAAAGATTCAAAGGGAGAGGCTCCTGTGCCCCCATTGTAAGCTCTCACCATCACAGACTCTCCTCTAATGTGACGAGGACCGAACCTAGATCCAAACCCAAACCATTGTTGTAGCAATAATAATAATAATAATGATAATAAGCCGTAACGCTAAAACAACAGCAGCAACTTGCATTTGTAGAGCGCGCTTCACACAGGCTGGCCTCTCACAGGGTCTCGTATTTTACAGGTAATTACAGGCTCGGAGGGGAGAGTGCTCAACAGTCACCCTCTGCCCACCTCCAGGGCTTCGCCACCAACTTAGCCCCCAGCCCAGCCCAGTCCAGCCGTCCTGAGAATCTCTTTGCGAGTGACCTTCTGATCCCAGCCGCTGTGTTGCTCACCTGGCTCCCGGACGGTTGCTGGTGCCGATGTCCAGCGGGATGCCGAGGAATGCCGCGTCCAGTCCCTGGGGGGAGTCCTGCACCGGGAGCTTCATCATGGAGCAGATTCCCACCGGCCTGGCCACTTCCTGGGCCCTCTTGGGCATGTTGAAGCGGGAGGAGGAGGCTGCTCGCTGAGGCAGGGAGAGGGGCAGGTCCCGGAGAGGTCCCGACTTCAGCAGCGACCCAGAATAGCGCAGGAGCAGTCTCGCCATGTCTACTGAGGATAGAACAACAACGTGGGTCACGCTGTCAGCTGCTGCGAGCGGGAGGTTGTGCAAATTGGAGTTCCACACCCACCCACCCCTCCACCCGGCACACACTCACGCCCTGCATCCCCCCCCCCACCCCACCCAGGAGTGTTAGATTCCAAATAGGGCTCTTACTGACATTCCAACATCGCCAGAAACACAGTCGGGCCTTGGCTGTATTTAGTCCTGTACGTAAGCAGCAGTGCATTGAGTTCATTTAAACGCTCCCCAATTTCCTGACTGAGAGGAACAGGAGAGTGACCTCCTCCTGACAGCTGCCCACGTCTTCTGTCACTTGAGCTTGATAAGTGCTCTTAAGCCCCCCCCCCCCCCACCCATACCTATGCAATCTTCTCCAGCCTTGCAATCCAGCCTCTATCCTTCACTTCTTGATTTTGATCTATTGCTTGCAAACCTATTCCCTTCGCTCCGCCATCCGTGACCGTACCTTCCGCTCCTCTCTGGAACCTCTTCTCGCCCTCTCACTGCTCTGAATCGCTTCAAAAACCTCCTAAACCATATTTATTTGACATATTTTGCTGCCGTTGGTCAAAATCCTCAATTCTGTAATTTTTCTTGCTTGGTGGTCACCACTCGATTTGTCAAGAGCTTTTCTTTAAACCACAAGAGAGATTTGGATGAAGAAGGCCATCCAGCTCGTTTGATCTCATCCTTCCAGACAGCATTGACCTGTTTCTTAAATGAGTTCCTCGTAACAGGAGTGAACAGTCAGTGACAGTGTAATTCCGTAACGAAATGAGGTTACCTGAGAGGCTAGAGAACCACGTGATGGCTTATAATAGACATGGAACTCTTACAGGGAAAGTGCCCTTACGTCTCCCCCCTCCCACACTTATTTTATTTAACTAAAGACTGAATAAATGGGGGAAGATATGTAGAAAGCTCCATTGTTTAAGGCTTATTCAAAATACCTTTGACCGCAATGCAACCACTATTAGCATTGGTTGTAAAATAATAACAATCCTTGTGTTTGATAGAGCGCCTTATCATGTCTTGGAGACGTATCAAAGCGCTTCACACGCTATACTGTAAAGTGATTTGACTGCATTGGGTGGGCGGAATGAGTTCAATGAGACTTCTCTAATGCAGCAAACCCTCAGAGCTAAGTCACAAGGCAGGTACTTCACCCCCCCACCACCCTCCACCCTCTCCAATCCCGACCCCAGCTCAGGTCCGAAACACTGTCCAGCACCTTGGGACATCCTCCCGACTTGAAATACACATATACACATGTAATTTTGTTGTTGTTGCTTTGAGACCTCATTAAAGATTTATATAATCTAATCACCATTAGGACTTTACTCCTAACATTGCCGTTGACTGTGTCAAACTAAAAGTCCTAATGGTCATTAGTTTATCTAGTTCGGCCTCCAGCACAAAAGGACTTTCATAGAGACTTACATCTATTTATCGGGAGCAACTAGCAAGAATAAAAAATACAACATAAGAAAGAAATTTGCATTTTTAAAGAGTTTTATGTGTCTAAACGTCACCTCAGGCGATTCTGCGAAGAGCTTTGAACTGTGAAGAGTTCTACTTGAAACCCTGTAAGTTTCAACTCGCTTCCTCTGTGTTTTTATTCTTTAGTTCTTTGGCAAAGTTTTGCAAAACTTTTTTTGGCTTCGTAAACTTTCACCATGGCACGTACCCACATCATTCAATGAAGGATGTGGAAAGGTTAGAAAACCCTGGATCATCCCGCATGTTAGTACATAAGAACATAAGAAATGCCGGGCGAAAAAAGACCAAGGTCCATCGAGGTCACCTTCCTGGTGGTCGCATGCACATATGTACTATGTCCCATAACGTTAATTCCTAAAACTATCTAATCTGTGTTTGTAAGAATCAACAATTCCTGCTTCAACCATCTCTCCATCGAGGGAGCCTGTTCTACACTATTTGCTCACTGAAATAGTGTTGATGTAGTTTCGTTCTGAATTTACCTGCCTTTCAATCGCAGGATGTACAGCAGTAGCAACGTAATTCAGTCACTTACCTGAAAGTCCTGAATTCTTCCTTTGCACTTGATTTGCTCTTTAAGCCACTCTGCGCTGTTCTCTGCACCTCTCAAGTTCGCTCGCTGGCTTTGTATTTGCTGTGTTGTGTGTGCTTTTAAAGTTTCTGAGAACGGAGTTTGCTCCTCCCTCCCACAATAAATACCCACCTTGCCCCAGACTGGAGGCAAAGCTGCTTGTTATTGCAACTGATGATAATCATTTATCTGGACTTTAACTCCAATGTTTGAACTGATTTTCCTGCTCTTTCCACTGCTTTCAATTGTTTAACAACTGAATTACCTGCTCTAACCAACCATGCATCAAAGCTTTCCAATATAAACAAACAGAATTCAGTGAATGTGTGCTGGGAACTGTTCTTGAGGTTTATATCAAATCAGTATCTATGCATTTGATTGTGGTGGTAAAACTGTGACCTTCTCACAGAACAGGCAAAAGAGGCGAGGATTCAAACCAGCAATGCTCAAAATCGCTCTAAATTTATTTAAATTATATTAACAGAGGCAGCCAAACTGAAAACTTTCGTAACTATTCCAAGTCCACAATATGCAATAAGAAGAATAATAAGAACCACATTCTGGTTAGATTTAACAAAGTTATATGAAGAAACAGACCATTGTGCACTGTGTGTTTTCCCAAAGGAGCCAATCTAATCTCCTACTTGCTCCCCCAAACCCTTTAACATTCCCCCTTCAACCACACATTACATTTACACAGCGTCTTTCACGTTGGGAGGATGTCCCATGGCGCTGGACAGTCAGGGATTTGGATCCAAGCTGGTGTAAATCCCTGACTGTCACAGCAACCCTTACAGCGTGGCTCAGACACGCTGCTAGCTTGAACTCCTAACCTTGAATTTACTTTAAAGTGCGCATGCGACCAAGCCTCATGTTTAGTTACGTGCTGCCAAAACACTTGTGTGCCAACGACTCACTATCACTTTCTAAGCGAAGAAATTCTCCAAAACATCTTTCCATCCTTGGCTGTTTCACTGCTCCACTGTGTGCAATTAGCGAGACAAGACAGAACCTGCATTTTTATAGCATCTTATCACGTCAAAATCTCTCGAAGCGCTTTCCGGTGCTCCACCTGTTTGAAAGACGCTACATAAATGCAAGTTGTTGTTATAGTAATACTCTTATATGCTCTGTTCATTTGCAGGTAAGTGCAACAACTAATTTATTATGTCTGTTACATTTGCCTACAATACCTACATTTGTTAGTAATGACTGAAGTGCTTTGAGACTTGACGTCAATGGAGCGAGGAACAATGCAAGTTATTTCTTTGTCTCCTGCTGCTGCTGCTGTTTAAGCTCCGACTCCACACTTCAGTATTTGAGAGTAAGTTTAAAAGTGCGATGTTTCAGATTCAGACCCACTACAATAGCTGCAAGGTTATCCTACAAATCTCGGATTATTAACTAACCCCCGCGCTGCGGTTACTGGCTGCGGTTTCCGCACAGCAGCAGCAGCTCCATCGCCTCATCCATCTCCTCGAAGCTGAGATTCGCCAAGAAACATCTCCTCAGTTCGGTCTCCACCGGGCTGTCGCGGTTCCTCCCGACTTGCAGAAAGGTGAGCAGAGTTTGGCAGCGGAGCCAGGACAACATCTGTTCCAGGCTGCTCGGAGCAGGGGTCAGTAGCTCGGCCCCCCACAGGTGCAAGTGTAGCATGTTAGCAGCAACTCGAGCCGTCGGCCGCTTAAAGATCAAATGAAACTCCCGTTAGTTCTTCAGGTTAGCTTTGTGCTCCCCATTCTCTCCTCTCCTGAAGGCCACGGTACAGGCTGGGGCACACCCCGAGTGCCAACTGGACATTCACGACAACAATAACACAGGACATTTACACGGAGTCTTTCACGTCACAAGGACGTCCCAAGGCAATGGGCAGTCAGGGATTTGGACCCGAGCTGGGGGTTGGGATCTGGAGGTTTGGAGGGCAGGGAGGGTGGAGGTAGGCGGGTGGCCGAAGTCACTGTGAGAAGCTGTTGTGGCCGATGGTTTTCTAGCTACTGTAACTCACCTTCTTGGGGTCTCTACGGAGCAGGAGTGTGATCACAAACTGCACATGGTGGGGAGTGCAGTCGGGCAGGGCTGGCAACTGAGTCTCCTGGTAGTGCCTGCTCTCCAGATGCCCTCCTCCTTGTCTGTAGAAGGGGTTGGGCAGCCCTAGGATCTCATGGGCCAAAGCCCCCACGGACCAGGCGTCCGACTTACTGTAGTTGATGGACCTGCCGGGGCCAGGGTTGGCTGCAGACACCTGAAACACACACCAACAAATCCCCTCAGTACGTGACAGAGACAGATCAAAGCAAGTCTCAGACAATATATTCACTTCGTTCCTAATTAATGTCAGTCTGTGAGTTTCTCGTGACTCGGTCAGTATAAATGTAAACTGCTGTTTCTCTCTCTCTCTCTCTCTCGTTCATCAGTTACACACACGTACATAAATTGATGGAATTATTTATGTGGGGGCAACTCCTGCAAGAAACAGAAACTATTGAGAAGCACAATAGTGTTTATTTTATTGTTTGGTATTTAATAAGCACTTGCCTCTGGAGCCATCAAGCAGCCATTTCCTCCCCGGTCGATATACATGTTGGTAAAAGGAAGCTTCATTCCCAGCCTCTCATCTGCCAGGCAGCAGCCAAAGTCTGTGATCACCAACCGAGGGCACCCCACTTGTAATCCACCAGAGTCGAGTGAAGAGAGGAGAGCAATTCAAATTGTTACACGGAGAAGGAAAGCAAAAATTGATTACCCCTGAAATTATTCAATTCTGTTTAATCCACGTAAACTTCTTCACACACAGGGCGGTGGGAATGTGGGACTCACTCGCCCTACAGGCCTCCACTATCTGAAAGAAGAGAATTCCTCCCCACTCCCTGGCCAACAACCTTCCAGACAACATTGGTCTATCACCTCAAGGCTGTGTATGGGACCTTGCTCTGCGCAAAACAGCTGCTGCATTGGTCCACAAAAAACAGTCACCACACCTACGTTATTACTGTAAAGCACTTTGAGAGATTTCGAAGTTCTAGGTGTTATAAAAGTGCAAGTGAGAAACAGAATTTTACAGCACAGAAGACAGAAGCCTGCTTAAGCTGCCTCCGCACCTCAGTATTTTGAGGTTGTCTGCGAGAGGTAACCATTAATCCCATTTGCCAGGTCTTCCCCCAAATTATTAGCTTTAATATGGTCTCCAGAAGAACATTGGTATCTTGTCTTTCCTACAGCTGTGAAAGTGTCTGCCCATATATGTACTGTATATAAGGATAACCTGATTTTTCCCCTCTTGCTTCAATTACCTGAATCAAACTCCACGAGGATGTTATCCGATTTGAGGTCTCTGTGTGCGATGCCTTGCTGAACCAGATGGTCCACTCCCTCCAGTAACTGCAGGATCATCAGTGTGGCCCAGCGACTACTGGGGGCAGAGATGCTCAGGTACTGCCGCAAGGTGCAGGGATAGCTTGGTGCACAAAGCACAAAGGCGTTAGATCTCTCATCAATTCGGTGCTGGAAACCCCCCCCCACCAGCCATTTTAAAACAGAGTTGCACCTAGATGGGAAAATTGCCTCAGGAGTCAAACTCGCAGAGAGTTGGAGAAGCAAAGACATCAAACAATGAAGCCAGGGCCAATAGTACAGACATCCATGGTAAGAGTGCAGACAAGATAACATAGATAATTCTTCAACCTGCATTTCCTGAAGAAACAGCAGACCTCGTAGGTGTGGAATAAGCCCAAACACTTACTTCTTCATCACCAGGAAGAGAGTGCGGTTGCGTCCGATCCCTCTGGGATTAATTCTGGACGGCAGGACATCGGGATACTCTACCCAGGCTCCAGGCAAGAGAGGAACGTTGCTGTGAATGCTCGAATGACCTGGATAATGTTTGGGTGCGGTTTCATCTTCTTTCTTTTACGGATGTCTGAGCTGATCAACACAAACACAAGAGATTAGGCCACAAACGACGCTGCAGGAGAAACTTCACAGCCACAGTCTGTCCATCTTTCGTGGATCTGCCAATGCCAGATTTTTCACTGGAACAGAGAAGAGACTAAAAAAAAGTGTCTTGATTTCTCCCCTTCCCCTATTAGATAAGACAAAATGTCACCAATAAATCAGTGCAGAGTGAATCCGCCACAGTCTGTAGATAACTAGGAAGCAGAGCATGACTAACCCGGTAGAAGCAGATTTTCCAAACACACCGGTTAAGGCGCTGGGAGTGGCTGGGACCAGCTCCTGGGCCATTGTCCTCAGAATGGCATCACAGGATGAGTCTGCCTGTAAAGGAACAGTGAACAGATCTCAAGCAACATAAAATGCCGGGGCTTTGCATTGTATTTGTTATCAAAGGCAGTGATTGTGTATTCACAGGAAAGTGGCAGCCAATTTACACACAAGGTTCCACAAACAGCCATGAGATGAATCTATCTTATCTACTGGGAGGCCAACACTGGGAGAAACTCCTTGTTTTTTTCCCCAATAGTGTCACAGGATCTTTAGTGTCAGCAGGATCTTGGTTTAATCTCTCGTATCGCAGCAACAATGTGGTGCTTTCCCCAAGAGCAGGTTAGGACGATGTTGAAACATCGTCCTAACCTGCAAGCTCGAAGTCCTGAGGCGGGGGCTTGAACCTACAGCCTTCTGACCCCAGAGATTAACGCAAGACAAACGAACCAAGCTAACCCCTCGCTTTCTGGAACGAGCCATTCCACAATGATCACTCCCTGCCAGAAGAACGTCAATCCTATCCTGTTTCGCTCTCAACACGAGGGTCCCTGTCCCTCCAGGTAAAACCAACCCCAATAATTCAACCAAGAGCCGCTGGACTGGGAGTGACTTACGGTTAAGTTCCAAAGCATCTTCACCGCCAGTGGGTAGCAGGTACTTTGCTTCAGTTCACTTTGTGGTTGAGTTGGTGCCGTTTCTCCTTGCAGACGACTCGATCTATCCCGTGCCACACTCTCACCCTCTCCTGCTCCGGAGTCTCCCCGTGCCGGGCTCCCACCCTCTACTGCTCGGGAGTCTCCCCGTGCCGGGCTCCCACCCTCTCCTGCTCGGGAGTCTCCCCGTGCCGGGCTCCCACCTTCTCCTGCTCGGGAGTCTCCCCGTGCCGGGCTCCCATCCTCTACTGCTTGGGAGTCTCCCCGTGCCGGGCTCCCACCTTCTACTGCTCGGGAGTCTCCCCGTGCCGGGCTCCCACCCTCTACTGCTCGGGAGTCTCCCCGTGCCGGGCTCCCACCCTCTCCTGCTCCGGAGTCTCCCCGTGCCGGGCTCCCACCCTCTACTGCTCGGGAGTCTCCCCGTGCCGGGCTCCCACCCTCCCCGGCCCCGGTTCTCCCGTGCGGCAGGTGGCCTGCCCCGGGGATGGCGGCCTCGTACACGGCGGCGTTGCAGCCCTTCCCGATGTGCTTCCCGATGAGGTAATCCTCCAGCCGGTAGCCGTGCGCCCGCAAGCCGCGGAAGTCTTGGTATTTCTTTTTTTGGGCGTTAAACAGCAACTGGAGAAGTGGGGGTGGGGGGGGGGTAGTTCGGGGTTGGGGGAGAAAGCGGGCGTTGGGGAGGGGGTTGGGGGTAGAGAGAAAGAGCGAGGGGTTAATCCCGGTAAACACAGACAGAAAGGGATTTTAACGGTCAAGGGTGAGTTTCGGATTAACCCCCGCCCCGCCCCGCGGGCTCGTCAGGGAATCAACCCCGGGGGGAGGGGGGTTTCGGGGCGCAGCAGGAGGGGGGCCATTCGGGGCCGCGGCGGGTGGGCGTCGGGGTCGGGAGAGCGCACCCCCACCACCCCCCCGCCCCCGCCCGAGGGGGCTGGACCGTCAACGTTCCCGCCCGGACGTCCCGGGAAAAAGCGCTTGGCAGTCGAGTGTAGTGACTGTGCGTGTGCACGCGGAGGCCGGCAGCCCCATCGCCCCCAGCGACCGACGTCCCCACAAACTGTCGCAGGTCGGGGGGGGGGGGGGGAGTGACCCCCAATTATTATTATTTATTGAGGGGGAATTAATTGCCTGTGACCCCTGACCCCGGGGCCGTGTCCCGTCCCCCCAGGGCGGTGTCCCCCCGGGGCCGTGTCCCCCCCCCCCCGGGGCCCGGCTCCTCTTACCCGGACCTCCTCACACGCCGCCGCCCGGCTGCCCGCCTCCTCCTCCACCCGCCGCCGCTGCTCCACCAGCCCGAGGCCCAGGCCGAAGGCCAGCAGGAGGCCGCGGCCTCCCCCCCGCAACCGGGCGGCCAGGCCGGTCACCGACACCCGGTAATAGCGGTACCGGGAGCGGGGCGGGTCGCGGGCTCCCCCCGGGGCCCGCACACACGGCCCCGGCACCGGCAGCCGCGGGGCCCGGAAGCCCGGCCGGAGCCGCAGCCCGAGGTACAGCAGCCGCCGCAGCAGCAACATGGCGGCCAGTGGGCGGGGCCGCAGCGAGCGGCGGGTCACCATAGCAACCGCCCGGGCCGCGTCATCAGCTTCACCGTCACCATCAGCTTCATCATCATCATCACCATCAGTTCATCACCATCTTCACCATCACCATCAGCTTCATCATCATCATCATCACCATCAGTTCATCACCATCTTCACCATCACCTTCATCACCATCATCATCTTCACCATCACCTTCATCACCATCACCATCAGCTTCATCATCACCATCATCACCATCAGCTTCATCATCACCATCACCATCAGTTCATCACCATCTTCACCATCACCATCAGCTTCATCATCATCACCATCAGCTTCATCATCATCATCATCACCATCAGCTTCATCATCATCATCACCATCAGTTCATCACCATCTTCACCATCACCATCAGCTTCATCATCACCATCACCATCAGCTTCACCATCACCATCACCATCAGTTCATCACCATCTTCACCATCACCATCAGCTTCATCACCATCAGCTTCATCATCATCATCGTCACCATCAGTTCATCACCATCATCACCATAAGCTTCATCATCATCACCATCAGCTTCATCATCTCCACCATCACCATCAGCTTCATCATCATCATCACCATCAGCTTCATCATCACCATCACCATCACATCTATAATATAATATATTACAGTAATGATCCTGGCAGTCGGTGCAGACCCTCATCACGTCGTCGAGACGTCTCAAAAGCGCTTCACGGGACACACACACACACATCAAGTGTAGTGACTGTGTGTGTTTTGGGGGCCGCGTCCCCACGAACAGCCGTGGGTTGAAGTGACCGAATGATTTTTTTTTTGAAGGGATTATTACTCCCCCTCCCCGGCTCGGGGGTCAGACTCCGGCCCCGTCACACCCCCGCCCCACCCCCGGGACCCTACCCCTGGGGGGTGGGGGTGCTGTGTTGTTGTGGTTCGAACACGGGGCGAGGGCGGGTAATGGGGGGGGGGGGGGGGCTGCGGTCCACGGTCGAGGCGCACATCAGCCATGATCTACCGGCACAGGCTGGAGGGGCTGAATGGCCTCCTCCTGGCTGTCCCTGTGTCAGGGTGTGGCTGTGGTCACGTGGCCGGGCTGTGAGGAGGGGGCGGGGCAGTGATGAGGTCACAGCGATCAGCTGGAGAGTCATGTGACCCACTCACTTCCTGGTGCCATCCCCACAGAACACAGACACACTGGGGCTCTCCCCCTCTCTCTCCCCCTCACTCTCCCTCCTCCCCTCTCCCCTTCCCTCCCTCCCTCTCTCTCTCTCTCTCTCTCTCACTCCCTCCCTCCCTCAGCTGCTGCTGCTGCTGCTCAGCTAAAGTGTTTCCTTTTCAAACTTAAGTTACTCAATGGTAAAGTCTTATTATAATAACGGAGTGGGGTTGATCAGGGCTGTGGGGAGGGAGTGGGGGAGTGGGGTTGATCAGGGCTGTGGGGAGGGAGTGGGGGAGTGGGGTTGATCAGGGCTGTGGGGAGGGAGTGGGGGAGTGGGGTTGATCAGGGCTATGGGGAGGGAGTGGGGTTGATCAGGACTGTGGGGAGAGAGCGGGGGAGTGGGGATGATCAGGGCTATGGGGGGGGGGGAGTGAGGTTGATCAGGGCTCTGGGGAGGGAGTGGGGTTGATCAGGACTGTGGGGAGAGAGCGGGGGAGTGGGGATAATCAGGGCTGTGGGGAGCGAGTGGGGGAAGTGGGGTTGATCAGGGCTGTGGGGAGAGAGTGGGGAATGGTATTGATTAGGGCTTCGGGGAGGGAGCGGGGAGTGAGGTTGATCAGGGCTGTGGGGAGAGAGCGGGGGAGTGGGGTTGATCAGGGCTGTGGGGAGAGAATGGGGGAGTGGGGTTGATCAGGGCTGTGGGGAGAGAGCGGGGGAGTGGGGTTGATCAGGGCTATGGGGAGGGAGTGGGGTTGATCAGGACTGGGGAGAGAGCGGGGGAGTGGGGTTGATCAGGGCTATGGAGAGAGAGAGCAGGGGGAGTGGGGATGATCAGGGCTATGGGTGGGGGGGGGGAGTGGGGATGATCAGGGCTATGGGGAGCGAGCGGGGGGAGTGTGGTTGATCAGGGCTATGGGGAGAGCGCGGGGGGAGTGGGGTTGATCAGGGCTATGGAGAGAGCGCGGGGGAGTGGGGTTGATCAGGGCTATGGGGAGAGCGCGGGGGGAGTGGGGTTGATCAGGGCTATGGGGAGAGAGTGGGGGGAGTGTGGTTAATCAGGGCTATGGGGAGAGAGTGGGGGGAGTGGGGTTGATCAGGGCTGTGGGATAAGTCACTTTATATAAAGCGATGTTGCCACAGTTTTGCGGACAATCTTTTGATGACTGGATGATTTGGGGAAGTGTGAAAGCAGCACAATTTGTCGACGTGATTTTCCATGAAAGCCTATTCCTTATCGGTTTCTGTCACACGTTTTGTTTTGCTCTTTCTCACCAGCGTGCCCCTGGTACCGATCGCAGGGTGAATCATGCCTGGGAGCCGGCTCACCCGCAGTTCTGCCTTCTCGTTACACGGAAACTTCACCGTGGATTGCCCAAACGGCTCCTGGCTCATCTGGGATGCTTTCCACGAGTGTGCTGAAGATAGCAGGGATCTAGCCAGCGTTGCCCTGGGTTTGATCTCCATCATTTTCTTCATGATCTCTTCTTTACCGTGAGTGCAAGTATTCGTGGAGTTCTGCCGTGTTTTAGTTGGTACGCTCGGTCGTAAGTGAGAGGACCCGGGCTGGGCGACACCTTACTATGGGGAGAGAGCAGGGGATTACTCAATCAGTCTCTGTTTTTCCTAGCAGTAAGTAAGGAACCAGGTTATTAGCCGATTGCTGGATTGCTTTCTGGGGGTAGTAATGCCTTTTGAAAAACAATTTTAGTTACTCAATCCATGTCTGTTTGTGGGACCTGTTGTGTGCAGTTAGATGCTGTGTTTCCGTGCTCAGCACCTAAGTGAGAAGAGGTCTGATAATAAATAATAATCCTTGTTTTTGATGCAGGGTCTTATTTCGTTAACGAAACGTCTCAAAGTGTGTCACAGGATTTTACTGTAAAATGTGAACGCAGCAGCCAATTTACTGATGTTCCACAATGTTCCACAAACTGGTTTATGTGGAAGTTTCATAGTCAGGACACTGGAAGGAAACTCTTCCCTTTTTGAATAGTGCAGCGGGATGTTCACATGAACAGTCAGACAGGAACTTGGTTTAATGTCTCACCTCAAGGAAAACACATCCGACAATACAGAAGAACTGTTCATCTGTATGACGGTTCATCAGAAAAAATATCCCCCCCCCCCCGTAAAGTGCAAACCTGTAATTACAAATCACTGCACAGAAACAGCCCATTTGGCTCATCGATGTTCTGCTTGTGTTTCTCTCCACATGAGCCAAACTAGGCTGATCCTTCTGTTCCTTTGTAATACTCCTCCACTTCAAGGATTTACCCTTTCAAACAATTGCTCCAACGAGTGGTTGTGGCAGAGAATTCTGCATCCCACTCCCCTCCGTGTGAAGAATGGTTTCACTAACAGCCTCTGGAGGCAGTGGGTTCCACTCTGCTCCGGGCTGCAGACATGGGACAAAATGCTGATGTGTTCAGAATTTCCTCAGTAAACAGCTCTTTGTGTGAATTGCTTCACATTTCTGCTTCACGTTTCTGACTCACTGCAGCTACAGTTGTGTAACAGGGTGAGATGTACATATTCAGCAGCATCTCTCTAAATGGTCCAGTCAGAGAAATTCTTGCCTGATGGGACATCTTGATGTTACTGTGACATTAATGTGGTGAAATGGTGGCTTCTTCTTCTAAATGTCGCCGGGATACATAATAATAATAATCCTGGCATTTGATACAGCGCCTTATCACATCTTCGAGACGACTCAAAGCGCTTCACAGAATAGACTGTAAAGTGAATTGACTGCATTTTGTGGGTAAAACTGGTAGCCAATTGCGCACAGCAGCGTCCTACAAACAGTCGTGATCGAGTAACCAAATTATTACTTACTTATCATTTTATTTTTTTTGAAGGGATTATTGCCCCCGGAGAAGCGAGGGTAATAATCATAGAGTGAGAACGGCAAGTGACGGGAACAGATCATTTGATTGCTCCTATTTAGCATCTACTTCCCATTTAATTCTGGTTTCACGAGATTAGTCTGCCCTTGTCTGTCCTCATGACTGAAGTTTGTAGCTTTTCCCTTCCTCTTCCTGCCTTGCATTTAAGTAAACCGCATTTACTGAAAACCTGATGACTGTGCATCTACGTGACCTGTTGCCCTGCATAGAGATTTGTTTGGTTAAAGCAATTTGCATCTTTATACAAAATACTTCATGCAGGACTGTTTCTCGGAGTGCTGCGAATCTGCGTTTAAGAAGTAAAACTAGGAGGTGTGTGTGTGTGTTCCATGGATAGGATAGAGTTTGCCAAGTGGGAAGTTAAAAGTCCTGATGGTGCGAGTTAATAATAATAATACTAATCCTTGCAATGGATACAGTGCCTTAACATGTCGTTGAGACGTCTCATAGCGCTTCACAGAATGTATTACAGAGTGGATTGACTGTATATTTTGTGACCGAAACCCGGTAGCTAAATGCGCACAACAGCGTTCCACGAACAGTCTTGTATTGAGTGACCCCATTTTTTTTTGAGGGATTATTACCCCCGGAAAAGTGATCTGCCAATCGACTATCAACTGGGTTCCTATGTACTGCTGGGTAAACAGAGCCGTGTGTGGAGTAAGGGATCTTGCGTAAGGTTTCGCCCTGCCCGTGAATCGAACCCAGGTCCTCTCGCTTGCGAGGCGAGAGCTCTAACCACTGAGCTACAGGACTGCGATGGGCAGAACGGCCTGTGTTTTTGTGCTGTGACACTCTAGCGCTCACTAAGATTTCAATGCCCTGTGATTAACTGAAGCCTCTGTTTGTTTAGCCAATATTACAGCTCCTATAAGACCGGAAATATGGACCAAGCTTTGTCGCTGTGGTTCCTGTTGGGTTGGCTGGGGGGCGACTCCTGCAATCTGATTGGTGCCTTCCTGTCTGACCAGCTTCCAATCCAGGTAAATCCGTCCATCATCATCATCATCATCATCATCATCATCAACAACAACAACAATAACAACCACGTAATTTATACATAGAGCCTGACATGTAGGACAAAACTCTTAAAGTGATTTGTAGTGACGTGTGGTGGATAGGGGGTTGAGGAGGGGCGGTCGAGGCAGAGTGAGAGACGTCAGAGAGTTGGGTAAAGTATCTGAAAACTCACCCGCCAATGGTTGGGGGTGGAGGAGGCAGAGGTTGGTGTAGCAATCCTTGAGCTAGCAAGGAGTGGTGTGGGAATGGCAGTGGGACTGTAGGCCATCACAGAGGGGTGGGAAAGGGGTGGGACACACACACACACACACACACAACTCAGCATAGACAGGGGCTGTGCTGGTTCATGACTCAGTGAGCAAAAAGATTGGGTCTTAATTGGAACAGATTTAATTACAGTTCGTTCCCACCCACCCTCACTCCCCCCTCCCCACCCCCACACACCCACCCACACACACGCACACACGCACACGCGCGTGCGTGTGGGAGAGACCAGCTCACAGCCTTGCTCCTGTTGATTCTCTTGCAGACGTACACCGCAATGTACTATGTCCTGGCAGACCTGGTGATGATTGGCATGTTCACGTATTACAAGATGAAGCACCGACACAGACATTGTGAGTGATGCTGTCCTGACACACACAGCTGCAGCTTCTACACAACTGTTCCCGTTCCCTCAGAGCGCCCTATACCCTATACTAACTGCTAACTACTCCCCTGACCTAAGAATGGTTGGCGTTGCCAATCTTCGTGTGACAATGTGGACAACACAAATCCAGGAGGGAAAGAGAAGTCTAATGCCTTCAGGACGGGAGGAGCGAAGGGGGAAACTTGTTTTGGAAACTAACTGGAGGAGTGAGCTAGTGGAGACAGTTTATTTTAATCCCCTCGGCCTCACCGCTCTGCTATTAGTGCAGGAACAGAACTAAAAAATATCAACCTTATTCCCTTTTAATTGTGATGGTCTCCTCCTCAATGACCTGGTGAACTGTGGGTGAAAATGTTTCAACTAATGTAAGATATTGATCACTTCCCCGCATTAATCCAGGGTTTCCCGCATTTTAACCTGGTGGGAAATCATTTTTCCCCAACGTGGGGGAAACAATAGGAAGCTGAAATCTGACATTTCTTGTGGACCGAGCCGTCGGTTCAAGTATTCCGTGTTTGTTTCGAAAACCCGCATGTTCGGTTGTGTCGCGAGGCTGGTCCAAGGGATAATCTACAACCTGTTTGTGTGCAGATGAAGGTCTGATCAATATCGCTGTGACGTTCACTATTCTGGGATCCATCTCCTTGATTCCTGGCGGCAAAGTGGACTCTGTGTGGCTGGACAGCCCCAAGGTGCTCAGGCGATCTCTCCTGGCCGTGGCTTCTCCCTCTGCCAACAAGGTCAGTGCTCACCTTACCACGGCCTCCGACTGATCCCAGACTCCCAATGGCCAGTGTACACTACACACACGCTACACACAACACACACGCTACACACTATACACTACACACATCCTACACACTACATACACGCTACACACTACACACACGCTACACACTACACACACGCTACACACCACACACACGCTACACATCACACACGCTACACATCACACACGCTACACACTACACACACGCTACACACACACTACACACATGGTCTGCAGGCCTTTAGGTGGGATGTTAAACCGAGGTCCCGTCTGCCTGTTCAGGTGGATGATAAAGATCCTCTGGCTGACAATCCCCCAAATAAAATTGGTCGCTCGCTCCATCGCTGTTTGTGGGACATTGGTTTGTGTGTATGTGCTTGTGTGTGTGCGCGTGTGTGTGCCTGTGTGTGTTTGTGTGTATGTGCCTGTGTGTGTGTGGGTCTCTGTGTGTGCGTGTGTGGGTGTGTATGTGCCTTCGTGCTTGCGCGTGTGTGGGGAGGTTGTTACTTATCGATTGTGTTGCCTGCCCCCCCCCAAACCCCCTGCCGGGCCTCCCCCCCCCAAACCCCCTGCCGGGCCCCCCCTCCCCTCACCATTGCCCACACTAGTTTGCCCTGTTCACTGTCTGTCTTCACGCTGTTGATGGATGAACCTTCTGACCCGCAGATTGACACCAAAAACATTTGTGGGTTGGCGATCGGCTCGATTTCCGCGGTTCTGTACCTGTCATCCAGGATTCCTCAGATCCTCACAAACGTAAGTTTCCGGGGGGGGGGAAGCTCTCCAGGGGGTGGGGGATGCTCTCCGGGTGAGGGGGGGGGGCGGTGGGGGGATGCTGGAGTAGTTTGGAAGGAAGCAGAGAAGGACGTCAGCAAACAGTTTTCTGCTTTTAATTCCTGTTTGTCTTGTTCTATAAAATCAACCAGGACAATAGTAACTTAGGGTTAGGGTCAATAACCCCCTCATAGGGGCAGAGGCCCCAGCGCTCGACAGCAGTTGGGGGTTTGACGGGGAGCTGGAACGGGAGGGGAGGTGACCCAAGGTACCGTCAAAGAAGAAAGTCAGCAGGTGGTGATTTGAAGAGACGGCTAGCGAGGTGGTGGGGGGGGGGGGGTGGGGGGCAAAGCATTCCAGAGACTTGGGGGAGGTGTTTTTTTGTCAAAAAAAATCTTTTGTGTTTTTTTAAAAACAAATGTGGTCTCAGTTTAAGCGGAAGTCGACAGAAGGCATCTCGTGTTTCCTCTTCGTCTGCGTCATCCTGGGCAACGCCACGTACGGAGTGAGCGTTCTGCTGATGAACCCGGACAGGGGCCAAGGCGAGGGCAGCTACATCCTGAACCACCTGCCCTGGCTACTCGGCAGCCTCGGCACCATGTCACTGGATCTGGTCGTATCCTTTTACTCAACAACAACAACGACAACAACTTGTATTTACACCGCACCATTCAAACGGGCTGGGGGGGGGGCGGAAGCGCTTGACACTGATGGGGTGGGGTGGGGGGTGCGGGGGGCGGGAGAGGGAGTTTCTTTAGCCTGGACATCAAACGGGAGAGACTCTTTTCAAATCGCGCCGAGGGGATCTTTAACATTCCACCTGCCATTTCTGTTTGGTTTGGTCTTGTTTGTGCGTTTGTTTGTATTTATTTGTTTGTGTGTGTGTTTGTTTGTTTGTTTGTTTGTTTGTTTGTGTGTTGGATCGCAGCGATTTTCTGACACAGTTTATGCTTTTCCTGAACGCAGTCGTTGCAGATAATCACTCAGTTTTTACAGTATCGGCCGAAGAGCTCCGAGGAACGAGAGACACTGATTGATTCGGGGGGAATGTGAGAAGCTCCCGCGCTGAGGTGTGGAGGGGCCCAGCTGTGCAGAGTCAGGAATTAGAAGACGGTCCTGTGAGGAGACTCTCCCCCTTCCGGCCCCCCCACCCCCCACCCCCACCCCCACCCCCGACAACCCCCAAACCACTGAGGAATCATGTTGTGTTCAGCAATCATTGCTTCTGCCATCAGCAACAGATGGCGTCTGACCAAAGACTTTTCACGGGGGGGTGGGGGGGGGATTCAGTCGCTGAAGTTTATTTTTGCTGTCTCGAACTTTTCTCAACATGAACAAAGTTTGAAACAGCAAAAATTCACTTGTGTGTGTGTGTGTGTGTGTCTCAGCGCTCGGAGACGCTGCCCTGTGTGGAGGGCGCTGTATAAGTGCAAGTTGTTGTTATAAATATATATATTTATACAATTTTACTGAATCGTTCACCGGGAAAGGGGAAGGGGGGGGCGAAGGGAGGGAAAGGGTGATGTCGCCAACACTATCTTGCCAGGCGGATCAGATGCACACTAACACCACTCTGTGCCAAAGCAGAATTTGTCGTGGACTAGATCAAGACTGGCCTGAAACCGGCCTTGGGGGCTGAGTAGAGACGTTTACTTATCATTACAGTTACACTTGCCCACGGTTACTGATCGGGCTGTGTGAGAGCTGAACATCCCGGGGCTCTCTCCCCTCACAGCTGTGCTTAAGCTAAACGTTTTTTTAAACTTAGCGCTTCGGGATGTCCTCCCGACGTGAGAGGCGCTGTGCAACTGTTACTTGCTGTTGTTTGAAAGCTGTCTGTGTGCATTGGGAGGGGGTGGGGGTGGGGGGTGGAATACTCGCTCTCACATTTAAGAAGGTTATTAAGAATTACTCCTGAACTCTGCTCTCCCTTCAGTCGCAATTCTTCAATGGTTAACCTGATGTGTTGTGCCGCCTGCTCTTTGTTCCACTTCCAGATTTGATTTTAAACTGAAATGATTTTGTGTCGCGTTTCTCAAAGAGCACTTTTTTAAAAAAAAAAGCAACCGAGTTAGTGAGGAAAATTTATTATCGATTGGCACAACAACTAATTCCGTTTGATCTCTTATGAAATAGGAATATTTGGTGTCCGTTTTCGTTGCTAATTTTATGGATCTTTCAATGTCTGTCTGGATAAAATGTCTCTTAATTTATTTCTGTTCAGATGTGAACCTTGCTTCTGTTGAATGTGACCGATTGAGTTTATTTTTTACCCTGTACAATCCAGATCTCAAATCTTCTCGGGTAAATGAATAATATTACAATGTACAATGTGTTGTGGTTTGACTTTGTTTCATTGTGTGTCGAATTATTGACAGATCAAGGTCCATATCCAGTGGGATTAATCGCTTGTGGCGATGTTTACACATTATTATTATAATATATTATTATATATTACAAACCCGATGGACAATCTTCATAGAATTATACAGCACAGAAGGAGGTCATTTGCCCCATCGTGTCTGTGCCGCTTTTTGGAAAGAGCTTCCAACTCCTCCGCTCTCTCTCTCTCCTCTCTCCTCATAGCCCTGATCATCACCCCCACTCCCCCGCTCTCTCCCCATAGCCCTGATCACCCCCACTCCCTCAATCTGTCCCCATAGCTCTGATCAACCCCATTCCCCCGCTCTCTCCCCATAGCCCTGATCAACCCCACTCCCCCCTCTCTCCCCATAGCCCTGGAAACTTGTCCTCCCCAAATAATGATCTACGCCTCTCTTAAAAGTTGTTACGGAATCGGCTTCCACCGGCCTTTCAGGCAACGCATTCCAGATCCCAACAACTCACTGTGTGAAAAATGTCTCCTCACCTCCCCTCTGTTTCTTTTAACAACTTCCAACATAAATAATATTATTATAAATAATAATTATCAGAATTATATCCTTGCTGTTGAGACAGTGTCTTTCACGTTAGGAGGTCCTGGGACACACCTGTGCCCTGGGAATCTGCTTCCTGTTGGAGGGATCGTTAAACATAGACCTCCCAACCGTCCGGGACGTTCTCCCGACTTGAAGGGCTCTGTGTAAATGTTGTCTGTTGTTGTTGCTTGTTCAGGTGGACAGTCACCAGTGCAGTGAGCAGCAATAGAGAGAGAGAAGGCACCAGACCGCAGGCATCCTTGGCAGGCAGTCCTGCCTGGTCGGGAGCAAGTGCTGTACAGCCGCAGATCACGCAGCTACAGCGCTTATTTTCCCCCCCGTTAAGTGGGGAAAGGTTTCCCTGTTCCCACCAAACAGGTCGGCTGTTTCGTTTCCCTTTCTCTCGCTTCGGCGACATCACGGATATCGGGGCGAACGACCGGACGCTAAAACACACACCACAGCCCCAATGGGAGGGGTGCAGCTTTCACGTGTTTGCCTGGAACGCCTCTCTGCACTTCCCAGTACAGGAGACGGACATCCAGGTCCATTACGAAGCAGAGTACACCAGGAGTTGAGGTCGGCAGTCACAGAAGCTCTCGGTAAACCAAAAGTTGAGTCGGACCAAATGGGGTCCAACTCCAATATCACACAGTGTTTAGGGGTTTACATCTGGAGTCCCCATGTTACAATGGGGCTGCAAAATACAAAATGGCCACCTGTCCTGCTTCTGGGTCATCAGGTCGTCGCTGAGGCCACTTCCACTGGTTGGCGCTGAGGTGACTTCCACTGGTTGGCTTCCTGTACAGAGCATGTCCCTAACCAACGGACTCGCTCAAAACAAGTCACGTTATAACGGGAGGGGGAGGGGTTCAGACTATATCTAACTATATGAAGAAGAATTCATAGTCTACAGGGTTCCATCTCTCTCTCAGCCTCCCCCACCCCCCACCCTCTCCCTCCTCTCTCTCTGCCTGTAACCCCGCCCGAACCACCAAACACCCCAGGCCCAGCCTCAAAACCTCGGCTTTTTATTTATTCGAAGAACGTTGTAGGTGTTGAGACCCGGAGCATCGAATCCGGGAGACAGGCCTTTCCTGTTGAACTGATAAAAATTAAAGAGTTGCCCGTCTTGAGCCTCCAGCGAGACGGAAGCGGTGTTGAACCGCAGGACGCAGGGATATTCATTCTTAAAAACGATCTGGAACACCCTGTCCTCCAAATAATGCAACTGGATGGTCCTGTACCTCTCTGGGATCAGGTCCTCGATGTGAGGCCCAAACTGCTGCATGACCAACACTCCACTTGGGCTTCCCTTGATCTCGTAGAAGGTCAGGTTGGCGTAGGTGTAATAGCCCACGTAGGGCTTGGGGTGAGGCGGGGCAGAGAGGAGACGCCTGGCTTGGCGGAAGGCGGATTCCATGGCTGGGATCAGGTAATTGTAAACACTGGTGGTCAGGTCTTCCTCTTGTGGCCGGGAGCCGGACATCAGGACGATGAAGCCCAGCTTGAGTTTGGGGACGAGCGAGAAGGTGGCCGAGTAACCGTCCAGGTCGCCGTCTTTTTTGACGATGTCATAGCCGAACAGCTCGTTGACCTCCCAAGGCGTTCCTGTCCTCCGGGCAAAGTATTCCTCGGAACATCTAAACATGGGCGTGAGCATCATCTTGAGGGCGTCGGGCTCCAGGAGGCGTTTGTGGAAGGCTCCCAGGAAGACCATCGCCAGCTTGGCCAGGTCCGCAGCCGTGGAATACATCTGACCAGACGGGCGGTACCAGCCCAGGTCGTACAGCTGAGCAGGACGACCGTTACTGTAAACGCCGATCGCCAACTGTGACCGGACCGAGGCTGTGAACTCGAATCCTGTGTGCTCCATCCCCATTCTGTCCAGAATGTTCTCCCTGACCCAGCGCTGATAGTCGCACTCGGCCACCTTGTCAGCCAGGACGTGAGCCAAGAGCGAGAAGGCCAGGTTACTGTAGTGGCATCTGGGGAATTAGGAGAGAAAAGGTTAGTGAGGTCACCTCAACGTTTCCTCCAAAACCTTCCACAAACATTAATGAACAAGACCAAACCATGTGTAGGCCTTTGGCTTCTCCTCACAGAATATACCACTGCTTGACCTCTCGTTTCCCATCGTCTCCCATCGTACCCCCCGTCCTGTGCTGTAAACATCTACGGCTCTATGGTCAAGAATGCCAGAGCTTGAAAGTCCCAGCACCAATGGTCTAAGGTTGACTCAAACCTTGTGCCAGGGTCAGCAACCAGCAAGTCGTCCTGTAGTAGATTGAGTGCCATCTGCGTGTTGCCTTTCCACAGCAGACTTGTTGACCGCAGACGTCTGGGTAACCCTGCGGATATTGGCAGAAGATTTCACCGCTTTTCAATATTTCCCAAAGGTACCAAAACGTTACAAATTTACATTTACACAGAACCTTTCACGCCGGGAGGACGGGGTGGGGGAGGAGGGGCGTTAGGGAGGGGGGGGTGAAAGATGACGGAATGAGGTAGGTGTTGAGACTGACCTTCACATGTCTCCCGAGCCCCAAATCAAATGCAAGGATTATTATTATTATTATTATTATTATTATTATTATTATTATTATTATTTCTATTGTTTTACTGAAGAATAGTGTTGTGGGAGAAAGTAATGTGTCTCCAACCTGACAGCTGACTGGCCATTCTCTTCAGTGTGACGGCTGATGTTCTCACTAAGGGCTCCCTCTTCTCCAGGAACATCAGGCCATCCGCCAAGGAGTGATGTTCGGATTCTCTCGAGTTTCCCAGCGGGTTTTTAACAGTAAAGTTTTTGATGTATTTTGTTAGCGGGTCGTCCAATGAGGTGATTTTTCCTTCTTGCCACAATTTGTACATCATAATAGTTGGGAAGATCTTGGAGAGACTCGCGATCCTGGAAGAAGAAGGGAGAAGGTTTTAGACGGAGGACCATGGCCCCAGTGTTAGACAATCACACTGACAGGGAATGCAATTCTCTGCTCTTTACCTATAGCCCACATACGGGGCCAAACCTTAAACAAGTTTCCTTACTCCACCCGCATCTGTTTACCAGCAGTAAGTAGGAACCCGGTTGTTAGTCGATTGGCAGACTGCTTTTTGAGGGGTGATAATCTCCCCTCCAAAAGAAAATTGGTCACTCACTCTATGACTGTTTGTGGGACGCTGCTGTGCGCAATCGGCTGCCATGTTTCGCCCACAAAATATACAGTCAATTCACTTTACAGTATATTCTGTGAAGCGCTTTGAGACGTGATGAGGCTCTGTATCAACTGCCAGGCTTATTATATTATTATATTATCACACAGACCGGGTGGGGTACCTGTACGCTGTGTATTCATTGGGTGGGGGTGAAAACTCGTCGGATGCGTTCTTCTTGCCAAAGTTGCCAGTCCACAGTACGGTGTCGTTGTAAATCACGATAGTTGAGATGGAGGGCAGACTGAGTGGATGTATCTGATGGCGTAGAAACATGTCAACCTGCAAACGACAGCCGGGTCACACAGTCACTCCACTTTACTCCTGCAAAGCGCTTTGAGACTTCCTTTTGACATAGGAACAGGAGGAGGCCATTCAGCCTTTCGAGCCTTTTCTGCCATTCTATAAGATCATGGCTGATCTATACCTCAACTCCAATTACCCGCCCCTTCCCCTTATCTCTTGATCCCCTGACCTAACAACAACAAAATTACATTTGTAAAGTGCCTTTCACGTTGGAGGCGCTGGACATTCATGGATTTGGACCTGAGCTGGTGGTTAGGATCAGGAGGAGTGGAGGGCAAGGAGGGGTAGGGGGAGGGGTAGGAGGGTGTCCTAAAAGGATTATTATTTTTATATATGGCTTTGAGGTTCTCCTCTGAGATGTCTCCTTTCATGATTGAAGAGACTCACGTTGTGTAACGGTGGCTCACAGCTCATGGCTCTCTCACCGGCCATTGTTGGTCGCCTTCACGGCAGACAAGGTGACCAGAGGATAGACAATACTCTAGTCAGAGGGAGATCCGCCTTCGCTCAGCGAAACATTTTTTTTGATTTCCTTTACAAACCTTTTCCAGGGCTTCTTTCAGGATGGGGATGGGATGTTCCAGAGGCACAGCTTGGGGATGGCGTGGACACATCTGCACGGGTTCCGGTGCTTTAGAAATGGAATATTTACCTGAAAAATACGCACAAGTATACATTTAGTCCAGTCGGGTCACGGTTAGTGAGCTTGTCTCACAAGCGAGTGGCACCGAAACCTTTAGGCAACTTTACTCCACGTGTCTCTGTTTCCCAGCAGTAAGTTAGGAACTGTCTTGTGAGTGGATTAGCGGGATCACTGTCCGGGGGGTCGTAATCCCTGCAAATAAAAAATTGGTCCACTGAATCCACGACCGTTTGCGTGGACTCTGCGGCTGCTGCACAAAACACACAGTCACTACACTCTACAGTGTAGTCCGTGAAGCGCTTTGAGACGTCTCGGGCGCTGTATCAAGTGCAACAGTATCTCAGCCCCCCCGGGTATGTGGAGTTGTCAGGTCAATATCTCGGTCGACCCACCAGGGGGAGGACTTGAGCAGGTGAGGTCCAACAGGAAGGTTCTCTGAGATACTTAGTTCCATTGATTTGCACCAAAGGCAACTCGGGACTTTAATTCATCGAGGAACCTGACTGTATCCCTCCCTCAGCCAAAGGAGGAAGTGCTTGTCCTCATTAAGGGCAAATAGGGATGGGGGGGGGGGTGCAGGGGGGAATGGTCGGGGTGGGGGGGGTCTTAATTCATTACTAATAACCTTGTTGGGCACAGTGCCCTGTCTCGGTGCTGGATATTCCTTGTAAATCGCTGTAATAATTAAATCTTAAGGATTATTACTATTCATAATCTTGTTGTGGACGTACTTATCTCCTCTTTCGGGAGCTTGTACTGCCAGACAAAACAGCAGGTCATGATGATGGAGACCAGGATGAAGAACGCCATTCCCACAAACGGCCATTTCACCTCCATGACCAGGGCTTTGTTCACCAGCTTCCTGCCAAAGAACGGCTGCAAAACGGCAAAAGGACAAAGGAAATTCTTGACCGTAATCTTGATATTGATCTCAAGTTAATGCCTGCAACACCACGCAGTCACTACACTTTAACGCACAGGTTGTGAAGCACTTTGAGACATCCTCGAATGCGAAATATGCTGTATTCAATGGAAGGATTATCATCAAACATCATTAATATGTACAATATCTCCTTACAATATCTCCTATTGAAATTTAATAATAATAATACACTAATATAATAATAATATGAATATTATTATTATTATTATCATTACCTGATAGATCTTTACACACTATTTCCTATCCTTTATTTGGTTTTCCTCTCCCTCGTTATCACCCTGTCTTGTGCAGAAACAAATACTTTACGTCTGACGATATCTTGTCAAATGGTCCACATGACACAGCACTTCCAACAACAACGACACCACCTTGTATTTTCATCGCCCCATTAACCGCAGGGTTACACCTCGGGTTGACAGACGGTTTGCGTTGAAACACCCGCCATCTACTCTCTTCTTTCACCTCCCGCGATCCGTTACATCTCATCTCGATTTCCTCTCTGCCGACGTCATAATCCCTGACCTGGGTTTATAGTTTTAAACTCCGAGGTGGGAAGCAAAGTCTATTAATCCTCCTATTTAATTGACTTCTGTCACAAGAGTGGATATTCCTCAATGAAAAAGCTGTGAAACACTGGCTCCCTCTTGGATTATGGCCTGTTGTTGTTGTACAGTCACATCAATGGATGGTTTATTAAAACTGTACTGCTGTGCGCAATTGGCTGTCGCGTTTCACCCACAAAATATACAACCAATTCACTTTACAGCGTATTCTGTGAAGCGCTTTTGAGACGTGATTAAGGCGCTGTGTCAAATGCAAGGGTTATTATTATTATTATTATTATTATTATTACAACAGACAGTGTGACTACCTCAGACAGGAATTCCTGTGACGTGCTTTGGGACGTGCTCCCGAAATGAAAGGCGCTGCAGTAAATGCAAAGATAATCGTCACACAGCAAACCTCCGCGTCTCACGGTATCAAACGGCTTTGGAAAAGGAACCCACCCCCCCCCCTCCCCCCATTGGAACGCGGGAGCTGTACTTGTAGTAAAACACTTTCCATCTCCATATAAGCAGAGAGAATAAAAGGGAAATGTCAAAAATGCCGCGGATATAAAACAGCTTTTATTATGTAACTGGTCAGACTTGCAACGAGTCAGAACACAGTTGCTAAACAATCAGCTCAAGGGATAGAGCGCCAGGCTTTCCAAATGTAAAATGAAATCAATGGATGTGCTGGCGAACTGCCATTTCTCTGCGGTCGATGTAACAAATAGTAAAGAAATTCCGGTGTCAAATTCAGCACGGGGCTAAGAGGCGATAAAAACCGTGGACCTCAAGATATTTATTGTACATTAATTTGATATTTCAAGCGTCTGGTTTCCCCTGATTCGCAATCTATCAGTCATTCAGCAACTCTCTCTTTTGCAGCGAGACATAAAGTCGTTTATGAGTGGATGAGTTTCACAGTTTTCAGACCTTTAGTCCTGCGAGCGAACCTGGCTCTCGCCTCTATGAGGCCATGAACGTTTGTGGGTTCCAGCTCCAGGTCAACAGCAACACAACAACAAAATGATATGTGTATAGCGTCGGGAGGACGTCCCGAGGCGCTGGACAGTCAGGACTCTTAGCTGACACTCAAGTGCAGAGCTGTGTTATTGGGAGGCGCTGTCCTTTCCTCGAAACATTCTGCCTATTGGCTTCTGTCTGCCTTCAATTAATGGCTCTGTCGGGTAGGAGACGTTTGTTTTGGGTTTAGTTAGAAAAAGCTTAACGAACCAGAAATAAAAATCGGCCTTGGGAAGGAGGCTGAGAACATGGGCGAGGACCACGGAGAATAGATTAAGCGTCGGTGTCTGCCTGGCTCTGGGCCATTGCTGTGCGTGATTCGCCCACAAAGCACAAATCGATTCACTTCACAGTACATTCCACGAAGCGCTTTGAGATGTCTCAACGATGGGATAGGCCCCTATATCAAACGCCAGGATTATTATTATTATTATTATTATTATTATTATTTTTCACAATCGCTGTAAAGCAAATGACGGCTCTAACGTGACAGGGAATAAAAAACACACGATCCTCCCAACTCTCAGGGAAAGGCTCTTATGTGAGGGTGTGATTTGGCGATCGAACGTTTACCTCTCCTCGTCGCACTTTGTCCATTGCGTGAGGTTGGTTCGCAAATACCGTCTGGAATATTCTCCCACGAGAAACTCAGAGAACAGGAGGTCCCGGGTGCTCAGCCAACTCCTGACAACCCTGAACACATCAGAGAGATATTATGACAATTGGAGTTAGTATTTGGGTTAATAACGTGGACTTTGCGATTCTGGTGGTGGGGGGAGGAGGGGGGGGGTGGGGGATGGCGGTGGGGGAAGGGGAGGTGGGGGGAAAGGGAGGGGGGGGAGGGGAGAAGTGAAGGAAGGGGGTGGGGGTTAACTTCCGATCCTATTATATGAAGTGCGCGCTCTGCTTCTCGTCAGGTATCCCCGCGGCTGGTTTCCTTACCGGCATTTCCAGCTCCAATCTGTCTTCGTCTAAATCCAAGGCAGCGCTGTGTGTGTGTATGTGTGTGCGTGTGCGTGTGTGTGTCCCGCTGGGGGCTGGGCCTGTGTTAATCCGGTAAACTCTGCACTTGATCCAAGATTATGTCCGACTGCTGCAGCTGCCACACAGAGTTACAGGGAAATATATAGATTGTTGTGTGAGTGCGAGTGTGAAAAACATGTGAGCAGGTGGGAACGAGACAAGTTACCATCTCAAATGATATACCAGCAACTTGCGACCCCACGTCGAACGGGCAGAAGAGATTTGTGTCCTGTAAGATTTGTCGTAAACCCACCCAAAATGGTCAGCCTGTTACAGGGAGGATATTGTAGCATTGGAGAGAGTGCGTTTAGATTTCAGCAGGACTTTCCCAGGGGATGAGTGGGGAGATGGGACAGATTGGAACCTTTCTCTCTAGAGATGAGAGCACTGAGATGACGTGTGACTGGAGGTAGGGAAGGCTATAAAAGGATTCGATGGCGTGGGCACTGCTAAACTGTTTCCCACTCATTGGTGAGTCCAAGTCCAAGGATGGGTTAATGTGGGATTGTCATTAGCAAATCTGAAAGAGAGCTCAGGGGGAACTCACTCACACACAAGGTGGTGAGAATGTGGAACTCGCTGCTGGGACCTGTGCTTCAACCTAAAAGCACCAAATTTAGAAGGAAACTTGATGCATACCAGAGGGGAGAGGGAGATAGAGGGGTTTGGGAGAGGGGAATAGAGGGGTGGGGGAGAGGGGAATAGAGGGGTGTGGGAGAGGGGGATAAAGGGGTGGGGTAGAGAGAGATAGAGGGATGTAAGAGAGGGGAATAGAGTCCCAGCAAAAGGGGAATGAGATTGTGTGGTGAGTCAGGCTGTATCCGACATTTTTCTGGGAATGTCTTCAAAAAGCACTTCAGAAGGTGATGGGAGTAAAATGATTATCACATCCCCTTTCCGCCTTTCAAAAGTTTTTCCCCCCCCCCCCAAAAAAAAAAAATCCCTGGTCAAAACCCCCAGCTGTCGCTGTGTGACTGCAGTTCACCGTTTAATCCCCGTCACGACCATACCTCAATCCTCACATCATCAGCTGCCCGTTGCTGGCCCCACTGCCCACCCGCCTCTCTGCGGAGATCAACAATAATCCTAATAATAACCCTAATCATAATCATAATCCTCGCGTTTGATTTAGCGCCTGATCATGTCGTTGGGACGTCTCAAAGCGCTTCACAGGATATGCTGTCAAGTGGACTGACTGTGTATATTGTGGGCCGAAGGCGACAGCCGGTCGCACACAGCGGTGCCCCACAAACTGCCACGGAGTGAGCGACTGATTTTATTTGGGGGATTGTCGGCCGGGACATTGGGACAGAGAGAGAGAGAGAGAGAGAAACTCCCTTCTCTTTTCCAATAGCCCCGCGGGATCTTTAACATCAGGCAGACGGGACCTCGGTTGAGCGTCTCCTCCCAAGGACGGCACCTCCGAAAATATCCTCGCGGTGGATAAGGAGCTGATCACGCTATCAAGACGTCTCAAAGCGGTAAAATGGTGGAACAGACGAGATGGGCTGATTGGCCTCCTCCTGCCCCTGTGTCAGTGTATGTTCCGACTTCCCTCGCCTCGGGCAGAATGGAAATGCTCCCATTGATTCCACATCAATGCTCGACATCTGATTCAATCAACTTAACACAGAGCTTTTCACTCCTGCGACATGCGATGCCGTTTAACCTGCTGAACAGTCGTGCTGCGGATCTGGCCTCTGTGCAACCTTTCTGGCTGTCTGACTGATGTTAACGCCAGCGTTTCACCCCGCGCTCGGCTTAGCTGACAGTGAAATAAATAGCTTCCTCGTCCATTGCGCGCCTCCGTCCTTGTCACAAGATGCCAACCTTCACGATCCGCCGAGCCTGTGCCCCGTTTCCCCCTCCTCGGTTCCACCTAACCAAGCGAGCGAGGGACGGACAGAAAGAGAGAAAGATGATCACAATGATAATAACATTCATAAAACACTGCACACGGAATGTACCGTAAAGTGACTCGACTGTATATTTTGCGGGCGAACGAAGGCAGCCAATTGCGCGCAGCAGCGTCCCACAAACAGCTGTGCATTGAGTGACCAAATCATTTATTTAGGTATTTAGTTATTTATTTCGAATGCCTTATGAACCCCCCCCCCCACCCCGGCAAGCGATCTGCCAATCGACGAACAGGTCCCTACCCGCTGCTGGTAAATAGCGGCTTGTGTGTGGAGGAAGGAAACTTGCCTAAGGTTTCGTCCCGCCATTGGGGAACCGAACCCGGGTCCTCTCGCCTGCGAGGCGAGGGCTCTAACCGCCGAGCTACGGGATTCCTGTTCTGC